GACCTCGATATAAGCCACAGTGTATGTATAAAGTGGCTGCCTGTCCCCGGACACATTGAAGTATTATAGATGGTGTAGAGATAGTGGCCATCTTCAGACACCCGAGGTCGACATTGACCAGTAACACTGTAGCACTGGAGCAGTGTAGACACTACAGCCTCCTCACACACCCACATACTCGCCCTACTACACATTCCACCTCTCCTTATCCATTCCAGATCCACGCTCTCGCATTTAAGCTCTACAATCCCTCCCTCATTTGAGCTCCATGCTCTCGGCCCCCATTCGAGCTCTATGTTCTCGTCCTACATTCAAGCTCTACGCTCTCACCTCACATTGAAGCTCTACACACTCCCGAGATCGGAGCTCTCTACCCCTGGCCTGACTCAGCCCCCTGCTCCAGGCTCGTCTCACCTGTCACCACACGTCACTACATCTCCAACAACCGACCTCTGTAACCAAGACTATATTAAATAAACATAAAAACCCACTGTACTCTTTGAGTCTTATCACCCAAACTCGTCTACATAACATAGGTTACAAGAACACCACCACCACCACTGTCCCAGACAACACTCGTCTCCCTTACTGAAGACACCATCCCCAGAGGGCAATAACAGAACCCTTGGGCACCACACACCACAGAGCAGCCATCAGCAACACCACAGAGCAGCCATCACCAACACCACAGAGCAGCCATCAGCAACACCACAGAGCAGCCATCACCAACACCACAGAGGTGCCATCAGCAACACCACAGAGCAGCCATCAGCAACACCACAGAGCTGCCACCAGCAACACCACAGAGCTGCCACCAGCAACACCACAGAGCAGCCACCAGCAACACCACAGAGGTGCCATCAACAACACCACAGAACAGCCATCAGCAACACCACAGAGCTGCCACCAGCAACACCACAGAGCTGCCAGCAGCAACACCACAGAGCAGCCATCAACAACACCACACAGCTGCCATCAGCAACACCACAGAGCTGCCACCAGCAACACCACAGAGCAGCCATCAGCAACACCACAGAGCTGCCATCAGCAACACCACAGAGCTGCCATCAGCAACACCACAGAGCTGCCTGCAGCAACACCACAGAGCAGCCATCAACAACACCACAGAGCTGCCATCAGCAACACCACAGAGCTGCCATCAGCAACACCACAGAGCAGCCATCAGCAACACCACAGAGCTGCCATCAGCAACACCACAGAGCAGCCAGCAGCAACACCACAGAGCTGCCAGCAGCAACACCACAGAGGTGCCATCAGCAACACCACAGAGGTGCCACCAGCAACACCACAGAGCAGCCACCAGCAACACCACAGAGCAGCCATCAGCAACACCACAGAGCAGCCACCAGCAACACCACAGAGCAGCCATCAGCAACACCACAGAGCAGCCACAACAACACCACAGCATCAGCAACACCACAGAGCTGCAATCAGCAACACCAGCAACACAACACAGAGCAGCCATCACCAACACCACAGAGGTGCAGCAGCCATCAGCAACACACAGAGCTGCCATCAGCAACACCACAGAGCAGCCATCAGCAACACCACAGAGCTGCCATCAGCAACACCACAGAGCTGCCATCAGCAGCCATCACAACACCACAGAGCAGCCATCACAACACCACAGAGCTGCCAGCAACACCACAGAGGTGCAACCACAGAGGTGCACAACACCACAGAGCTGCCACCAGCAACACACACAGAGCAGAGCCCATCAGCAACACCACAGAGCAGCCATCAGCAACACCACAGAGCTGCCAGCAGCAACACCACAGAGCTGCCAGCAGCAACACCACAGAGCTGCCAGCAGCAACACCACAGAGCAGCCATCAGCAACACCACAGAGCAGCCAGCAGCAACACCACAGAGCAGCCATCAGCAACACCACAGAGCAGCCATCAGCAACACCACAGAGCTGCCATCAGCAACACCACAGAGCTGCCATCAGCAACACCACAGAGCAGCCATCAGCAACACCACAAAGCTGCCATCAGCAACACCACAGAGCTGCCAGCAGCAACACAACAGAGCTGCCATCAGCAACACCACAGACCTGCCAGCAGCAACACCACAGAGCTGCCAGCAGCAACACAACAGAGCTGCCATCAGCAACACCACAGAGCTGCCATCAGCAACACCACAGAGCTGCCAGCAGCAACACAACAGAGCTGCCATCAGCAACACCACAGACCTGCCAGCAGCAACACCACAGAGCTGCCAGCAGCAACACAACAGAGCTGCCATCAACAACACCACAGAGCTGCCATCAGCAACACCACAGAGCTGCCATCAGCAACACCACAGAGGTGCCATCAACAACACCACAGAGCAGCCAGCAGCAATGTGGGAAATCATTAATATCTGCAAACATACAAGGCCTAAAGTCAAAGTCAAGAAATAAAGTTAAGTTCATAAATGGCCTTCAAATAGAATTGACCTCAATATTTGGTGCATTTACAGAAACTCACGCCAAAGACCACATGGATAGTGATATCTGGATCCCAAATTATAATCTATATAGATGTGACAGAGTAATTAGGTCAAGTGGAGGAGTAGGTCTGTATATTAAAGAGGAGCTGGCATGCACAGAGCTCCTGAACTCATCTAATGAGGTGGTAGAGGTACTTGGAATTAAGGTAGAGAATATAAATCTAATTATTATTCTAATATACAAACCGCCAGATGCAACAGTTGAGGAATACACTGAACAGATCCACAAAATAGAGAATATCCTTGATAACCTAGCAAACCCGGTACCAGATATTATCTTCCTTGGAGACTTCAATCAACCCAGTTTACAATGGAGAATAGTAAACAATAACATTATAGCAGGAAATCAACCTGGAAAACCAACCACAGGTCAGAGAACAACTGAGATTCTGTGACAAATTCTCGCTCAGTCACCAGATTACAGAACCAACTAGGAACGAGAACACGCTGGATCTGATATTCACGAACAATAATGAGCTAATCAGAGACATTACTGTCTCAGACACTACGTACTCGGACCACACACTCATTGAAGCGCAAACTAACATTAATAACGGCAGTAGGCCCAAGAGAAACAACAAGCGAGAAGGGCTATTCAATAAATTCTATTTTAATAATAAGAGGATAGACTGGGAGAAAATAAACAGGGAACTTACACACAGTCAATGGGAAAATGTTCTAAGAAATATAAATCCTACACAAGGAATAGAAAAACTAACTTCTGAAGCATATGAAGTCTGTCTGAAACATGTTCCTTTGAGGAAAGCCAGAAAGAGGTCAAATGTAGAAAGAGACCGCAGACGACATTACAAGAGAAGAAAAAAGTTATCAGAAATGCTGAAGCAGATGACTTTCCATACAAAGAAGGAATAATTTAAACAGGGAAATTGAAGAAATCGAACAGAGACTGAATCATTCATATCAGATTGAAGAAAGGCACCTAGAACAGAAAGCAATTCAAGAAATAAAGAAAAACCCAAAATATTTCTTCCCATATGCTATATCAAAAGCAAAAACCACTGCCAGTATTGGACCTATTCGTCCTAGTGAAGGTTCATACACTGAGGATGACAAAGAAATTAGTGAAATCCTAAAAAAGCAGGATGAGGACATGTTTAGCACCCCGATACTCAGTATGAAAGTGGAAGATCCGGACAACTTCTTTATGAGTGATATCCAAACACCTGTAAATATAACTGATATCAACACGAGCGTGACAGATTTTGAAAGAGAAATGGACAATATGCCCATGCACTCAGCCCCGGGTCCAGACTCATGGAATTCAATATTTATAAAGAAATGCAAAGTGCCAGTAGCACAGGCACTCAGTATAGTGTGGAGGAAGAGCTTGGACACGGGGGAAGATACCAGATGCGCTTAAAGTAGCAGACATTGCCCCAAGGGTGGTAGCAAAGCATTGGCAAAGAATTATATTAACATTGGCAAATATTAATGTGTAATTAGTTCTTGAGACCAATACTTGTAATATATCAACTATAATCCCAAATATAAATGTTTGCAAACCACTTTTAACTTGAAAAACGTTCTCTTAAATACTTAAGATTATCATACGTTATATCCTTTACATAAAAAGCCAATAAACTCTTAAGCACCAAATTAGAGCTATCTCACCTTTTTCAATCTACATATATTAATTTTTATTCACTGCTCTACACAATTTTCCTTTCGATAATAGTGTGAATTATATAAACAGGTGTGTGGTGTTTTGACCAATGAGACATGTCGTTACAAAGTGCATATTCACTTATAATCTAATCCATTACTGAAACAACAAACGCGGCGTTGCCATTGTGCACGTTCGCATATTCATTCATAATCTAATCCATTACTACAACAACAACAACAAACGCGGCGTTGCCACTGTGCACGTTCGCATATTCATTCATAATCTAATCCATTACTACAACTACAACAACAAACGCGGCGTTGCCATTGTGCACGTTCGCATATTCATTCATAATCTAATCCATTACTACAACTACAACAACAAACGCGGCGTTGCCACTGTGCACGTTCGCATATTCATTCATAATCTAATCCATTACGACTACAACAACAAACGCGGCGTTGCCATTGTGCATCTTCCGCGAAACCTCGGGGTACAGGAATACATTTCCTCTCTGTACCTGGCTGTCCATCACTCCAACAGTCTGCTTGTATCCTGAATGTATGTATGTATGTATGTATGTATGTATGTATGTATGTATGTATGTATGTATGTATGTATGTATGTATGTATGTATGTATGTATGTATGTACTTTTGCCAGAATAAAATGTTTATGTTTATTGTGTACACACATGACTCCATACTTGATCAATGTGGTCACACATGACCCCATGTCTGACCATTCAGTTCACATACAACTCAATACTTCACAATTCACTCATTGATACATTGAGTTAAAAGTTGTGAATCCGGTGTATAAGATGTACAATGTATAATTATTTTGTCCTTTTTTTCCAGCACTGTGGACGAGGAGCTGTGTTGGCACAGTGTAATGTAGAGTGTGTTGGTGCCGCAGCCTTGACACTCACCACACACACTCAAGATCACAGTCTCCACTCAACGTCACACTCAAGATCAGTCTTCACACACTGGAGAGACTTCCTCATTCAGCCTTCCACGAGAGACTTCCTTAAATGCTACGTCGTTTGGACTTTGTTATTGACTGCCAGCTCTGACGTACCTTCAGAGCCTGTGCCTGCCTACACAGTATGCTGAGTGCTGACACTGTATGGTGCCTGCCTACACAGTATGCTGAGTGCTGACACTGTATGGTGCCTGCCTACACAGTATGCTGCCTGCCTACACAGTATGCTAAGTGCTGACACTATGGTGCCTGCCTACACCGTATGCTGCCTGCCTACAACATATGCTGAGTGCTGACACTGTATGCTGCCTGCCTATGGACTTGTACATTCATCCTTGTCTATTGTACATAATGTTCGCACTGAGTGTTGTCTCTTGTTGTTAATAGTGTGAGACTTGGATGACACGCAAGATAGATACTACAGCACTTGTCAGTATTAATCTCATTGTTACATATGCCTTCATTTTATGACTGGTACTGAATTTAATTACAATAAATCTCGTCGAATATCAGCATGGGTCCACGTGACTGCTGTTGAAGTTAGCACACATCAAAAATACAGCATTACATTTATATGGATCGCCTGATAAATCCTCACGTACCTTAAGAAGAGATATAGTTCAAATCTTGAGAATCTGTTATAGTAATGTGAAGAGTTTTGTTCATCACTTGTTAACCAAGATGATTGCTCAACTAGTGTCTTCTGTGTGCACTTTTCCCCTGGTTGTGGGCCTCCTGGCGGTGATCTCCCTGGCGGCACTTTATCTGCAGAAGACGTACACTTTCTGGGAGGTGCGAGGGGTCGGAGGCCCCAAGCCAACATGGGTGATTGGTAACATGTATGCCAGGCTTAGACCCACGCACTCAATGGCAGAGTACGATCAGTTGTTGTACAAGGAACACGGAGGCAAGAGATTCTGTGGCTACTACGAATTTACTCAGCCATGTCTCATGATAGGAGACCCAGAGCTGCTCAAGCATGTGATGGTCAAGGACTTCGATCACTTCACCGACCGGAGGTATGTATTTCTCTCGTATTTGACCACAATACTTTACCCTAGTCCATAGTTTCCTTCTTGGACTAGCGCTACAACTTAGCAGTAATTCACTTTCTCTTATATTCAGGGCCGGATCTACACATGGTGAGGCCCTAAGCTATAGAAAGCTGTAGGGGCCGTATTTGACAATTGTAACCAGATAATAAGGCTGATTAACAAATGAACTTTGCAAGAATAAGGCCACCAAGATGCATAACAAATCCGTGTGGGGGGGGGGGGTGTTCATTTTGAACTTTAACTATCCAGAGATGAATGTAATGAAACGTCAATTTCTGAGTGAGCCCCGGTGGCTCCTTAAAGCTACTATACTAATGTAGTGCCAGACCACAAGGTGCCGTCAGTTGCGGAGTTTGTTATTGGCCTACCGGGGACCACCAGCCAGAGCTAGCCCAACCAGAGAGTCGCAGGGAGCATTGGCACTATGAACAATTTTATAAATTTATTCATGTCTGCCACCCCCTCCATAGTGTTTCCTTGTCGTGGTGAAGGATGGGGGGACCTCACGTACACCTTCCTGGTGAGAGTTGCCTGCACAACACCCAAATGAACTCCCAAACCAAAGTAAAGAAACGATCGAATATTCGTGAATCACTAGCACTAGCTAGTCCCCCTGAGGGAGGAGGAAGACTGCGTCAGCCGGCTGCTTCACTACCAGTTCTTAAGCTGATGTTTGTGTGTCTGGTCGCCCTCTCAGCTCACTCTGCCTCCGGTCTCCTCTCGTCAGCTAAGTGGTGTTTTGCTAACATGTCTTAGGGGTGTCTTGGGCGGCCGTGTGAGACCTGGGTTGGTGTGAGGCGGCCCACGGTCTCTTGTCTTGATCCCAGCGGTGCTCTTCCTCCCTCCTATGTGCCCTTGCTCCTCCTGATTGTCTCACGCCTTATAGGTATACTCCTTAATTCGTTCTCCTCACCCCCTTCACACATTGGTGTGGGTGATGTGATGTCATCTATTCTTTCTAGTGTGAATACTGATGTAATATATTAATTTAGTGTTTGCTGCCCCTTTATCGTCCATTATAACTTGGTTAGTCTCAGTTTTCAGGGGTCCCACCGAGTCCTTTGTTTGGGTTTTATTTCTTATATAGGCATGGAACAATTGTGGATATTTTTCTATGTTTTGGCCAAACTTTCTTTCGTAATTTCTTTTAGCTGATTCAATTCCCTGGATGGCTGACTTTAATGCCCGTTTATATATTTCATAATCGATGATTATACCTTGTTGCAAGTAAATTATTATTATTATTATTATTATTATTATTATTATTATTATTATTATTATTATTATTATTATGTTGATGGTGGATGTAAACATTCTCCAGAGGTTCGTCTTAGTTACCAACGCTATTTTTACTACTTGAGTCATCCATCTAGTTTCCTTTGTTTTCTTTCTCCTTTTTGGTACATATTTTTGAACGAGTTCAGTAATGACCTTTTGAAATTTTTCCTCATGAGGCTGTTATGCCGTGGTCACTATCATCTCCCTCCAGGACGTGTGGTGCAGGTCCTCTCTCATTCCTTGATAGTCTCCTTGACGGTAATCTAGAAAGTCATCATCCTGGACCTTTACGTGGGTACCTTACCTTGAGGTTACCTTGAGGTGCTCCCGGGGCTTAGCGTCCCCGCGGCCCGGTCCTCGACCAGGCCTCCTGGTTGCTGGACTGATCAACCAGGATTTGTATCATTGTAATCTATCTTAGAATATTGTTATAACACGAGTGGGGTGGGTTTTCCTGCCCATGTGAATGTGATGGATGATGCCGTGTTCTGATGTTAGCACAAGGTCAAGAATGGTGTTGCCTCGTGTGGACTGTCACATGCTGCATGGGAAAGTTGTCCTGCATCACCTCAAGAAATTGTTCTCCTGCTGCTTCTGCTCCTCAAAATGATTTTCATTTATAAATCTCGTCACTGTGATTTCTTTGCAATACAGGTTATCTTGAGGTTATCTTGAGATGATTTCGGGGCTTTTAGTGTCCCCGCGGCCCGGTCCTCGACCAGGCCTTCACCCCCAGGAAGCAGCCCGTGACAGCTGACTAACACCCAGGTACCTATTTTACTGCTAGGTAACAGGGGCATAGGGTGAAAGAAACTCTGCCCATTGTTACAGTAATATTATTATGACATAACATTTTATTTATAAAAGTAAAGAAGGTCATATTAGTGGTTACTTAGTACAGTGCAGTATTTGCATGTTCTTTGAAGCCACTAATATGGACAATATTTATTATGTAACTTAGTATAGTTAAGCTTTACATTATTTAGACTTGTCAGCTTATTAACCCCGATGAGGGTCCTTCCCATATGATGTAAGTGTGTGTAATGTCTGTACACTTGGGCTCATGTGCCGAGTGTATGTACTAGATCATTAACATGTACTCCACATACAGCAGAGTTTATCTTTCAGTTTTGTGACGTTCAACGAGCCTGTGATGGACCACATGTTGCTGGGACTGAAGGGAGGTGTGTGGAAGGCCGTGCGGGCCGTCATGACGCCAACCTTTAGTTCCGGCAAGATCAAACACACTCTCCAGCTGGTTAAGGATTGTGCCAAGAACCTGGTTATATACTTTGATAAGGAGTTTGAGAAGAGGTCAGTGTGTGTGTGTGTGTGTGTGTGTGTGTGTGTGTGTGTGTGTGTGTGTGTGTGTGTGTGTGTGTGTGGTGTGTGTGGTGTGTGTGTGTGTGTGTGTGTGTGTGTGTGTGTGTGTGTGTGTGTGTGTGTGTGTGTGTGTGTGTGTGTGTGTGTGTGTGTGTGTGTGTGTGTGTGTGTGTGTGTGTGTGTGTGTGTGGTGTGTGTGTGTGTGTGTGTGTGTGTGTGTGTGTGTGTGTGTGTGTGTGTGTGTGTGTGTGTTGTGTGTGTGTGTGTGTGTGTGTGTGTGTGTGTGTTTACTAACTACTTTTTTTTTTTCCCACACCACACCACACACACACACACACACACACACACACACACACACACACACACACACACACACACACACACACACACACACACACACCAGGAAGCAGCCCGTGACAGCTGACTAACTCCCAGGTACCTATTTACTGCTAGGTAACAGGGACACTTAGTGCGCGTGCGCGCGCGTGTGTGTGTGTTCTACGTCATGTTGCTCAACTTTATTAGGGAGACTTGGTGCATGGAGGGAACTTGTGATGAATTAAATTTACAGTAAAGGACATTGTGTTCTGCACTCAATCTCCACACCACCTCCATGTTGGCCTCCACTCACACAGCCTGCACTCAATCTCCACACCACCTCCATGTTGGCCTCCACTCACACAGCCTGCACTCAATCTCCACACCACCTCCATGTTGGCCTCCACTCACACAGCCTGCACTCAACCTCCACAACACCTCCATGTTGGCCTCCACTCACACAGCCTGCACTCAACCTCCACAACACCTCCACCATGTTGGCCTCCACTCACACAGCCTGCACTCAACCTTCACAACACCACCATGTTGGCCTCCACTCACACAGCCTGCACTCATCCTCCACAACACCACCATGTTGGCCTCCACTCACACAGCCTGCACTCAACCTCCACAACACCACCATGTTGGCCTCCACTCACACAGCCTGCACTCAACCTCCACAACATCTCCATGTTGGCCTCCACTCACACAGCCTGCACTCATCCTCCACACAGCACCTTGCCACACACTCATCAATGTGCACACATGTAACACGCACTTCTGTACCATAATAACTTCTACAGCACTAAAATGTGTGTTTACAGATCAATGGAGTTTGAGATGAAGGAAGTATATGGCATGTTTACCATGGACGCCATCGCTAGTATTGCCTTCGGTGTAAACAGTGACTCTCTGAATAATACACAGGTATGTATAGGGCTGAGCTGGGGTGGTGCAGGTATGTATAGGGCTGAGCTGGGGTGGTGGTGGTGGTGCAGGTATGTATAGGGCTGGTGCTGGGGTGGTGGTGGTGCAGGTATGTATAGGGATGGTGCTGGGGTGGTGGTGGTGCAGGTATGTATAGGGCTGGGGTGGTGGTGGTGGTGGTGGTGCAGGTATGTATAGGGCTGGTGCTGGGGTGGTGGTGGTGCAGGTATGTATAGGGATGGTGCTGGGGTGGTGGTGGTGCAGGTATGTATAGGGATGGTGCTGGGGTGGTGGTGGTGCAGGTATGTATAGGGCTGGGGTGGTGGTGGTGGTGGTGGTGCAGGTATGTATAGGGCTGGTGCTGGGGTGGTGGTGGTGCAGGTATGTATAGGGATGGTGCTGGGGTGGTGGTGGTGGTGGTGGTGCAGGTATGTATAGGGCTGGTGCTGGGGTGGTGGTGGTGCAGGTATGTATAGGGCTGGTGCTGGGGTGGTGGTGGTGCAGGTATGTATAGGGATGGTGCTGGGGTGGTGGTGGTGCAGGTATGTATAGGGCTGGTGCTGGGGTGGTGGTGGTGCAGGTATGTATAGGGATGGTGCTGGGGTGGTGGTGGTGCAGGTATGTATAGGGCTGGGGTGGTGGTGGTGGTGGTGGTGCAGGTATGTATAGGGCTGGTGCTGGGGTGGTGGTGGTGCAGGTATGTATAGGGATGGTGCTGGGGTGGTGGTGGTGGTGGTGGTGGTGCAGGTATGTATAGGGCTGGTGCTGGGGTGGTGGTGGTGCAGGTATGTATAGGGCTGGTGCTGGGGTGGTGGTGGTGCAGGTATGTATAGGGATGGTGCTGGGGTGGTGGTGGTGCAGGTATGTATAGGGATGGTGCTGGGGTGGTGGTGGTGCGGGTATGTATAGGGCTGAGCTGGGGTGGTGGTGGTGGTGCAGGTATGTATAGGGCTGGGGTGGTGGTGGTGGTGGTGGTGGTGCAGGTATGTATAGGGCTGAGCTGGGGTGGTGGTGGTGGTGGTGCAGGTATGTATAGGGCTGAGCTGGGGTGGTGGTGGTGGTGCAGGTATGTATAGGGCTGAGCTGGGGTGGTGGTGGTGGTGCAGGTATGTATAGGGCTGAGCTGGGGTGGTGGTGGTGCAGGTATGTATAGGGCTGGGGTGGTGGTGGTGGTGGTGGTGCAGGTATGTATAGGGCTGGTGCTGGGGTGGTGGTGGTGCAGGTATGTATAGGGATGGTGCTGGGGTGGTGGTGGTGCAGGTATGTATAGGGCTGGGGTGGTGGTGGTGGTGGTGGTGCAGGTATGTATAGGGCTGGTGCTGGGGTGGTGGTGGTGCAGGTTTGTATAGGGATGGTGCTGGGGTGGTGGTGGTATGTATAGGGCTGGTAAAGTAGCTGTCTGTAGTGGTAAAGTTGGTAAAGTAGAAGCTGGGAGCCTACTTGTACACTGTCCAGTAGCCAAGATAAGTATCCATACACTTGTAGATAACAATGTTGATACTGTTGACCCACAGAACGAGTTCTCAGCAGCGGCGGCTCGCTTCTTCACGCCTCCGCCCAGGTGGAAGCGACCCATTATCTTCTTCCAGTTCCTGTGGCCACAGATTGCCAGACATCTCTGCCTTAATGTTATTGACAGAACACCCATTCACTTCTTTACAAAGGCAAGTTAGTTGAAGTGTCAACAAATACTCACGATCTGAAAGTTTATCATTCTTTAACAAGTCAAATGAATCGTAGTGGTCCAGGGTGTGTGTGTGTGGGGTGAGAGTAGTGGTCCAGGGTGTGTGTGGGGTGAGAGTAGTGGTCCAGGGTGTGTGTGGGGTGAGAGTAGTGGTCCAGGGTGTGTGTGGGGTGAGAGTAGTGGTCCAGGGTGTGTGTGGGGTGAGAGTAGTGGTCCAGGGTGTGTGTGGGGTGAGAGTAGTGGTCCAGGGAGTGTGTGGGGTGAGAGTAGTGGTCTAGGGTGTGTGTGTGGTGAGAGTAGTGGTCCAGGGTGTGTGTGGGGTGAGAGTAGTGGTCTAGGGAGTGTGTGGGGTGAGAGTAGTGGTCTAGGGTGTGTGTGGGGTGAGAGTAGTGGTCCAGGGAGTGTGTGTGTGGGGTGAGAGTAGTGGTCTAGGGTGTGTGTGGGGTGAGAGTAGTGGTCTAGGGAGTGTGTGGGGTGAGAGTAGTGGTCTAGGGTGTGTGTGGGGTGAGAGTAGTGGTCCAGGGAGTGTGTGTGTGGGGTGAGAGTAGTGGTCCAGGGAGTGTGTGGGGTGAGAGTAGTGGTCCAGGGAGTGTGTGGGGTGAGAGTAGTGGTCCAGGGAGTGTGTGGGGTGAGAGTAGTGGTCTAGGGAGTGTGTGGGGTGAGAGTAGTGGTCCAGGGAGTGTGTAGGGTGAGAGTAGTGGTCTAGGGAGTGTGTGGGGTGAGAGTAGTGGTCCAGGGTGTGTGTGGGGTGAGAGTAGTGGTCCAGGGAGTGTGTGGGGTGAGAGTAGTGGTCTAGGGAGTGTGTGGGGTGAGAGTAGTGGTCCAGGGTGTGTGTGGGGTGAGAGTAGTGGTCCAGGGAGTGTGTGGGGTGAGAGTAGTGGTCTAGGGAGTGTGTGGGGTGAGAGTAGTGGTCTAGGGAGTGTGTGGGGTGAGAGTAGTGGTCAAGGGTGTGTGTGGGGTGAGAGTAGAGGTCCAGGGAGTGTGTGGGGTGAGAGTAGTGGTCTAGGGAGTGTGTGGGGTGAGAGTAGTGGTCCAGGGTGTGTGTGGGGTGAGAGTAGTGGTCCAGGGAGTGTGTGGGGTGAGAGTAGTGGTCTAGGGAGTGTGTGGGGTGAGAGTAGTGGTCTAGGGTGTGTGTGGGGTGAGAGTAGTGGTCCAGGGAGTGTGTGGGGTGAGAGTAGTGGTCCAGGGTGTGTGTGGGGTGAGAGTAGTGGTCTAGGGAGTGTGTGGGGTGAGAGTAGTGGTCTAGGGTGTGTGTGGGGTGAGAGTAGTGGTCCAGGGTGTGTGTGGGGTGAGAGTAGTGGTCCAGGGAGTGTGTGGGGTGAAAGTAGTGGTCCAGGGAGTGTGTGGGGTGAGAGTAGTGGTCTAGGGAGTGTGTGGGGTGAGAGTAGTGGTCTAGGGAGTGTGTGGGGTGAGAGTAGTGGTCTAGGGAGTGTGTGGGGTGAGAGTAGTGGTCTAGGGTGTGTGTGGGGTGAGAGTAGTGGTCTAGGGTGTGTGTGGGGTGAGAGTAGTGGTCTAGGGAGTGTGTGGGGTGAGAGTAGTGGTCTAGGGTGTGTGTGGGGTGAGAGTAGTGGTCAAGGGTGTGTGTGGGGTGAGAGTAGTGGTCTAGGGTGTGTGTGGGGTGAGAGTAGTGGTCCAGGGTGTGTGTGGGGTGAGAGTAGTGGTCTAGGGTGTGTGTGGGGTGAGAGTAGTGGTCCAGGGTGTGTGTGGGGTGAGAGTAGTGGTCCAGGGAGTGTGTGGGGTGAAAGTAGTGGTCCAGGGAGTGTGTGGGGTGAGAGTAGTGGTCTAGGGAGTGTGTGGGGTGAGAGTAGTGGTCCAGGGTGTGTGTGGGGTGAGAGTAGTGGTCCAGGGAGTGTGTGGGGTGAGAGTAGTGGTCTAGGGAGTGTGTGGGGTGAGAGTAGTGGTCTAGGGCGTGTGTGGGGTGAGAGTAGTGGTCCAGGGTGTGTGTGGGGTGAGAGTAGTGGTCCAGGGAGTGTGTGGGGTGAAAGTAGTGGTCCAGGGAGTGTGTGGGGTGAGAGTAGTGGTCTAGGGAGTGTGTGGGGTGAGAATAGTGGTCTAGGGAGTGTGTGGGGTGAGAATAGTGGTCTAGGGAGTGTGTGGGGTGAGAGTAGTGGTCTAGGGTGTGTGTGGGGTGAGAGTAGTGGTCTAGGGTGTGTGTGGGGTGAGAGTAGTGGTCTAGGGAGTGTGTGGGGTGAGAGTAGTGGTCTAGGGTGTGTGTGGGGTGAGAGTAGTGGTCCAGGGTGTGTGTGGGGTGAGAGTAGTGGTCCAGGGAGTGTGTGGGGTGAGAGTAGTGGTCCAGGGAGTGTGTGGGGTGAGAGTAGTGGTCTAGGGTGTGTGTGGGGTGAGAGTAGTGGTCCAGGGTGTGTGTGGGGTGAGAGTAGTGGTCCAGGGTGTGTGTGGGGTGAGAGTAGTGGTCCAGGGAGTGTGTGGGGTGAGAGTAGTGGTCCAGGGTGTGTGTGGGGTGAGAGTAGTGGTCTAGGGTGTGTGTGGGGTGAGAGTAGTGGTCCAGGGTGTGTGTGGGGTGAGAGTAGTGGTCCAGGGAGTGTGTGGGGTGAAAGTAGTGGTCCAGGGAGTGTGTGGGGTGAGAGTAGTGGTCTAGGGTGTGTGTGGGGTGAGAGTAGTGGTCCAGGGTGTGTGTGGGGTGAGAGTAGTGGTCCAGGGAGTGTGTGGGGTGAGAGTAGTGGTCTAGGGTGTGTGTGGGGTGAGAGTAGTGGTCCAGGGTGTGTGTGGGGTGAGAGTAGTGGTCCAGGGAGTGCGTGGGGTGAAAGTAGTGGTCCAGGGAGTGTGTGGGGTGAGAGTAGTGGTCTAGGGTGTGTGTGGGGTGAGAGTAGTGGTCCAGGGTGTGTGTGGGGTGAGAGTAGTGGTCCAGGGAGTGTGTGGGGTGAGAGTAGTGGTCCAGGGAGTGTGTGGGGTGAGAGTAGTGGTCTAGGGTGTGTGTGGGGTGAGAGTAGTGGTCCAGGGTGTGTGTGGGGTGAGAGTAGTGGTCCAGGGTGTGTGTGGGGTGAGAGTAGTGGTCCAGGGAGTGTGTGGGGTGAGAGTAGTGGTCTAGGGTGTGTGTGGGGTGAGAGTAGTGGTCCAGGGTGTGTGTGGGGTGAGAGTAGTGGTCCAGGGAGTGTGTGGGGTGAAAGTAGTGGTCCAGGGAGTGTGTGGGGTGAGAGTAGTGGTCCAGGGTGTGTGTGGGGTGAGAGTAGTGGTCTAGGGTGTGTGTGGGGTGAGAGTAGTGGTCCAGGGTGTGTGTGGGGTGAGAGTAGTGGTCTAGGGTGTGTGTGGGGTGAGAGTAGTGGTCATAGATACTTTTTTGTATCTATGATATACTTCTTTGCTCATTATCCTAAATTGTATGCATGCATTTTATGTATGTTTGTATGTATTAATGAAGTATTAAGTAGAGTGTTGTTGCAGGTGGTGTCGGACACCATGAAGTACCGCCTGGAGAACCAGCTGAGGAGAAGCGACTTCCTGCAGCTGCTGCTGGACGCCCGCCTGCAGGAACACACTAATAACAACAAAGGAACGCACAGCGCAGCAGATCTGACCTCTAAGAAGATCACTAACCAAGGTCTCTCTCTCTCTCCATACTGTATAAGATAACATGTCTTCAACCAAACTCCCACTAACAACATCGCTAACCACATATTTTATTTATTTATATACATATTTATTTACATATGTATTTGTTTACACATGTATTAACATATATAATAATAATAATAATAATGAGAAAATCAATAGGAGCCTGCAGGAGGATTCGAACCCCACTAACTTGGTAGTGCCAAGGGTTCGGTATCCGGCCAAGGCAGAAACAAATGGGCAGAGTTTTCACCTGGTACTCCTGTTCACCTAGCAGTAAATAGGACCCTGGGAATTAGACAGCTGTTACGGGCTGCTTCGCCTTTAAAGGCGAAGTCCAGGAGCTAACAGCTCGATTCTCCAGGTACAAATAGTAAATACACGCACATGCATAATAAATAGATTTATGATGTTTACTGTTATATATTTATGATAGAAAACTTCTTATATTTGAAAAAAACATTTATCAATAGCAAGAGAAACAACCCGTCCTCTTAAAAATAACGTTGCTTTTGGCTGGTACGCGCGCTACGGCCAAATTTGGACGTAATTTGAAATGAAATCGACTCACAAAAGTGACGTACTGTTCCGTTTTCTGTTTGAGTCGTCCGGCTTACTTGGTAAAGTTAGGAGAGGAAACTTTCAATTAACGTTTTTCATAACTTTTGAAACTTTATGAGAATTTCCAGCCCACCTAACCTATCAGAGGACCCTTAACTTACTGTTGTTGAAAAAATAAATCCCAAATTTATTTTCATTTTTTTTTTATTTTCAAATTACGTCCACTTTCGGCCATGCGGGCAAACGGCCAAAAGCGACGCTATTTTTAAGAGGACAGGTACCTTGACAGCCAATGTTAAGGAACTGAAATTGCTTATCAAACAACTTGAGGAAGATAATAGGATATGGAAATTACAAGGGGGGGGGGGGGTTGAATTTGAAGAATGAACAGGAATATAGATACATGTGGCGAGGAACTTGGACAATCCCTACAGGCCGGGCACAGTGTAGGGTTGGGTAAGGTCAGCCTCGGGGTCACCACATGGACACAATGTGGTGTGGTAAGGTCAGCCTCGGGGTCACCACATGGACACAATGTGGGGTTGGAGAAGGTCAGCCTCGGGGTCACCACATGGACACAATGTGGGGTTGGAGAAGGTCAACCTCGGGGTCACCACATGGACACAATGTGGGGTTGGGTCAGGTCAACCTCGGGGTCACCACATGGACACAATGTGGGGTTAAGTAAGGTCAGCCTCGGGGTCACCACACGGACACAATGTGGGGTTGGGTCAGGTCAACCTCGGGGTCACCACATGGACACAATGTGGGGTTAAGTAAGGTCAGCCTCGGGGTCACCACACGGACACAATGTGGGGTTGGGTCAGGTCAACCTCGGGGTCACCACATGGACACAATGTGGGGTTGGGTCAGGTCAACCTCGGGGTCACCACATGGACACAATGTGGGGTTAAGTAAGGTCAGCCTCGGGGTCACCACACGGACACAATGTGGGGTTGGGTCAGGTCAACCTCGGGGTCACCACATGGACACAATGTGGGGTTAAGTAAGGTCAGCCTCGGGGTCACCACACGGACACAATGTGGGGTTGGGTCAGGTCAACCTCGGGGTCACCACATGGACACAATGTGGGGTTAAGTAAGGTCAGCCTCGGGGTCACCACACGGACACAATGTGGGGTTGGGTCAGGTCAACTTCGGGGTCACCACATGGACACTCCAAACACAGGAAGTGACTCAGAGATTGTTGAAGTATAACGAGGCAATGAGAGAAACATGTGCACACTTTGTAAAAGAAAAAGAAGCCAAGAAGTCTGTTTGGAAGTCAAGAATAGGAATGAGCAGCAAGAATATTAGGCAAGCAATTAGGAAGGCAAACTAAGCAAGCAATATACAAGAAAGTCCATTGGGTTTGTAAGAATACATAACCTTACTGTTCTTACATTCTTACAAGTCAAACGCAACCCATCCTCCTGTTTAGATAGTAGCTTTTATTACTATGTGCACCATAGTACAAAGATTGACGTAATAAGCAATTAGATAGTAGAATTTGGTACGATTCACTTTATAGAGTCCGAAAAAATGAAGCTAAAACACTAACTTAAATATTCGTAGGCCTAAATATTCCTTGGGTCATATCTGATGCAACACCTCCGCACTTTTGTCTTGCAGTGTTGACAGATCTGGTCATCACAGCACAGTGTGTTCTCTTCTACATTGCTGGCTATGACACGACTGCCACCACCCTCAGCTTCCTCTCCTACTGCCTCGCACTTCACCCTCACATTCAACAAAAGTGCATGCAGGAGATTGATCGTGTTCTGGAGAAGCATGACGGAAAAATCACATACGAGTGTATTACAGAAATGACGTACTTGGATATGGTGTTTGCTGGTAAGCATTATTTTATCTTGTTAATTTATATTTTGATTGTGCAAAGTTTGTGTAAGATAAGAGTTTGGGGGATAATATTCAATGGGTGGTTTTCTTAGGGGAGCTGCCTTGTGGCTCCCTGCAGCCACCTCCATGATGGCCCCTAACTAGTGGATCACATCAGCTGTAGAGTCCAGTTTGGCCAACCGGGGACCAGAGCCAGAACCTGACCTCCTCACAGAGGCACAAGAAGCAGGTGACACTGCCATCTAAACCAGGAAGGCACCCAATAAGACACCAAACCAATGCGGAAACCCATTGCCAGTTTATGTTCATTCCATCTAGCCGTCGAACCCAAAGACGCACTCATTAATTTTAATATGCTGTTCATTCAAAATAGGAATTTTCTCAAATATAAATTAATATTATAATATATTAGCATATTGTACATATATAGGCATAGGTTAGGTTAGGTGTTTAGGTTCTGTTGGCGATTATTTGTATTTGTAGTACGTGGGTGAAGCCTTTACAGCGTTGTGGTTCGAACAAAATTCGTCAGTGAAGCAATTGTTCCGGAAGTGTTCGAATGAAATGAGTTGTGAGTCGTGTGTAAACCGTTTTTCATTCATAAACAGGGGGTTTGGCGGGTGCATGGAATCACTTTTGGATCTTTGTTTGGAGGATATGCTGGGGAACAAAAGTCGTCAGTGAAGCACTTGTTCTGGAAGTGTTCGGACGTCATCAGTTGTGATTCGTGTGTAAACCGTTTTTTCATTCATAAACAGGGTGCTTGGAATGGACTTTGGCCTTTGTTTAAGAGGGTGGGCTGAACACAGACCATTGTTGGGTTCAAAGAGACCGAAGTATCACAACCCGTTGAACGAACTTTCCCAACAATGTAAACAAATGATCAGAAATTTCTGGAAACCAGTGTGCACTCATTTGCCCCCCCCCCCCACACCTCCCACTCGTTTAGTGAGGGAGGGGTCGGGGCTCAGGCTGTCCACTGGTTCAAGCCCTCAGTTCCTCTGCTGATGCGACCAGATGTTTGCACTAGGGCTCACGGTCATCATTTAAGGTGTGGCTGGCCTGAGTGCTTTTCATTTAAGTGCTTCCGTGGACTTTGCTGTTTGTGCATTGTTTTGTACACTGTGTAGTGTTGACCTAACCTTTAGAGTGCTGAGAGCTGCATATGCTGAGGTTACCTTCTGTGATTGGTCTCTATCGCTGCCCTTACACTCGATAATTACAATGGCAGGTGTATTTGTGATTTTGCTCCCTTAGAGGTCCTTCCTGCTTTGGTTGGCCCTCATCTTGGGTGAGTGAGGGGTCCCCCAATCCCTGGGTGCTCTGTTTGGATTATCCTTCAGACCCTGGAAATCCACTATGGATTTGGTGTGGGCAGTGGATATCCCGCGCACCTGTTCTCATCTCGTGTAAACTTGACGGTTGCTCGTTGCCAATGCCATAGTGCAGCACACACAGAAGGATGATGATAGTGTCAAGGTTCTCAGAGGAATTGATAGGGTAGATAAAGACAGACTATTTAACACAAGGGGACACAGGTGGAAACTTAGTACCCAAATAAGCCATAGACGTTAGAAAGAATTTTTTCAGTGTCATAGTTGACAAATGGAATGCATTAGGCAGTGATGTGGTGGAGACTGACTCTATACAGTTTCAAATGTAGATATGTACACCAAGTAGGCTCAGGAATCTGTACACCAGTTGATTGACAGTTGAGAGGCGGGACCAAAGAGCCAGAGCTCAACCCCCGCAAGCACAACTAGGTAAGTACAGAAGGCTGGTCAGGAGGAGGATCCACCTCTTACTGAGAGAAATAAACATTACAGTAATTTATAATGAGGTTAGGGACATAGGTAAACAGTATTAAATTTAAACATTATTTTTATGATAATATTTGGCAGTATTGATGTTTTAATGCAAACTTTGTAATTTTTGTGGCAGAGACACTGCGGCTGTACCCTCCCGCCCCCCGGGTGGACCGCACCGTCACCAAGGACTATACTCTCCCTGGCACCAACCTCACCTTGTATAAGGGGCAGAAGGTCACCATACCTATTTACAGGTAAACTAATATATATATATATATATATATATTTATATAAACAATAAACTTGAACAATAGAAAGTGAAAATGTAGTAAAATATATTATTGTTGTGAATGAGAATCGTCATAATTCTTACTTCTCTAATGTTGAGATTTGGTGTCCACTGTTCCCGCCACATTCTTGTGGCTAATTCTTCACTACACTTGGGCTGTTTATTTAAAAAAAATATAGAAATTATCAGTAACTTGGTGAAACAATAAAGAAAAGTCAGCTTTAACAGTACTGTTTTTATTATAGAATGTGTGATATTTAATAAGTTCTCGTTATTATTTTGTTTTTTCTGGTAGAAACTTTAGTGGCTCCTGGAGCTTAATTGTGGCTCCACCAAGCCTTAGTCTAACACACGAGACCTCTGTGACCCATCCATCACCTACCACCAGCCATGACCACAATCTGGCTCCTCCTGCTCCATCAGGATAGGAGACAGGGAATCATAGGTCAAAACCAAACTTGAGAAACCCCTCGAGAATATATATATGTGCACAACAAACTATACGACAGCTTGAAGAAAATTGGGCACACCTGGGTAAATAAAGCAAGTGACCATATCCCCTGGGGTAAATGGCTGTTGTGTGATCCACCTGACCACCACCAGTTGGCTGACCAGGTCATCCAAGGTGTCGACCACCCTGCCTCCTTACTCTTACGCCTGTTGTCACTGGCTCAACACTTGTTGACCTCTGCAGGGTTTGTCACCAGCGTCTCGCTTCCGGCAGTGTTGACCCCAACTGAGATTCTACTTTATCTTCTGACTGTTTGAGGCCATTGTATTTTGTCAGAGCAGTGGCTCTGTTGAGCTCTCTTCCCCCGCCACAAAGCCAGGTTGTTTTTGCCTCTGCTCCTAGACTCTACCGTCTTCCTCATGGTGGGCCTCTGTAACTGTGGGGGGGGGGGTGGAGCCAAGGTAGAGATTGTGCCTTTGGGCCCCCTTGGGTTGGGCGCGCTCTGGTTGTTCTGGGGTTTCTTCTGAGGCCCCTTCAGTGGCATGTTTGGGGACCTGTGGGTTCCCTGAATTTGACATTTTCCTTTTACAAGTCTGTTGTTTTGTCTTCGTGGCAGGTGATCAGAGTCCTGGTGGATCATGTAGACTTGGTCATCTTACTCGTAAAGCACTTGAGAAACTACAGTTTTAATTTCATTCAACAACCAACAAACTGTATTTTATGATTGTCATGAAATTGTATGTGAGGTGAGATGACTGTAATGATACAATGAACTATAGTGAAGCAATGTGTGACAGAACACAACCCCTCTGAGGCCTCATAACTCACAATCAACACTTTTTTGTTCCAGCATACACAGAGACCCAGACAACTATCCAGATCCTGAAAGGTTTGACCCCGAGCGCTTCTCACCGGAAAATAAAGCCAGCCGTTCACAGCTTGTGTATCTGCCCTTTGGAAGTGGTCCACGCAACTGCATAGGTTTGTTACTTGTGATATTATAGACCAGTAGCAGACTCACAAGTCCCTGCATCATTGTAGGAGGCGGCACAGCAGCCGCTCCTCTACTTGCCCAACCCGTCCTCTTAAAAATAACGTCGCTTTTGGCCCGTATGCGAGCTTTGGCCAAAAGTGGACGTAATTTGAAATGAAATCGGCTCACGAAAGTGACGTACTGTCCCGTTTTCTGTTTGAATCCTCCGGCTTATTCGGAAAGGTTAGGAAAGGAAACTTTCAATTAACGTTTTTCATAACTTTTGAAACTTTGAGAATTTCTTGCCCACCTAACCTATCAGAGGACCCTTAACTAACTGTTGTTGAAAAAAAATCTTTTCATTTTTGTCATTTTCAAATTACGTCCACTTTCGGCCATACGGGTAAACGGTCAGAAGTGACGTTATTTTTAAGAGGACAGATTGTGGCTCTTGGCCGTGGCAAGTATTTACTGATATCTAAACACCATATCTTCTCGGCGATTAAATAGTTTAAATTTAGTCCCCTGGGTCAGCACTCGGGGGGGGGGGGGGCCCCAGGGTCAGCAATCCCCACCAGGGTCAGCACCTCCACCCACCCCCCAGGGTCAGCACCCCCCACCCCCCAGGGTCAGCACCCACCCCCCAAGGGGTGAGCTCCACCACCCTCCCCAGGCAGCACCAGGGGTGAGCACTCACCCCTACCTTGTAAAGGTTCTGTGAATCAACAAGCCTCCTCGTTGCTGGACTGGTCAACCAGGCTGTTGGACGCGGCTGCTCACAGCCTGACGTATGAATCACAGCCTGATTGATCAGGTATCCTTTGGAGGTGTTTATATAGTTCTCTTGAACACTGTGAGGGCCCGGCCCGTTATGCCCCTTATGTGTAGCGAGTGTTGAAAAGTCTCGGGCCTCTGATTTTGTTGTTTCTGTATACCTATCGTACCTCACCATTTCAGTGGCACTATTTTGCACATGCCTACTGGTTTCATGTACTCGTCTAGTTGTGCTTGCGGGGGTTGAGCTCTGGCTCTTTGGTCCCGCCTCTCAACTGTCAATCAACTGGTGCACAAGTTCCTGAGCCTACTGGGCTCTATCATATCTACATTTTAAACTGTGTATGGAGTCTGCCTCCACCACATCACTGCCTAGTGCATTCCATCTGTTAATTACTGACACTGAAAGTCCTTTTTGACGTCACCGGGGGACTCCCTGCAGCGATGAATGTAAGGAAATGCCTCTCTGGTGGCTCTCCAGTTCTCCCCTTTCCCTTCAGGTTCATCAGTTTGTGAGCTTATCATCAGGACCAGAACTGAGGTGGGGAGTCGACTGAGGGTTGAGGCCATGCCACTTGGTGGCAGTAATTGGTACTAATGAGTTTCAAGCACGTTTGGGTGAATTATTTGGGAGTTGTTTGCCAGTTTCGAGCCTTCTTTTTCTGTGACCTCTACAGTTGAATGTAAAGCTGCTCTGACTTTCTGGAGGCTTTTTCCAGTGTGATTGTGGAGTGTCATCTGGTCCCTGTGCTGCTTTTAAGGGGGCCAGGCTCTCGCTATGGTCCCTAGTAGTCCATATCACTTGCGTGACCTTATAGTATAGAGCAATCTTAGCAAGATTGGATCCCGCATGACTATGGGAGTCATGAGGGCTTGTTCGTATGGAATACAGCGGTCCCCGGTGGCTCCTCTCTCAGGGATCCACTGGAGCTCCTCCAGAAAGAGATATTTCATTGTTTCATTACCATTAATGCTGGGTTTATTTAACTAGCTTTGTTGACTAAATTAGTTAGAGTAACCAGTTATTATATTAATGGCACTGCATTACATATATTGTAAAAGTAATCTATTTAATACATCTTGACTTTCAAAAATTTGTTTCTCCATAGGAATGAGGTTTGCTCTGATGGAAGCCAAGGTGGCAGTAGTGTACCTACTGCAGGAGTTTGCTTTTATACCCAGTAAGAAGACCCAGGTGCCCATCATCATCGAGCAGCGCAGCGGACTCCTCAAGGCTCAGGATGGCGTGTGGGTGAGGCTTGCCAAGAGAACATCCCACTAGCCTTCCCACGCTTGTATACAGCTATAGTAGCATTATCTTGTGACGTTTGTGCACCTTAGATTCCTGTCCTTGAGACAGGAACCTCCGGGTTCTTGTTTAATTTGATAGAAGCAAAGTTTCTTTTCACTAACATGTTCAAATGTGTTGTGCATCTACATATTTTTTCTTGTAAGGATATGCAGTACATTGTTCAGTACTTCGATCTACGAGGTTTTGTAGATAACCTACATAATTTGTACATTATCATACACCTACAGCACATATTGTTTTAAAAATAACATTTTAATGTTTAGATTAATTTTTCACTAAAAATACACTAAATTCAGTTATGTTTATGGGTACTTTTTCCTTCAATAATATTTTGTTTTGGGGAATCCTTTTATGCTGATATTGAGTTGGGTCAGTTGTGGTGGAGCCCCTCGGTGACTCCCTGAAGCTCTGGGGCCGAGACGCCTTCACCTCTAGGATAAAATTATTGCAGTTGTTGTTAGACCAACCAGTGACTAGAGCCAAAACCTGGCGTCCCTCACTGAGGCGCAGGCAGTAAGTGACAGTTCGCCATCCCACCACGAAATCATCCAGAAAAGTCAGCAAAATTTTACAGATAACTGAAGGATTCTCAGAAAGCGAAGCCTTGAACCCGCCAAGAAAACGCCATAAAAATTCAAATGAAATTTTATATTCACTCAACGCTAGCTAAAACTTGTTAGTACCGATTGATGCCACCAGGTGGCCCAGCCCCAGCCAATACCCAGTGTTGCTGGTCAGTTCTTTCAACGATATGATGGTGGGTAATACAACCTGTAGCACACCTGTGCCAGGTGAGTACGATGGGCTCACCATATCCCGTGCTGCTTGAAACTTTTTTGTTAAGCAGCACGGGCTGTTCCTGTAGTGTTCCAGTCCATAAGTGGTGGATGATGGGCTGGAACCTCTGCTTCACGCTAAGTACTGGCCGGCCTTAGACTTCATTCGCCTAGTGTAAACCATTTGTTTGTATGTTTTTCATTTTATTTTAGTGGTAGCTCACATGCGTGTTTCCTTTCCGGCTTGTGTGGGGATGGCTTCTTTTGCACCTTAAGTGGCACCTTCAAGTTTTTATCCTTGGGTGCTCGCTAGTGCTGCCCTTGCACAGACAGGTGTGGCTTCTCTGGTGTGTTGGGAGTTTGACCCCTGTGAGACCAGGCCACCTGGGAGGTGGAGAGCCTTGCCTTGGGCTGTTCATAAGTTTTTTTATTCTTCTGTTTGGGCTAGGGACATTGTTGGCTGTGCGAGTAATGCGGGCTTGTTCATGTGAATGCAGCGGTCCCCCATTCGTAGCCTAGGAGTGTTGTCTGTATTTATATATTTTTGTTTGGGGAGCGGTCCCATAATCTGGGTGTCCTGTTTGTCTGCCTTCAGGATCTGGTAATTTTCTGGCGTGTCTCAGGGATGGTTCATTATGGATTGGGCCACTGAGCCGGTGCTCTCACATTGTGAGCACGAGGGATGCTCATCGTTCTTGGTACAGGGCGATGATCATTCTTTCTGCTTCTGCCATGCTGCCTGCTGGGTCAGTGACGCCTACGACCCAGTCCTGGGATGTTTTCCATCACTGGGTCACTGTATTAACTGATTTGTCAGGAAGCTGGTGGTGCTTTGCGAGCAAAGTTTGCTTGGCTTTGGCATTCGTGACATTGCGATTGTTTGGAGGTCCCAGTGTTGGCTCGTATGGTGTTTAGCCCTTCCTCTGCACGAGTCATATAGGAGGAATTAGAGTACTGTGTAAGAAGTTCTGCGCGCACACACAGGGCTCACATTTGCTTCCTCAGACCTCCAGTAAACAGATGCCACCTTGGAAAAAGTGGTGCGCACGTCTCAAGGATATGAGGCCTCGGTATAGAGTGCGACCACAGTTAACAGTGCAGAACCTCATGCCCCAACCCGTCCTTTAAATAATGACCCAAAGTCCATTCCATGCATCCGCCAAACCCCCTGTTTGAGTGAAAAACGTTATACACACGACTCGCAACTGATGACGTCCGAACACTTCTGGAACAAGTGCTTCACTGGCGACTTTTGTTCAAATAACAATGCTGTAAATGCTTCATCCACGTACTACAAATAATCGCCAACAGAAGCTAAACACTTAAACTAACCATTGCCTAAATATGCACAGTAGGCTAATATGTAGCAATATTAATTTATATTTCAGAAAATTCCTATTTTAAATGAACAGCATGTTAAAATTGATGAATGCGTCTTCGGGGTCGACCACAGGATGGAATGGACTTGGTCTGAGGACGGGTTGCGTGCCCACACCATCACTTAAGGTATGGGCACCTCCCCAACTTCGCCACGGGTACCACCAGTCCCCGTGGCGAAGTTGGCAATTAATCGGCATAATTTTAGCCATGATCTTAATTGCCAATTAATTCCCATCAACTGATTCTCATTTATTGAATTTTCATTCAAGAGCTTTTTTTAAGTTGGCAGCTTCAAGGCTTCATTTTCTGTGAACCCTCCAGTTATCTGTTGAGCTTTGCAGACTTAAAGGATGCTTTCCCAGTGGGGCGGTAAATTGTCAGGCTTTCTATGCCTCGGTCAAGGACCTTGACCTGTCTCTGGTCCCCGGAAGGTCAAACACAACTCTTGTGACTCTGACCCTTTAGGTGGAGCACTTCCCTGGAAATAGCTTTAAGGAGCTGCCTACCAGAAAGTGGCATTTCATTACATTTAATGCTGGATTTTTCTGTTATATAATACTAATTATATATTTCTCCTAAACAAAAGGTTAAACTATTATTGTAGCTTTAGAAAGATCGTTTTCTTATTAGAAGTGCAAAAAAAAAAAAATGGGGGATTTTTTGCTTGAGTAGCAAATCCCATCTCTTGGGAGTTATGGTACAGCATGGATAAATGTGCAGCTAATGTGTTGAACACGGTGCTCGTAGTTCGTGGGCTATTGTAGTTCAGTAGAGAAAGTTTGCCTTTATTAACTACCTTATAAATCTTGGTAACAGTAAAGACTGTGAAATTCTTTATTGTAAACTATAACTTTTATTATTGAGAGGTGCTCATTTCTTTAGCTTATCCTGGCTAGATAATGTGGTGTGTGACAATATTTTCAGAGAAGGAAGGCATTCACTCTAACATCTGTGTCGAGGCCACCATAACAACCTCGGTACATTCACTTGACAAAATATTCATTAGCCAGTATGTTCACTTTTCATGACATTCCCTAATCTATATTTCCTTGACATTTCAGACTGGATATTACCTAGCCTTTATATTCCCCTGGTCCAAATATTCCCTAGCCAAGACATTCCTTAGCTTGGATATTTCCTAACCATATTATTCCCAAGCCAGGAGATTCCCTAGCCTGGATATTTCTTAGCCAGGATATTCCCTGTCCTGTATAATCCATAGCCAGGACATAACGTAGCTTAGATATTCCCTAGGCAGGACATTCCATTGCCTAGATATTCCCTAGGCAGGACATTCCATTGCCTAGATATTCCCTAGGCAGGACATTCCATTGCCTAGATATTCCCTAGGCAGGACATTCCATTGCCTAGATACAATATTTCCCTAGCCTGAAAATTTACTAAAGACTGGCAAATATTGCTAATAATTAATAGCACTTAATGTCAAGAATAAGTCAGAACTCTTGAGCAATCATTTATATCTCGAAATAATAAATATAAATAAATAAAAAGTGTATGCCGTACCTAATAGCCACAACCGTACTTCTTGGCCTAGTATGCAAGGTGCGGTGAGACTAACAGGCAGAATGATATTTGTTATTTTCAAATATTTCTTTTCATATTGGTTCTTTTCTAAGAATAATAATCTATTAGGAACATGACATATAAACTAAAATACAGTATTTGTTTGGTTTGGATAAGTTAGGTTTGATAAAATTTGTTAGTTTTGACTCAGATAACATAAAATTGCAATCATATATATAATACAATAAAAACATTTTAATTTCATAAACAAATTTGGAAAAATTTAATATTTCACCAAAAACTCGGCTCGTTAGGCAACTCTGGCTATTAGGTATGACTGTATAATATAGTGTGTATGTATGCATATATATATATGTATGTATATATATATATATATATATATGTATGTATATATATATATATATATGTATGTATGTATGTAAATAGGATTGCTGTAGTTACCTAGGTGAGTTCAGTCTGCCAACACTTTGAAGGTTCCCAATAGTCGGGGAAAATCCTGAAGGTTATGGCTGGTGTCGTGCCTTGCAACAGCACTGTAGACATGTTTTAGGTATTAGGGAAATATATTGATGATTATAAATAGATCATCTGTACTGGTAACATAATTCAATAGGCAATTCATGAAATGAAGCTGATAAACGCCACTATTTCTTGCATGTACCTAGCTGGGATAACAAATTGTTGGTTGTCTGTTACTGTATATACAGTACAGTACTAAATAATATTTTGCATGCTTTGTTATTTGTTATAAAATATGTAAATTGTTATATTACAGCCTGTAGAATTAAAGCGCTGAATTAGCCTTGTTTCCAGTACTGGACTAGTCTAATATACAGTATTATAATATATAATCTGAATTTAATATAGGACATTAAATTCGGCGAACCAGGAAATCAGATCAGCCAAAAACTATGAAAGAAAACTTGGCCAAAATATAAAGATCCAAAGTCGTTCTGTGCCTACATAACAAGTAAAACCAAAATAAAGGACTCGGTAGGACCCCTTAAAAGATGAGACTAACCAAGTTATAAAGGGCAGCAAATGCTCCAAATGAATACTTTACATCAGTGTTTTACACCATAAAAATCGGACATCTCATCACCAACACAAATGTTTGAAGGAGGTGAAGAGAACAAATTAAGGTATATACCCACAACATGCGACATGATCAGGAAGAGCATAAACAAACTAAGACTAAGCCCCCAGGTGTGGATGGAATTCAATCCAAAATCATAAAGGAACTGGCAGATGAACTATGCCTACTGCTGAAAGTATTTTTCAAAAAATCTCTGGACCAAGGGATAGTTCCCCCTAAATTGGTAAATGTGCAAATGTCGCCCTTATTTTAAAAAAGACAGAGCTTGTCAAGCTGATCAGACAGTAGTTTTCTGCTATCACACATGCAAGCTCACCGATAGAATCCTAAGGGAGAAAATCGTTCACCATCTCACGGTGAACAATCTTTTAAAATCGATGCATCTACTTAAATAGATGTAATATACATGGATTTTGCTAAAGCCTTTGATAAGGTACCACATGAGACTTGCAAGGAAATAACTGGGACATGGAATAAATAGTGGAATTCTAGAATGGATAAAACAAAGAAAACAGAGGGTGGTGCTAAATGGAAATGAAACTGACTGGAGAAATGTCATGAGTGGGTTACCACAAGGGTTCATTTTGGGGCCAACCCTTTTTGCTATGTATAGTACATCAATGATATGTGGTTTGTAATATTCTCATCAATTTACTTCCCAAATGACACTAAGATTTATCACAGTGGGAAGTGAAAATTACATTGAGGCCTTAAAGATCTACATGAACTCCACAAATGGTCAGAAGACTGGCAAATGCTATTTAATATAGAAAAATACAAGACCTTGCATGTGGGACATAACAATCGCATGTCGCAACTACCAAATTAATAACATTACCTTGCAGCAGATTGATGAAGAAAAGTACCTTGGAGTAAAAATCCACCATTCAGTGAAAGTTCCACATCAAGTGGAAGCAGCAGTAAAAAAAAAAAAGCTAGCCAAACCCTAGGAATAATCAAGCATACCTTTTAACTCTAAGGAAAAGAAGATAGTGATTCAACTGTGTAACTCTCTGGTGTGCCCCCACTTGGATTATTGTATCAAGGCATGGAGACCTCGTCTTGAGAAGGATATAGCTGCTTTGGGGAAAGTACAACTCTGGGCAAGAAGAATCGTACCAGAATTAGGACAACTGTCATAGCAGGAATGGTCAAGGGCCTCAGGGCTAACCCTGCAAACCAGGCAGGGTTAGCCCTGCCTGTTAAGGCAGGGCTAACTAACAGGGTTAGTTATTGTTAAGGTGATAACACTGTAATAGTAGACTGACCATCTGCCTCCTTACGAACTGGACACCACCATTCTGCCTCTCTCAAGAGAGTCCACATTATTTAATATTAAATAGGAACACCAATGCTTGATTATTTATAAATTCAAAGTTGCAGTTATTATGACCAACTACTTCATAAAGAACTAATGAGGTTTACTTTAATAGATACTTTTGAACAATTATTGAAGGTGAAGTTAGCAGCCCATTTGGCCTTGGAGCATTGCACAAGGGTGACATGGTACCACCCTTGATACATTTCTACTCTGTAATTCACGGTAATCTCATTGACGTATTGTGTGTAACACTAAATTTTAAGAACACATTACCCATATACAAGTTAATACATATGTAATCATATTTGTTTATTTGTAAACACACAATTGTTTCTACTAAGATATTTGAATTGTAAAGTGATTGGAAAATTATCAATCATCCCACAGCTGTAGTGGATATTTTTCCACAACATTGTCTGTGTTGAGCACTGGTTGTCAGTATGAGGCATTGATATTATGGGACTTCTTGTCAGTATGAGGCATTGTTATTATGGGACTTCTTGTCAGTATGAGGCATTGTTATTATGGGACTTCTTGTCAGTATGAGGCACTGTCATTGAGACACTGGTCGTCAGTATGAGGCACTTGTGAGAGAATGGTTGTCAGTACGAAGCACTTGAGAGAGACTGGTGATCAGTATGAGGCAATAGTTGTGTGTGTTAGGCACTAGTTGTGTGTGTTAGGCACTAGTCAGTTCAAGTCACTGGATATGTGCACATACAGTCTGTTTAAAAGATGCCTTGGTGCGTATAGTGCACGATGTGCACCAAATGTGTCGAGACAAATCGTGAGTGGAGGTTGCAGTTCAACCTTGTTCCTCATAACCAGTTTGTTCGATGAATGTCTGATAATTATACTAAATACTTTATCTTTCCATTGGTTTGCATTTTCAACAGACATTTCCATAAATGTAGAATAATGATCTCAGGGTGTAAATGTTCACTCTTCAAGTACAAAATTCAGAAAGTTTTTTGTGATGGCCACCAACAGTTTGTCAGTAGTTTATGTAAAATGAGATGAATGTAGAGTTATGTGCCTCTTCATCATTACTATCATACAATACCAACTTTGCCCATATCTTATCGGTCATACAGAGAATGTTTCTCCACTGGTTGTATTAATCTTACAAATTTATAGATACTGTATTAGTAATAAAACTACTGGTATTGTAGGCAAAATATCATTTTGCCAGTTCAGAAAGCAGCAGCACACTCGTAAGTAATGGTACACTCCTTGATCCTTCTAGGCTACGCACATCTGAGGCCATTGAATAACTTGGATTTTATAAATTTTTGGGCCTCGAGCTATAACTCATAATGAGGGTGTAAGGCAGCAATATTCAGTAAGAATTTTTAATTTTTGATTTTCAGGTTCTGTATAACAAGAATTATGGTTGTGACAGTTATGTAGAACAAATAATTAAGACTCATACAAACAGTATAAACACACTGCTAAACACACTGGCAATTTGTATGTAGTCATAGTAAATATTAATCTGTATAACTAGTAATAAGTTAATTCATAGTAACTTAAATTATATATACAGGTATATACCTAGAAAAATATATATATTTTGCATGGCTTGTGTATGTACTGTACTAGATTTGGTTAGCAGTGGCTTGTAGCTATAATGTATGTTTGAGAAACTTTCTGCAAGCCAGTCTCCTTTGTTAAGCATAATATAACAAACTATGCAATGGAGCAGTCTCCAATGAGTGTTTACTTCTATGCAATAATATCGTCGTTGAACACAATTCTAATGTTGAACCTGATATTGTCAGGATCTACTACTGAGGATATAGCAATAATTACCAAACAGTACAGCTGTGTGCACCATTTATGCCCATTACTGTGGGTCATCACAGCTCTTCAGGCTTAAAAAAAATTAAAATGAAGAATGTAATTCTAATTTGTAGTATCTTTTAATAAATTTTCAGTGTTTATTTCTATAATTACAGTACAAAAAACCTGAAGTCGTAAATTTATCTTTGCACAACTTATTGACATTCCTTTTTCTTATTGTGTGTATGTATCCTAATTATTTAAGAATATTGTTGATGTCTTTGCAACTTTTACCCGCCTCAGTGGGCAGTGCCTTGCTGTTGTGCACTGTCCATGGGTAGAAGGGAGTGGCTATTGCTTAACATATGGGGTGCATTTTGCACCACCATGGTAAGTGTATGGAGACCCATGCACACCCTTGTTCCCTCATCTGGGAGTTGTCTACCCAGCGGCTGCAGCACCTGAGGGGAAACGAGCATCTTTGGTGGGGGAATGGGGGTAAAATGGGTGGTTCAGTGGAACCCACTTTAACAAATTTGCTCATTTGGTTAGCCCTGCCAAGTTATCCATAGGGTCAAGTGGGCATTTTAGGATTGGCCCTACATATGATCAAAAAAACCTACACCACTTGCCTTCAAAGGCACTCTCATAGGATCTTTTCTGACAATTGTGTTGATGACCCTAACTTGGGACCCAAGTCATACCTTCATACATATGCCAATTAATAGGCAGGAGAGGGATTGGGGGGGGGGAGACAAAACAGCTCAAGGGTGTTGCATGTGAGCCCCTCCTTCAGCACAAGGCAGCACCCATGAAGGGCCACAACCAAGAAGTGTGATTAACCAAGCCATCCTTGTCAAATATTAATCTTGGAAAACGAGTACCAGCATTTATTTTACGTAAATATTATCATGGGTATTGCCCAGTATTATTATTTATAGTTTTTAATAATTTTATTATAATTTAGTACATTTAATGTCCACTGACCAACAAAGCAGGTCATTTAACAAATGTTTTTGTGGCACCAAACTAATTACACAAAACTGATAAATTAATAATTACAATTTGAACTGTTTATGCACAATTAAAAAAATATGAACATTTTGGCAAAGTTCTTAAGGAAACACACATTGACAGTGTATCCGGCAAGAAAATTGACTCGAGCCAGCTTTATGGGTTACACGAGGCAACCAACATGGGAGCCAGTACCTACTGTGTGAAGGAATCTACTCTCCTGCTGCACTTAACTTTTTTGAGACAGTAACTGCAGTAGACACCAATGCTCATATAGGGTACATGTCTTAAGAACACAAAAATTCCTATATTATCTGGGGACCGCTCCAAGCAACAGCCTGTTGGAACAAGTTATCACAAGTCGAGCCTGGCCTTAAATCGGGCTCTGGGAGTAGAACTCCCAATACCCACTCCAGGTATGCTCCATATAAAAAAAAAAAAAAAAAAAAAAAAAACAACTAAAGCATCATATTACCTTAAGCATTATTATTAACACTGGCATAACCAACACTCAACGTCACATAACAATGACAAATATAAATGCTTTCTCATTAACTGCTCGTGAGAATTCATAAGGGTAGCCTTGATCTTTCCTATCTCATCCCAGGGGAGCGTGAATATTGTTCTCTACATGAAACAGCTTTCCTGATACAAAGAAGAATTGCAAATTGTAACTGGGAAGTGTCCTACAAGTATGAACTTGATGAAAGCTCAGTGCAGATCGATTATAATTGTGTAGAACAATATAAAATTTATACCAATGTTCAATTCGAAGGATCTAATTAATAATTTTGAAAGACAAATGAATCACAGTCAGTGTTAAAACTCTAATGTTTGGCAGCCATCCCCATACAATAAAAGGTCCAGAACGATTTACAAACAAACCTAAAATTTGTATGTAGATGTCATCAATTACCTTTACAAGTTGTTGAAAATAGGTGTAGTATATAGGATTATTCCTTCTGTTCTTATCCTTGTATGTAGCAGCATTTCAAAAATTAATATAAAAAGGCCATTAGGCTATATAAAATATTTTATTCTTAACAGAACCCGAGTTGTGTGCCAGATAATGTACGACAAACATTACACTTGCGAAGACATCATGCTTGCTTCACTATCTTAACTATACCTTACACTAACACAATGTACATGTTTAGTCATTACACAATTGATATTCTACAACTGTACAATTTTCATAATATTCATTCTCATGGTAACTGGCTGTACATTCCAGTGATGTTGCACAATTTGTCTCTACGCAGTCATTTCTGGAAATGAGAGAAAAGGTCATAAGAATATATTAACTAATCTAAAGTTAACATAACTACATTAACATACTCCATATAATGTATGACTAAATTGTTATCTATTTAATTACCTCCATAAAAAAAATGCTTCCTCACACAGCCTCTGCTAAGCGATCCCCCCCCCCCCCTCCCACCCGTGGCTGCTGACCCTCTGCCCACCGATCCCACCCACAGCTACTGGCCCTCTGTCCATTGATCCCACCTGCAGCTGGCCAGTGGCAGGTGATTCTTCCACAGCCAAGATATTATAAACACATATGATTATGATATTTAGAAACTTCTTTCAATCCGTATCGCAGGTCATTTTTTCATTCCACCTAAACACCACCAAACTTTAAGTGGCCAAATATAACCATTTTTAACCTGATCTGAAGAGAGAATTGGTAAACTTAGAATAGGCATGCAGACAATGAGTCACAATAACGTGGCTAAGTATGTTGACCAGACCACACACTAGAAGGTGAAGGGACGACGACGTTTCGGTCCGTCTTGGACTTGACAATCGACTTGAGAATGGTCCAGGACGGACCCAAACGTCGTTGTCCCTTCACCTTCTAGTGTGTGGTCTTTTCAACATGACCAAACCACACAAAAAAACGGAAAAACAACAACAATTCGGTTCATGTATATATACACAAACAAATATATTTTGTTAATTAATAAATCAGTGAATACTTACGGCTGTGTTGGGCTTTACACTGGCGTAACGCCTCATTAAAACCCTCGCACACGGATACATCGGACTGTGTTTGAGCACACTGCAGGAACTGTTTTATCTCCCAAGCACATGGTCCTTGTGGTTCCGAGGGGCCACCCTGTTGAAAATGACAGTCAATATAAATGCTAAACATTTATGACTATACACTTCCTTCTTGCCACATGCTTCCACCACATTATTCTCCTACCATAGTGACAACAAAAACTACTTTACCTCTTATCAATATACCACAAGTAACAACATTCACAATTAATGAAATACCAGTATTCCATTAACTAAACATGGGAAAATTGTCACTATTTTCTTTTAAATCTATCCATCTCAACATCCATACACGTGTCCACTTGTGCATCCATCATCCTATCTATTTATCCATCTCTGTATCCATCCATCCATATCTATCCACTTATCCATCTGTACCTCTACAGATGTACAGTATATCTATAGATCAATCCATCAATCTATACCTCTATCCATCTACTGTCTCTGTCTGTCCCTTATTCTGCCTGTTTGTCTCTTTCTGTCCCAGGTGCACACACAATCTTTCTTATAGTATACAATACTGTACTGTAGATGCAATTGTCTAATGTGTTTGGTGGTCACCAGTGAGAGGAGCTTAGTGGTGTGAAATACTAAATAAAGAATAGTTGCCCCTAACTCTGATGTATGTATTTATGTGTAATTACCTAAGTAACTACTTAAGTGTACTTACAGGACAAGAGCTATGCTCGTAGTGTTCTGTCTTCCCTGTACTCTGTCATATAACGCTTTGAAACTATCGACGGATTTGGCCTCTGCCACCTTCTCACTCAACTTGTTCCAACCATCTACCCTCTGTTCACAAAAGAAAACTTTCTTATTATTTTGGCACCTTTGTTTCATTAGCTTGAATCTATGTCCTCTTGTTATTGAAGTTGCTGGTTTCAGGAATTCTCCTTGTCAATTTGGTTGACTCCTGTTAATATTTTGTATGTGGTGATCATGTCTTCTTTTTCTTTTATTTTATAACTTTGGCATATTTAATGCCTCTAGCCTCTCATAGCTTTTGTTTTTCAGTTCCAGAAGCCATTTTGTAGCATGCCTTTGAACCTTTTCAAATTTATTGATGTACTTCTTGAGATAGGCATCATTCAACTACTGCACATTCCAATTTTGGTCTCATAAAAGAGAGAAGTGTTACATAGAGAAGCCCGAGGCATTAAATATAAGGCGATATGATCACCGCTTTCAAAATAATAACAGGAGTCAACGAAATTGACCGGAATTCCCGAACCAGCACTAGCAACCTCAAGAACAAGAGGCCATAGCTTCAGGCTAAGGAAACAAAGGTGCCAAAAAAATATTAGAATGTTTTCTTTTGCAGAGTAGTAAAAGGTGGGAACAAGTGAGAGAAAGTATTGAAGGCCAAAACCATCAGTAGTTTCAAAATGTTGCAAACTAATCCTGTAACTACACTTGAATAATTACACAAGTGGTCCATAAAACAGCTTTATACTTCTCACCAGGACCAGCAGGCAGGTTCACAGGACTAAGACCCAACCACATCAAATACTTAAACCTGCACTGGAAGACATTGCACAGAGTCTTCTGGTAGAACTAACTAGATTCACAAACGTGTGTCTGACTGGCAACATACCAGCAACTATACAGTCTTTCTTTTTTGGTGCATCCCTCAGAAATCAGACCAATAGCTGTAGGCAATTCGCTTAGCAATGGTGCCTCTTTGCCAAGGCTGCTGCAAGAACACTTAGCCTCAGGTTTGGCATTCCCCAAGGGTGTGAGGCAGCAGCTCACGTAGCTAGAGCTTTCAATGCCAATATTACAGATGAAAAGGCCCTGATCAAACGATTTCAAAAATGCTTTCAACCTGGTAAGAAAGGATGCGGTACTCCTTGCTGTTCATTGTTATTTCCCTTCCCTTTACCCATTTATACACTTGTTACAGCAAGGACCTAAAGCTACTATTTGGGGTCCCGGTTTGGTGCCTTCTTTTGATAATTACTTACTTACTTACTATTTGGGGAACGTGAAATTGACTTACGAGATGGTGTCCAACAACAGAGCGATGGTGACCCCCTGCTCCTTTTATTTTCTGCCTAGTCATTAAAGAAGTCACTAATGAGCTCTCATCTGTCCAATGAGCTCAACATTTGATTCTTGGACGATGATACTAAAGATGGTTCCCGAGACTCCCTCCTGGAGGACAAAATAGTTCAGGAGCACGGAGCAAATCTAGGCCTCACCTTGAACTTTTCCAAGTGTGAAATAACCTACCAACCAGTATATTATAGATCGAATAAAGGGTGTTTTGCTCAATATCCGTGTAACCAAACATGAGCACAGCACACTCCTAGCTGCTGTTGACCAAACCACACACTAGAAAGTGAAGAGACGACGACGTTTCGGTCCGTCCTGGACCATTATCAAGTCGATTGAGATGAGAGGAAGGAGGCAAAGGCAATAAATAGGCAAGAGAGGTGAGGAGAGCTCACCACTCCTAGGAGCTCTTCTTGGAGCGAAGGCCATCAATGAGGACTTTTGTAAGATCTCTGACCGGAAGAGGATGGAAAAGAGAATCGAAGACAATGATTCTTATGATGCACTTTACCTCATCATCAGATGCTTGTGCCATCCCAGGCTAACCTACTTTCTCAGATGTTCATCTTTCAGTAGCCTTAAGCTAAATGAGTATGACAGCTTGCTGAAATCATTGTTAGAAAAAACCTTTATCTTTGCTCTCTGACTCGCAGTGGAAACAAGCCTCCCTTCCTGTCAGACTTGGAGGGTCACAACATTTGCACAGAAACACAAATTGCTGTACCAGGATTCCTGTCCTCTTCTTCAGGTTATATTTTGAGATTATCTTGAGATGATTTTGGGGCTTGGCGTCCCCGCGGCCCAGTCCTCGACCAGGCCTCCTTTTTGTTACACCCGCTCAGGAAGCTGCCCATACCAGTTGTAACTTGCAGGTACCTATCTACTGCTAGGTGAACAAGAGCATCAGGGTGAGAGAAACTGCTCATTTGTTTTCGCCTCCACCGGGGGATCTAACCTGGAACCTAAGGACTACGAATCCGAAACACTGGCCACTCGGCTGTCAGCCGTCCCCCCCCCCCCCCATCTTCAGTGTCATCTGACAACCTGGTGAAGGAAATCCTACTGGATTAACCAAGTCAACAGGCAGGGGTGCAATCCCAGTTTTATACACCACCACCAAATGAGTGTCTCTTGCAGAACCACTCATAGATGTTAGATGCTCCTGTAACCACATGCATTTAAGTCAATACAAAGAAGATCCTCGGGTCTGCATCAGGTTAGGTTAGAATAAATTGGGTTCCTATTCTTGATCTTCCTCTCTTTACCGTGGGTGGGCAGGGAAACTTGCTTTTACTAACATATCCTGCAAAAAGGATCCCCTTTTCCAGGCTATCAGAGTGGGTCCAAAGGGAAATGATGTCATGCTGGGTGCTCACTAAAGGTGCACTCCATCCACTGCAATCCACAGGGAACACTAACCAGGTACCAGACCACCAGAACTATTAAACCTCCAAAATCCGTGCCCAAATCGCAGGCCCAAATATGTCATGCCCAGGACAACAACGCAAAAAGAGTGGTCCATTTCCTAACATCATGGCCATGAGGGGTAGACCAAAGACTGGCTAGACTTCATAACACTGCAGATGACCCAAGAAAGACGAGCCTTAGAACGCAGGGTCAAGGTAATAAGATCAACCCACATAGTGCCACCAAGGTAGAACTGGTGGTACGAAGGCAACAGTGGAGAGCTGCCAGCAGACACAGCATATGATGCACCCCCAGCCAAACCAACCAAGAATCAATGACCAAAGGAACCCTCTGGAAACCAACCCTCTCATATTTCACCAGAAAAGGAGCTAGCTGCAAATGAACAAAATGCACACTAGAGGCAAAAGAACAAAAATCCCACTCCATAGGAGTACATGAAGCTCCCCAAACGATCACAGACCAAAGTGAACACTGTAAACCAAGAGGAAGAAAGCAATGCAGGAACATGATCCAAAGACCACACAGGTTCAGGTGGTGCATGAGCAAGTTGGAGTGAGAAAATGTGAGAGCGCGCTTGTGAAATGAAGCCTTGGATATATCAACCTCAAATGCACACTGCAGCAGCTTGGCAAGTGCCACACGATACAAGACAACAGTATTGAGCACGAGATGCCGATCAAGAAAATGCCGAGAAAGGAGAACACTACATACTCAAACTGAAGAACAATGGTGATGGGAGAGGAAGTAGCAAAAGGAGTGCCATGAAACCACGAATCTCAAGACTTCCAGTAAAAACCGAAAGTCTGGCGATGCATGCGTGTTCATGCAGCATTTGCCCAATAGCAGTAGCCCCAGCCCATCTGAGGCTGCGAGTTGCTGCGATGATATTTTTAGATATTTAATTTTTTTTATCAGTAATTTTATTCAAGCATTTCATTTGAGAAATGCATATACTGAACAGTAATAAAATCTGAGGAACATTGGAATGCTCAAATATATTCGTGTCACTAATATGTGCTCTATATTATATGCTTGGAACAACAAAACACACAGGTTTTTGCCATTATTTAACTATATACAGTCTCGCATTATACAGTACAACTATCTACATTTTCAAGCACCAATACAAATGACTAGGCAGTTCTGGTGGGTGAAATAATCCTGTAAACAGTTATCAGAGTTCAGCCTAGTGCAGAATGTTTTCTATGAAATTGTAACTGCATCCTTTGATTATATTTTTTATATATTTATGATTTTACCATTTTTTCAAGTGCAATGATGCAGTGGGCTGTCCATGTTATTTGTGTCAGAGAACATGTAGAACATTGGTATGCACAGATATATATTTGTGGCACTAACATATGCACGATACTGTATTGTATTATTTGGACAATAAAATGACTAAAATCTATCATCAGATTCGTCAATAAATCATGAATACGAATAATTTTCCACAAGTTTATTTGCTAAAGAAACCCGAGGTCCCGCTTCATGACAGGTAGATGCACAAAACTGCGGCTGCATGATGATGATGTCTGCTTCCCGCCAAGATCAACATGACAAGCATTGTGTTTGCCAATACCAAACCTTGAACATAGTTTTTATAAGTTGAAATCTTTATGAAACTATCACAAAATAATTGAATTTTTATTTATCATTATTAAGTGATGCTGTGGGTACAGACTACACAGCGAAGCTGTGAGCTGCAGCAGCATGCACTACCCTTGGTTGCTCTCTCAATAATGAGGCCCTCACACACAGGAGGGGTACTCAGGGTTTTTTTCCTTTCTAAGATGGCATCTGTTTACTGGATGTCCAAGGAAGCAAATGTGAGCACCGAGGCGAGACTTAAATCTGATGATGTATCTTAAATCATCCCTCATTGAGTTGCACATTAAAGTCAGGTACAATATGGTGTGATCATCCCTGTTTGACACACATTTGAAGGGTTAAAGCTCTGCTCAGCGAGATGAGTAATACGGTACGTTACATGACGCAGTCAAGACATTTTCACCTTGTACATCCTCACAATGGTAAAGGTAAATATGGTAAATTAGATCATACTTGGGTTCTACTTTGAATCACTTAATGATGTATTAAATTACATGGCTAAAATCTCTTCCAGAAGAAATGCATATTTTATATGCAAACTTTTCACTTGCAATTTGCAAATTACTTACAGGAACTGAACTTCATTATATGATTTGATTTGTACCTTAAATACTGTAGCTGTAAACCAATTTACTAAGTATTTGCCCATTCCCACAAACCCTCTAGTTGATCTTGTTCCTGACCTACTAGTCTTTTACGGCAAATAAATTTTCGTTTGCCTTATACTATATGCTAATTTGCTGGTCTTGAGACTCGCAGCCATATGGTTGTTTTATATGAAGTTTTCCTCTACCATTTATCTAAATGGAGAAGTGATGTGGGTGGACCCTGGGAACTATATAATATTGTAGGTGGGCCCGGTAGTGTGGGGTGGCTTTAAATAATTGACAAAACGAGCCAAGTCCTTTAGACTATTTAGCAATGGGTTGCCCTAAGGTTGTATTAGAGTGGGAGGAACCTGACTTGCCTGCATGGGGTACTGGTTTGGGTGGCCCTGGTACTGTGGGTAGCCCTAGGGTCATGCTGGAGTGGGAGCAACCTGACTTGCCTGCATAGGGTACTGATGAGGGCTCCCCTGGGGTTGTGCTGAGGTAGATGCAAACTGATTTGCCTACATCGGGTACCGTTGTGGGTCGCCCTGGTACTGCAAGTAGGACTGGGGTTGTGCTTGGATGAGAGCAACCTGGCTTCCCTGCATGGAGTTCTGTTGTGGGATGCCTTGATAATGCATGTAGGCCTGGGGCTGTGATGAGGCAGGAGCAACCTGACTTCCCTGCACTGTGTACCATTGTGGGCAGCCCTGGTACTGCAGGTAGGTCTGGGTTTGTGCCATAGTAGGTGAAACCTGGCTTCCCTCCATGGCGTAGTGTTGTTGGTAGCCCTGGTACTGTGAGTAGGCCTGGGATTGTTCTGGGGTGGGAGCAAATTGGCTTACCTGCATTTGGTACTGTTGTGGGTAACCCTGGTACTGCAGGTAGGTCTGTAGTTGTGCTGGGGTGGGAGCAACTTGGCTTACCTGCATTGGGTATTGTTGTGAGTAACCCTGGTACTGTGGGTAGCCCTGGGGTTGTGCTGGGGCAGCAGCAGCTGCAGCAGGTTGATCTGAACTGCTTCCCCCGCTTGTCAATGCATGACCAACCACATGACCCTAGAATTGAATCAGAATTACCAAGTGTTATTAATCTTAAGAACTTAAATTATAACAAAAATATTTGTTATGGCATAATATCAGACCTTCCCACTGAACATAACCACTTGTTAACTCATAGCTACTTTTCTCGTACCTCTGAATCTTGCCCGTATATAACAAACATGTCTTTAAACTTGTACTATACTGGACACTGTACACAGTCCAATAGAACCCAAATTTAATACAAGTAAACTAACTTCAAGACCTCTGGTAGAACTATCATATTGCTTTCTTGCCATTAAGAGTGTGCCTCTGGTACTTTCTTGGCATTAATGGAGCACCTCCGGTACATTCTTGGCACCAATGGATGCCTCCGGTACTTTCTTGACATTAATGGAGCCTCTGGTACCTTCTTGGCATTAATGGAGCGCCTCCAGTACTTTCTTGGCGTTAATGGTGTGCCTCCGGTACTTAACATTAATGGAGTGCTTACTTGGAGCATACCTGGAGAGGGTTCCAGTTCTGCTCCCTGAGCTCATCCTGGGGCCAGGCTCAACTTGTGATAACTTGGTCCAACAAGTTGTTACTTGGAGCGGTCTGCAGGCCTACATATCCACTGCAATCTGGATGGTCTAGCACTTCCAGGAACCTACCTAATTGCTTTTTGAAGGTCACCTTTATTCTGGCAATATTTCTAATGCTTGCTTGCAGAATATTTAAACAGCCGTGGATTTCTGATGTTCAGTGCTCTCCGTTTGTGCCTATGGCACATGCACTCTGCACTAGCCGAATGTGACCAATCATACTGATTAGTTTTGGTTTGGATATCGTTGCCAGATGGCAGTTCTCAGTTAGCATTATTACACTGTTCATGAACAAGTTACAATAAACATTTACACGTGAAATTGCCTTGTCAACTAGAATATAACCCAACCGAGCCTAATAGTGTAATCTAAGCTAACACTTCCTAACCAAATGATATATCCAGTTTTGACGATCAGAAAACAAGCTGTCAAAATTTGTGCATGATTTAACCACAGCATATTGCAATAAAGTAGCCATCACAACTGCAAGAAAAATGACAGGTAGGATAACAAGAACCTTTCAAACCTGCAATGCTATACCAATGATACTTTTCAAGATGCTAGTGCTCTCTAGAGTGGAATACTGCTGCACAATGACAGCCCTTTTCAAAGCTGGAGAAATTGCCGATCTGGAGAGCGTGCAGAGATCCTTTACTGCTAGAATCCACTCAAAAACTTCTAAACTATTGGGACCCACTAAAATGCCTAAATCTGTATTCTCTTGAATGCAGGCGGGAGATAGACCTAATAATTTAAGCGTGGAAAACAGTAGAGGCTGGTCCCAAACCTGCACACAGAAATAATACCACATGAGACCAAAAGGCATGGCAAGATGTGCAGAATACCAGATTGAAAAGTAGAGTTGCAATAAGTCAAGAGATAACCATCAACATCAGAGACCCGAGACTGGCATCGAAATCAACGCAAGGTAACTAGTGAGGTTTGCAGATCTTTCTGTACACAACTCCACATGGCTGCCACGATGACTTTTAGTGTGCTGCCGCGTAAGGGCAGCACACTAAAATACTAATACAAAAGGGCATTTTGCCAAGCTTATACGATGATTTTATACATGGAGGGAACAGGGGGAACAGGCGAGAATGTTCATATAATGGGGGATGGCCTGTATTGTACGATACTAAAATTTCTAACGACTGTATTCCATTATCGATGCCGATTCCACTAAAAAGTCTAAATTCCAAGACAATTATCGATTCAGATTCTTTTCAAAAATATAATTGGATACTTATTTTTCAGAAAATTCTTATTTTAGTTTGGTAAAATTAATGATTTACATTATGAGCATGGCACATGTATTAATACAATAAATTGATTTAAGGAAAGAAAACAATTGGTAAATCCAGCTTAATCTTTTGGAAGAAACCTGAAAAGTGAAAACATTCCATTATACAGGCTTTAATTGTGTAGTATACAATAATATCAAATTTACATTCTTATTTCTAATAAAGTTAATATGGCAGCATTAGCTCAATTATAGCAAAGCTACTTCCTGCCTACTCAAAAAGTGATCTTTTATCTACTTATCACATGGGCATGAGAAACTGAAAACATTCAGTTTCTCATGCCCATGTGATAAGTAGATAAAAGATCACTTTTTGAGTAGGCAGGAAGTAGCTTTGCTATAATTGAGCATACCCATCACAAATCTACAGGTGATATACGTATATCTATACAGTATACGTATATAGATATATCTACATACGTTTTAACAATGACAATTTTTAATCCTTTTATCAAATAAAATAACGTTGCAATAGTAGTTAAATTAAACTATATTTCTATTACCTGAAACTAAAAATAAATTTTGTTGTAAGATGTTAAAAAATCGTGTTAAGAATTGGAAATCACGATAACTTTCTCTAGATTCCAATGCCAATTCTAAATGACAAATTTTTTTAGAACCTTACAATTCTTTATACCAATTCCAATTAATCATCCCATCATTAGAAATTATACTTAGGTAATTACTCGCAAACACTATATTACGTCTCATTGTTCTAGAGAATTTTATGGTTTAAATTGCAAATTCCACATCTCCAAGTTTTTTTTTATGCACTACTTGTAAATGGTGAGCTTTCCTGCTTGTCACACTTGTCAAGGCACACACTTTCCCCATTAGTCAGAAGAGAACAACTGCTGCAACTATTTTTTTTGCCACACATGAACAAAATGATCTTACATATGGCAAAATTTTAAAACTTAAATTTTCAAGATTTATCCTAAGTTTTACAAGATTACGTGGCAATTTTAAAATTTCTTGTTCAAACTTTTGCTTGTATTATCAAGATATAAAATCATTTTATAGCATCAGCTCTGTTTTGAATGATGCTTGCTTATTAAGTAAAGGTATAATATAATAAAGGAAAAAGATGTACCACAGCTGATCCAACAGCAACACCGCCAGCAGTGGCAGCCATCTGTGCAAAGAGTCCGGGTTGTTTCGGAGCAGCCCCTGCAGCTGGAGGTGGAGCAGCAGCAGGTGGAGGTGGTGGGGGTGCTGCCCGATGTGGTGGCGGCGGCGGTGGAGCCGCACGCCTGCAAAATATCATCAGTTCAAAAGTCAAATCTTATAGTAATTTATACATTCTGTAATACACACAGTTGTATGATCTATACTGCTGAAAATCTAAGGCCTGGCACTTAAGGAAGAGCCTCACCACTATCTAGAGCAAGAGCACCATACTCTAATGTCCTTTACTTTTGCTATCCCATTTGGGGTCACACTGCACCCCTGAATGAATGACAGGCAACTTGCATGGGACTACACCTGTGTATCCACCCAGGCTGATGCCTAGATACCATCATTACTGCTCAAGCAAGTGCCACTACCACCCAGAGTAAAGTCAAATACAAGGAACTAGTCCACGAGCATTAGTATCTACAGCCTTAAAAAAGCAAAGATTCAGTAACCACTCCTGTGATTGAGATAATGATACGTACATACAAGCAAAAAACAACTAGACAGCAGTGGGAACAGAAGCAGAAAGAAATTGAGAAAGGGATAGCAGACAATTGTAAAACCAAACCAGGCCTATTTTATAAATTCATTTAAAGCACAATGAAGGTACAGTACTGTAAAGGATAAAATCCTGAGGGTGAAAATGGTGAACAGATTCACAGAGCATGAAAAGGAAATACTGTACCTGAAACACTAAATGAGGTGACAATGCTAATTTCTGATAATAACGAAGTAAAAATAGAGGTCTCATGACAAAGTAGAAAAATCACTAAGAAGTTAGGAAGAAAAAAAGCACTTAGCCCAGGAGGGGTATCACCTTGGATTATAAAAAAAAATGCACACCTGACCTGAGCATTCCACTTCAACTTATATTTTAGACATCTTTATGTACAGAAATATTAGCAGATAACTGGAAAATGAAACATAGTTCCAGTCAATAAAGATGGCATCAGAAAATTCTTTAAATTACAGAACAGTATCTGTACTGATACTGACAAGCGTTGTAGAACACTAGGAAAATAGTTAAAACCAAATGGGTAGATCCCCTGGAGAGAAATAACACACAGACAGTATGGCTTTCGAACAGGAAGATACTGTGCAACAAATCTGCTTGTTTCTATGACAAGGCCATGGAGATTTTACAGGAAAAAGATGGTTGGGTTGACTATTTATCAGGACATAAAAACCCAGTGTTGAATGTAATGAAACATTAATTCCTGGAGGAGCCCCTTGTGGCTCCTGAAGCTATTTTCCCGAGATTGCTTTATATTAAAAGGTCACATCAATTATGGATACTTCTATTTGGCCTACCAGGGACCAGAGCCAGAACATGGCCACCTCAAAAGAAGTGCAGGGACCAGGTGACAATCTGACACCTCACCAGAAACAGCCTCCAGAAAGTCAATGCAGCTTTACAGGCAATTGGAGGATTCACAAAATGAAGCCTCAAAAACTGCCAAACTCTGTAAATATCTAATGCATCCCAAATTTGTTCCACTATTAATTCAAGTTCTGCAATTGGCTGACTTGCCTCCCCAAGTCTGTTGTACCTGGATTGCACCTGGATGGGGGTTAATGGAGTTGTTCTACTCCTCGAGCCCAGCCCGGGGCCAGGAGAACTGACAAACTGATGCACCTGGAGGGCAGGAGGGTGGCAAGGAGCCACCAGGGCTCCTCCAAAAATTGATTAATTTAATTTAATACTGGATTTCTGGAAGCCTCTTGTGGCTCCCTGAAGCTACCTAACAACAGAGAACAAGAAGGGACTTATCAGGAAGGAGAGGCAGTAGGCACTTGACCCTTAAAGAGCGGTTATCATATGTTGATTTATGGGGTAATGTGGCTATCTTCACATGTTGTGCTAACCTATTATTGTCTGGGTTTTACACACATGATTCTAATACTGATGTAATAGTTCTGTGTGGATGTAATGGAGTTTACTTTGACACATGACAAAAATCCTGCTATCATTTCATGGTTACCTTACTACTGTACTGTATATGAATGCAGTTTTTGTAAGAATTGTTACTATGAAAATGTGGTAATCACCACTGTATAATATTCCATCATAATTACATGATATGTATACAGTACCAATGTCATATGGTTTTCTCAAGTATTTTGTTGTAATGAAGTATATCAGATCAATCAATCATCAACTGAACATAATAAAGGCATTACAGAAGGTCTATTGGCCCATATGAGGTAGCTCCTATTTATATCAATATGCAGAAAATCCACAGAGAAATGGAAAAGAAAGATGAACGTTTTGGCCGATCAAGGCCATTGTCAACACCAGACTGTAAAATTGTTCATGATCAAACACTGATCATATAAATGATCAGTTTCATGATCGTCAATTGCACTTACCAATATAAATAGGATCTGCCCTGTATGGGTCAATACAAGACAACTATATATACTGAAAGAGATGTCTGTTTGCCACTTGTTAGCAGCCAGAAGCTTGGGGTTATCCAGTGCATTCCATCTGTTAACTGCCCTGATACTGAAGAACAAATTCTAATGGCTCATTTGAGTGCCAAGTTTCCACCTGTGTCCCCTTGTTTGTGTTCTGCCCATGCTAAATACTTTGTCTTTGTTCACCCTGTCAATTTCAATGAATTTTAGAATCTGCAACATAATTAGGAAGATCACCGATGAGCTAAAAGACTCCAAAGCCCCAGGTGTGAAAAGAGTTCAATCCAAAGTCATAAAGGAACTGGCAGATGGACTATGCCTATCACCAACTGCTTTTCAGAAAATTTCTGGAACAAGAGATAGTCCCCCCTAGATTGGAAATGTGAAATGTCACCCCCATTTTCAAAAAGCAGAGAGAACTCAGCAGAAAACTACCATCTGGTCAGCTTGATGTCACATCTGCAAGGTCATGGAGAGAATCCTAAGGGAATCATTCACTATCTTGGTGAACAATCTTGTACAATCAACACAACATGGGTTGATTAAAAATAGATCCTGCTTTACAAACCTACTCCTTTCCTAAACAGAAATCAGCCATTCAGAAAAACTCCTGCGATTTAAATTAATTCTTGTTAAGATGGGATTGTTCGTGTGAGGAGTTGTGTGACCTGTCTGGCCTCACCACACGGTAGTAACACAGTAGACAGTGAACAAGAACAGTTTTTCCTTTACATTGTATCACGAGTTGTAACTTTGCCACTTTAACTTCAAACAGCCTACTGTGTAATGGTCAGCTGAACAAGTAGGCCTTTCCTTCCTCCTCTCTCCTTCCCTCAATTTCCCTACGTACCTCCTGTCCACCTACGGATATTGGTGCCACATTGTTGGTACTGTTTTCCCTCTGGATGGTTGCGAGGGCGGGTTTACTGCCTCGTCGAATTACAAGAGCGGCCCGTCACACCTTCCCTTGAGGGTTGATCCATAGTCAGTTTAATCCAGTTTCATGAGAAACTTTGCCTTCTTGGAGTTTTATTGTTGTCATTGGACAAGGACAAGGCATGACTTATCATTGGCTGAGTGTGCCAGGACTTTAGACCTGGTTTCAGCTAGAGAGAGCTACACAACCCTACCACAGCTGTGGCAGAGGACTACACAACCCTACCACAGCTGTGGCAGAGCTACACAACCCTACCACAGCTGTGGCAGAGAGCTACACAACCCTACCACAGCTGTGGCAGAGGGCTACACAACCCTACCACAGCTGTGGCAGAGGGCTACACAACCCTACCACAGCTGTGGCAGAGGGCTACACAACCCTACCACAACTGTGGCAGAGGGCTACACAACCCTACCACAGCTGTGGCAGAGGACTACACAACCCTACCACAGCTGTGGCAGAGGGCTACACAACCCTACCACAACTGTGGCAGAGCTACACAACCCTACCACAGCTGTGGCAGAGGGCTACACAACCCTACCACAGCTGTGGCAGAGGACTACACAACCCTACCACAGCTGTGGCAGAGGACTACACAACCCTACCACAGCTGTGGCAGAGGGCTACACAACCCTACCACAACTGTGGCAGAGGGCTACACAACCCTACCACAACTGTGGCAGAGGGCTACACAACCCTACCACAGCTGTGGCAGAGGGCTACACAACCCTACCACAGCTGTGGCAGAGGGCTACACAACCCTACCACAGCTGTGGCAGAGGACTACACAACCCTACCACAACTGTGGCAGAGCTACACAACCCTATCACAACTGTGGCAGAGGACTACACAACCCTATCACAACTGTGGCAGAGAGCTACACAACCCTACCACAGCTGTGGCAGAGGGCTACACAACCCTACCACAACTGTGGCAGAGGGCTACACAACCCTACCACAGCTGTGGCAGAGGACTACACAACCCTACCACAGCTGTGGCAGAGGACTACACAACCCTACCACAGCTGTGGCAGAGGGCTACACAACCCTACCACAACTGTGGCAGAGGGCTACACAACCCTACCACAGCTGTGGCAGAGGACTACACAACCCTACCACAGCTGTGGCAGAGGACTACACAACCCTACCACAACTGTGGCAGAGCTACACAACCCTACCACAGCTGTGGCAGAGGGCTACACAACCCTACCACAGCTGTGGCAGAGGACTACACAACCCTACCACAACTATGGCTCAATTCAACACTAACCTTAGAAATAACAAACCTTAACAAAAATATACTAATCCTATCAGGTGATCAGAATATTGACCTGTGCCAGCGTGATAATAAACACCCCCTGGCTGCCTGTCCCCCGACACACTGAAGTAGTAGTAGTAATAATAATAATAATAATAATGGCTCACGGTGGAGGTCGTCTCGGGGCCGGCGCTCCTCGTCGAGGCATCTTGGGGCAGTGTGGCCGCTCTCCTCTACCTGTGGCTGCCTCTACTACAACACCTCGCTCTACTACCCACTAACTCTTGTTAAACGCTCTCCTGGGGCCACAAATGAGTCAAGTAGAGGGAGGGTGGTGAGGGTGCGGGCATGTGTGGCGAGGGAGAGCAGGAGAGTATGGCGCGCGCACCTCACTATACCTCACATCAACCTCCTCCTCCTCCACACACTCTCATATATACTTAATATTACACTCAAAAACTACAAAACTAATTTAAATAGAAACAATTTATTCCATAATAATATATAATTAAGAGTAATATTTATAAAACAGGTTTTAACGCGGAATATTTTATACCTAGATGGAGACGATAGTGAGTATTGCGGGCTATTTAAAATTTCAATCGCTTGCGAGATTTTTAGTCATAAATTTACAAACCTTTTGCATCTCTAATTGTTTGGAATATTATCTTACATTAATTTAGTAAGCCTATGAATTGTATGCAGCAGTTAGTTTTGTAGTTTAGTTCATTTATTATGCACCCCATACCCAACTTGGGGCGGTAGTGGAAAGGGCAACAGGCACATAATAGGCTCAGGGATTGAACCACACAATTCATTTAGCTAAGCAAGTTACAGTCTTGATGAGCTAGTTACAAAATTCAATGCACATCGTCACATGAACACTGGGCTCAAGACCGAGTACACTTTCTAAACTAAGCAACTGACATATGTGGAGAGCTACTGTCATAATTTATATACCATCTAGGTATAAATTTGACCTCTGCGAGCCTGAAAGCCCTACTGCTGCCAGCTTCCTCAACTGTATGAATTCCTGCTTCCTCATACCCTTAATCACTAAACCTACTAGAATCACTGATAGTACTGCCACAGCTCTTGATCACATCTGGACCAACATAACCTCTCCGCTTACTTCAGGGATAATCATCGATAGCACTACAGACCATTACCCCACATTTCTCCTAACTAACATCAACACACCACCTCTTGAGACAAGGGAGATAAGCTTTAGGCTGCACAATGAAACTGCCATAGGCAATTTTATAGCTGCTGCTGCTAATGTCAACTGGGAGTCCGAATTAGGTACCATAGGGAACATCAACTTAGCAGTGCAATCTTTTCTTCAAAAAACTCTCAGCCTTTATAACACCCACTGTTCTATGCTAACGAAACAAGTCACAACTAAAAAGGCTAAACAATCCTTGGCTTACAAAGGGGATACTTAAATCCATTAATAAAAAACATGACTTTGAGAAGAAGTCAGTCAGAAGTCTGAGAAGTTTGTCTCCGTGGTGTAGTGGTAAGACACTCGCCTGGCGTTCCGCGAGCGCTATGTCATGGGTTCGTACCCTGGCCGGAGAGGATTTACGGGGCGCAAATCCTTAACTGTAGCCTCTGTTTAACGCAAAATATATTCTTGTGCTGTACCCAGTGTGTGCTAGTGCAGGCTAATACGGGGATATTATATGAGCTTATAGCTAGTTTGTGATCTACACTCTGTAATCTTTCATATAGAATAGGGTAGCAGAACATTGCTGTGTATACCTAGGCTTGTCAATAAAAAAGTACATTATTGTGAAAGTTATTTGGATCTCAATATAAGAAACAGTTGTATCATTGATGATGGCCCTATTGTGAAGGTCACCAACATGACTTACCCATATATACTATATACTCTTCTATATATAATATATAAATACATAATAATCGTTACATATATTAGACAACATCCATAAATAATATACAAAGAGAAAAAAAGCAACATAAAAGTAGCTTACATGATCCGTAATTAATATTTTTCTTCTTGTTACCTAGCAGGTTGGCTGCCAGACATCTGTATCCGAATCCCTTGATCGCTCCCACACGCACACTATAATCATTAAATAAGTTAAATGCATTCAATTAGTAAAGATCATGTTTTAATTAAAACATTGTATATTTGATGTAAATTAGGAGTTTGCATGATAATGAGAGCGTGATGTGAGTGTGTTAAGGCAGAGGCTCACTAGAGAAGGTTTAGAACAAATGCATGTTTGGTCAGGTGTGGGTCGGGACTCACGACTGTGGGTTCCTATAGTGGCCTGGACCATGGGCGTTGTGGGCGTGCTGGTGGGTGTGGGCTTTGCCCTCTACCTCATTACCAAGTACAGGCAAAGAAGATGGGGAAAATGTAAGAGTATGCGTCGCCTGGAGGGCAAGGTCAGTAATGTTCTCAGAGCTTATTTACCTGGGGGCCAATACACTAGTGACCTCAATGAGGACAGGAATCCGGAGGCTTGTCAAAGGTTCCCCCCCACCCCCGCATTTATCATGATTTTTCAAGCTGGATTTTGAAGTTCATCAGAGTTTGGGCATTTATGGTTTTGCCATTACCGCTTCCATGGGTTTATAACTATGGGTGCAAAAGCATCTCCTGTTTTCTGTCTTACATTGTGGCTTGTTGAGCATGAAACTGTTGTTCCTTGTTTGTTACATCTGACCTTTTGAAGACGTTTTCTAGATCTTTCAAATTGTTCAGTACAGCGGTACAGTACCTCCACTTAAGAATTTAATCCGTTCCCAGAGACGGGTCGTAACTCGAAATGACTTTTCCCATAAGAAATAATGTAAATTGAATTAATCCGTTCCACACCCCAAAAATATTAACTTAAAAATACATTTTATACCAAATACCACTCTCTTTGTACTAGCTACAATACAGTATGTATATCTTGCCTTTATTGAGGACTCTTGTTGGCATATGGATGACAGTGAGGACGAGAGGTGTTACTGTTGGGAAGGGGAGTCCCATTATAACACCAGACAGTGATGACTTCTCTGGGGTACTCTCTCTCCTACGTTTTGCCTGCATACCACTAGGACCTGGTTGTGGCTCACTGCTTCCTTGTCTTACTAAGAATCTATCTAAAGACACTTGTTTTCCCCTACATTTTAACACTTGTCTGTAGTGAGACATCACATTGTCATTCAAAAGGTCAATGCAACAGCCTGCTACAGCTTTATCTGGGCGTGTTTTTTCAACAAAACTTTGCAGTTCTTTCCATACTTCACACATTTTTTTCATAAGGAAGGGACATCCTCTACTGCCTCCACTCACATTTTCTTAGGTTGAACCTTACCACTGACTTTCTTGGGACTCATAGGGTGATATATAATAATTACTTTTATGTTCAAAAACCTCAAAAGCAGAAAAACAATGAAATTCTTTACAGAGAATTAAAGCGGAATTGTCACTTGTCGGGATACACTGGTAAACTGAAGCGCGCCACGTTCTCGGTTGCCCCATATGTGTATCAACAAAGTCATAAGTCGAGGCTAAGGTCATAAGGCGAGTCAAATTTTCCAACGAAATTGGGGTCATAACTCAAAAAATTCATAAGTAGGGGGTATTCGTAAGTCCAGGTTCCACTGTATTTTAAAAGTTTCAACATGAGCAGCTGTCATGCCTAGTTTGTAGTGTTGTTAGCCCTGTGGCCCTCAACCATTTTTGGTATGAGAGTTGACTTAGCTCTGGAATGATTTTTGTTGCCCAGTGTTAAACTTTCTCCAAAGCAGCTATATCTCTCTAAAGATGAGGTCGCCATGCCTGGATGGAGACTTCATCTTCAGGGGGGGGGGGGTGCACACCAGAGACTTATACAGTTGAATAACTACCTCGTTTTCTTTAACCCTTAGACCATGCAATACATACATATGCGATTTGACATAAAATAATTTAACATAAGTTTTTAAAACTTGCACAAACACTTTCCAATTTTTTTGCATAATCAACTAGGCAAATGCTCCAACTTTGTCTAAATGATCACAGTATAACTTGAAAAACAAGAGAATGAAAATTAATTTTAAAATTGAATACAGTATTGAAAACTTCAGATTTTCAATTCAGAATAAAAAATATGAACTACAGTATCACCAATTGTTCATTTAATGTTGTTATTCTCTCAGAATATCATATGATCTTAATTTGTTTAGTATGATATTGTAAAATCATATGATACTGTAAAAAAAAATCGTCAATTGGGCATTTGAAATATGCAGCAAATTTAGACCAAAAAAAATTATAACTCCAAATGTATAAAGTTTATGAAAAATCCATTCTGAAGGGATTGTAGAACAGACAGCTGAGCACACATTGTCAAATTAGTGAGAATTGGTCAAAAACTGGAATTTTAAAAGCCACTCAAAGATGAAACTCTAGTTTCAAAGATAATTGAAGTTGAAGTTATCAACAATGAATAAAGGTAGTTTTAATTCGTTAATTTAATTGTATGTTTCAATAAACATTGTTTGGCATTCGTACTCAAATATGTGAAAGTTGTAGGTCAATGTGTGTTGAAATGAAGTCAAGAAAAAATAACCCCCAAAAAACACAAAATATAGGGATAATTATAATGATTTAGGGGATATATTTAGGGTATACTTTATATAAGTGAAAAAGCCCTAATATGGTCTCTAATCATCAAAACAACCAAAAGAAATAAAGAAAATAGAGTTCAAAATCAGAGAAAAAATCAGCCAAAAAAATTAAAAGTCCCAAGTTTTGAGAGTTGTGACTGATTTATTTGTTGACCAATTTCATTCTATCTTCACATAGTTAGGGAAATATATGCATTCTCCAGGATAGTTACAACAAAATCAGATAATAAACAAAAGGAGAAAAAAACTAAAATCTTAAAAAAAAAATTTCCCCTAAAAAATATTTTTGGACATTGATGAAAGTAACATATATATTAACATTGGACAATGTATTTATATGATATATAACAAAATAGAGCATATTAACATAGTTATTCATTATTATTTGTGTTATGTATTACTCAGCAATGATATAAAGGCACCAACTATATATCCACTTTGTGGACACTTACTACTATTCTTCTTCTTTGAGCGTCGGACAGGTGCTTGCATCTCTTTATTACTGCATAATCCTTCAGTTCCTGTTATTAGGTCTCCTTGTCAACAAAATGTTCTTAATTTTTAAAAATTCGTCTAAAATCAATTTCTGAAAATATTTTGATGAAAGTTTCACGACACTGAAGCCAATAAGTTGGTGATTTGTTAAACATTTTTAAGTAATTTTTACATAATTTGAATATTTTTCACTACCAGGCACCCAATATGGGCGGTAATATGCGCGGTCTAAGGTATGCTTGATTATTGCTAGGGATTGGAAAGCTTTTTGTACTGAAGTTCCCATGTCATAAAAATTGCCACCCACACTTCTGTGGAAATAAATATTCCACGGAATGTTTATAGTGCCATGGCCTCACATGCATGGGATCCGCGGTTCGAGACCCCATACAGTGCAGATGAATGGAATGAGCTCCCACTTGTTGTGCAACTTTCAGTGAATGATGGATTCTGAATCCAAGGTCCTTTTCTTCATCAATCTGTTGCAAGATAATGCTAATTTGGTAGTTATGATGTGGATTGTTATGCCCCACATGCAAGGTCTTGCATTTTTCAATACAGTATTAGAAAGCATTTGGGTTTTTAAAGGGCAATGTCAGTACTGGGGTCAGGGCCTCAGAGGGCACAGTCAGTACTGGAGTCTGGGCTTCAGAAGGCACAGTCAGTACTGGAGTCTGGGCTTCAGAAGGCACAGTCAGTACTGGGGTCAAGGCTTCAGAGGGCAAGGCCCGTACTGGAGTCAGGGCTTCAGAGGGCACAGTCAGTACTGGAGTCAGGGCTTCAGAGGGCACAGTCAGTACTGGAGTCAGGGCTTCAGAGGGCACAGTCAGTACTGGAGTCAGGGCTTCAGAGGGCACAGTCAGTACTGGGGTCAGAGTTAGTACTGGGATCGGGGCTTCAAATAGCAAGGTCAGGACTAATATTCCATGGGTAGCAAGCACCACTTACTGTAGTTGAATTGAGAGAAGCAGGTAATGGACCCAACAGAGACTACAGGTGGCGGGCTGATGACACCAGGTGGAAGAGTGAGGGGACAGGCTGCCGAAGACCAAAGGTGATCTGAGCTGCCATCTAGTGGTAATCAGCACATCACAATCAGGGTATTTACCCCTCAGCAACAATAGTTTGCCTCGTTTACCTAAGGGTACTTTAATATTTTCAAGCAATCATTAGTATTATTGCAACTGTGCTTTCTGATGGGTTTTCTAAGTTTTGTGATAGATCTCTGATCCCCTGCTCACGAGCCAGTGAGCCAGATTCTGGTCCTGGCCCCTGGTAGGTGATGAATGGGTCTCAGAGGCCCTCTTAGAAATACAGTAGCAACTATACATCTCATGATCATGTGCCATTGCAGATTTCTTAGAAATGTATTTAAAATTCTCTACTTCTGCCATAATCAGACCACATCTTGCTAGATGTTTACATACTGCACTGTTCTGTTGACAAACTTAGTATAACAAGCATGTCTAAGCTCTTTTATTTTATTGTTTCGATAAATGTGCCCCTCCCACCATTTTTTATTGTTGAATCCCTTATTTTTGTGGGTGGCATGAGGTCTGGCTTGAAATGTCTAGTTGTGGACTGGAATATACTGTGCTGTCATTTTAATAATAATTTAATAATTCATTTTGTCAGAGATAGGAAGCTTGTGTATATATGTACAGTACTTTAGTCTTGTATCGAGGTCCTCCCAAAATCAAACATCTGACTTTTCCCAGGATGCAACCTACAACATTTGCCTAACTCCTAAGTACAGTATCTATTTACTGCCATGTGAATATAGGCATGAGGTGAAAGGAAATTTACCCAACCATTTATATTATTTGCATTTAATTGGTAATACATGTACAGTAGTGATTTAATTTTTGCAGATTGTAGTGATCACAGGTGCTAATTCGGGCATTGGCAAGGAGACAGCAAGGGACTTGGCTAGCCGAGGAGCAATTGTTGTCTTGGCCTGCAGGAACCGCCAAGCCGCTCTGGAGGCTGTCCGTGACATACGCACAACCACAGGTGATGGAGATCTGGTTAGTGAATTATAGTAATGTACAGTAGTTTTAAAATTCATTAGGTAAAGTTAACTTTCACAGATTGAAAATATTTGTTATAGTGCTTTTTATATCATTACATAACTATACTATATTATTGTACTGTACTGTATATTTATAGGTATATGTTGTATAGTGCAATAAGTTTAATGTTCTGGTATATGGTTAGCAGATGACGCAGTTTTGCTGGATAACTTTTATGTCTGACGCTCATATAGAATGAGCCATCGATGTGATCCTAGACTCGGATGCTCAGACCCAGATGCTTCATAGCCAGAACAAGGTGGTGGTAGGGGGGGGGGGAACTAGAAGTAGGGTGAACCAACCCTGCAGGTAGGAGGAAGAGATGTGGACTTAACCCAGGTGCAGTTCACCAACACCTCCAATTCTGGGTACCTAAACACCAAAGGGGCCAACACCGGGGCATCAAAATAAGAATAATGGTGTTCAAGCCTAAGATGGGAAGACCGAGTCTGTAAAGCAGCAGCTGCCTGAGAAACGTCCAAATTAGATGCAGGTTCAGGGAAAATGGAAACCCAATGCCAGCACATGTCACAGGACTATGGTTCGAACATGTCTCTGCCCCAGGTAGCATCGTGGAGGCAGATAGAATGAGCATTACCCAATAGAAGAATCGACAAGCACCATTCAAACTAGCACATAGAGACTGCAGACTCGAGGGATTGATCCATCACAAGCAACACGGAATACCCACAGAGGAATTAAAAAGTTCTGAAGGTAGTTAACCAAGAAGCACACCTAGGCACTAAGCATGCTCGCCTGAAGAACAGACAATGAATAAGAAAGATAGGAGAGCACTCTGTCTAAAGACCAGGACGGCTCAGGTGGCATGTGAGCAGGCCGGAGGTGAAACAACGCCAAGTTGCTTCACCTCCAACCGGAAGGACCGCCAGGACAAATCATACTGCTGCTGAGAGGAAGCCCGCAGGTGGAAAACCAGCAAGGAAGCCACCTGATCACCATACCATATCCAAATATCTGCCTGTATCCAAATATCACTGATATTTGGATACAGGCAGCATCCGCATTGCATGCTAGGTTTAGGTTTCTGCAACACTCTAAGTTGGTTGTCCACCCAGATTCCCTAAGGCTGCCATGTTTTGGTTAGGTGTTGTTCGCCCTTCCTTATTCCCCCCTCCCCCAATCCCTGTTCCCGGCTCCAAACGTCTAAGGGTTTTGGGGTCAGGGCAGGGTTTAGTTGATGAGACTCGGGCGGCTGCCCCATTCAGGTTGGAGATGGAGTCATTTGAGTGTCTACAAGAGTGTCTTCCACCTGAGTGTCTACAAGTTCATATAAGGTTATGTCATTATGGCATGGTAACCAAACTTTTACTATAATAAATCCTGCTAAATGTGAGAAATGGCCAATATTATATTTTGGCCACAACAGGATACAAAGGGTTAAAATGCTCCAGCGCCATAAGAGTACTCAAGAAACAATCACAGTGACAAAGGAATGCTGATGCCTAAAAACCAGCTGACAAAAAGCATACACAGTTGCATAAAGCTGTCATAATGATGCAAGTCTCTGGGGGCAGGTGACATTTGTAGGTTTGGTTCTGAAAACCTCTTGGCCAAGAATGGACCAGACATGTGCACTCCCTCCCCATCTCCACACATGTCAGACCAGACATGTGCATGGTGCACTCCCTCCCCATCTCCAGGCATGTCAGAGAGAGACACGCACCTGTCACTAATAGTAAATGTGCTCTGATTTTCATTGAGTGATGCCAGATCTGTGCACTAATTACCTTTATTGATGCAATTTGCCATCATACAATCTACTAAATGATAATATTTTCCCTATACTGTATTGTAGTTGTTGCTTGACTCTTACTGCAGATTGTTATGGAACTTGATCTTGGCGACCTGGCGTCTGTCAGAACATTCTCGTCAAATTTACTTGAAAAATTCAACAAAATTGACATCCTGATCAACAATGCTGGAGTGTTTGTTCCACCTGAGGAGCGAAGGAAAACCAAGGATGGTTTTGAAATCCATCTGGGAGTGAACCATCTGGGTCACTTTCTTCTCACGCATCTGCTTCTCCCTCGCATTCAGAGTACGCCCAGTTCTCGGTATGTTTTGAGCATTGTATGAAATTGTATTAAAGAACTGCATTCTTTAACACGTAGGTTTTTAACACTGTTTGCAGGAAGGCGTAATTACTTTCAAAATAATTAACAAATGCAACATCGTAAGATCAGAAAGTAGCAAGTTTCACACTTTTCTGTAATTTTTGAGTGTCAATCATGCACTTACTGTTAGTGTAGATACAATAATCGAGCTGATTAAGGACTTCAGTCTTCCATGTCAGGGGATGATACCTCAGGCTACCATGTCAAAGGACTCCTCAAGACTACTTTGTCAGGGGACTCCTTAACCATTAAATGTCATCACTGACCTCTTTCTTTTAAATATCCCGCAAACACAACTAGGTGAATACTCAGAACACTATGAATGCCACTTCTTTTTCTAAATTTCTCAAACCATCCCCTGCTTGCCTTAAACTCTTTTGCATTTGCATCACTCGTTCCACTTTTTCTTTAAAAAGTCTTCATGTAATTTTCTTGCCTTTTCACAAATGATGGCCTCTGAAACTCTATCACCTGCTAATTCTTTGCTGTGTATCCAAATTAATAATAACTGTTCAACATCCTCAAGTGTTTGTGTTCTATGTTTCGTGATTATTGATACGCCTTTTGCCACTTTAGCACTCATAATGTCCTTTTTCTTAGCCAGTATGGTGGATATTGTTGACTGAGATTTGTTGTATTGCCTAGCTAGTTCAACAACACGCACACCATCTTCATATTTACGAATGATCTCTTGTTTCTGCTCTATGGTCATCTTTACATGGGTTTTTGTATGTTGAGCCTTACCACTGACTTTCCTGGAACTCATGGTGTGATATATAATAATTACTTTAATGTTCAAAATGCAAAAATCACCACAAAAGCAGAATTTCTTATAGGCGTGATCGTCACTAAGCGGACAGCTGTAGTAAACTGAGGCAGGTTGGCCGTGTGACCGGGAACCACAGGCTCGGTCGACCCAAACGTGTACCAACAAATATCGTTAGTTGAGTCGCATTTTTCGATGAAATTTACATCGTAACTCAAAATTATCGTAAGTCGAGGTGCCACTGTATCTGAAAAACTTTCTGGAAATCTTTATAGAGTTCTTCACACAATTTATGTGGCCTCGTCCTCTTTTGTGTAGTCTGATCATTTACTGACATCTTCCGCCTCATGTGGCTATACATTTTGAGATCTTTACAGTCGTGTCTTATATTGTCCCATGTTTGTGTATGTGTACTAGTTTATATCCATACACTTGGCTCTCTTGGTCATGCAAGAATAACTCTTAATTTTAATTTATATTGTGATTATAAATTACTATACTGAGATTGAGTTTATCTATATTTACAAATAAATGCCCAGTAATTACCTTATTCACTTTCTTAGGATCATCATTGTGTCATCATCTCTGTATAGACATGGAAGAATTGACTTTGACAACCTAGATGCTGACAAAGGCTGGGATGTGAAGATCCGACCCAATGTCTTATACAGCAACTCCAAACTAGCCAATATCTTCCACAGTCAAGAGCTTGCTAGAAGACTGCAAGGTAAATCTTCCTATTGCCTTATTCTGTTTTTTATTACAATCTGTATTTTACCTTTTTGTCATGATTGTGGTAGTAAAGTCTCATGCTGCAGGTCTACCTAGTGTTCATTTATGGAATCAGTATTTCCATGGGCTGGTCTCTGACCAGGTTTCCTGGTTGGTGATCTGGTTGGTGATCTGGTTGGTGACCAGGCCACTAGACATCACTGTTTGCAGTCTGACATGTGAATCACAGCCCAGTTGATCAGGTATCCTTTAAGGTGCTTATCAAGTCCTCTTTTGAACACTGAGAGTTGTCGGGCACTTATGTATAGAGGGAAGGCGTTTCAGTATACCTATTGCACCTCTGCTTTTCATATGCAATATAGCACTTTGTGCCATGTCTTCTGGTCTCATAGTCTCCTAATGAGTTATTACCATAGAACCAGTCCCTCTAATATTTTCCAAGTAAATTATTATGTATCGTTCTTGCCTGTGCTCCCGAGAATACACTTTGAGAAATTTTAAATATTCACAATATTTTAGATGATTTATTGAAGGGATACAGGCTGTAAAAGCTCTCTGTATGTTCTCCAGATGAAGTCAGCAATTTTTCCAGCTTTGAATGGGGCTGTTAGTGTAAAACAATATTCTACCCCCAGATCACTAGTGTCTTAAAAAGTATCATCATTGGTATGCCTGCTTGTCGTGTAAATACTACTACTGACAGTAGTATGCTAATAATGGTACTACTGCCTATCCACCCATGCTGTGATACTACTCCAGCCTGTCCACCCATCCTGTGATACTACTCCAGCCTGTCCACCCATCCTGTGATACCACTCCAGCCTGTCCACCCATCCTATGATACTACTCCAGCCTGTCCACCCATCCTGTGATACTACTCCAGCCTGTCCACCCATCCTGTGATACTACTCCAGCCTGTCCACCCATCCTGTGATACTACTCCAGCCTGTCCACCCATCCTGTGATACTACTTCAGCCTGTCCACCCATCCTGTGATACTACTACTCAAACCTGTCCACCCATCCTGTGATACTACTCCAGCCTGTCCACCCATCCTGTGATAATACTCCAGCCTGTCCACCCATCCTGTGATACTACTCCAGCCTGTCCACCCATCCTGTTATACTACTCCAGCCTGTCCACCCATCCTGTGATACTACTCAAACCTGCCCACCCATCCTGTTATACTACTCCAGCCTGTCCACCCATCCTGTGATACTACTCAAACCTGCCCACCCATCCTGTGATATTACTCCAGCCTGTCCACCCATCCTGTGATACTAGTCCAGCCTGCCCACCCATCCTGTGAACCTACTCAAACCTGCCCACCCATCCTGTGAACCTACTCAAACCTGCCCACCCATCCTGTGAACCTACTCAAACCTGCCCACCCATCCTGTGAACCTACTCAAACCTGCCCACCCATCCTGTGAACCTACTCAAACCTGCCCACCCATCCTGTGAACCTACTGAAACCTGCCTACCCATACTGCGATACTACTCCTTGCCTAGGACTTGGCACAACTATCTTCCTTGCAAGGCCAGTATGGTGACCACTGCACTGCATATTGCATGTCCTCAGACAGGCTTTAGAGAGAGACAGAACAGCATGTTGTAGGGAGACAAAATAACAGGTTTTATGGAAACAGAACAGTGTACCTCAGACAGGTTTAGCTAACCATAAAACAACTGAGACAGAACAGACCCCAGGCAGGTTTTAGGTATCTGTAGAACAATAGAAAGATGGAACAATAGACCTCAGACAGGGTTTTAGGTACCTGTAGAACAACAGACCTCAGACAGATTTTATGTACTTTTAGAACAACAAAGACAGACTAACAGACCTCAGACAGGTTTTAGGGAGGTGTAAAATAACCGAGACAGAACAACAAACCTCAGGGAGGTTTTAGGGAAGTGTAAAACAGGTATAGAAAAACAGAATTAAAGTACGTTTTAGGGTCATTAAACAAGAGTCTTGAGATAATGTTTAAGGAGGTTTAGGAAACACTAACATGCTGTCAATGCACCATTTATAAAATGTCTATAACTTGTGGCAGGCAGTGGCACAGGAGTGTTTGTGCTGTGTCCCGGATTTGTGTACACAGGCCTCATGCGTTATGTTGTTGCCAACTTTAGCTGGATCAAGAAACTCTGCTTTACTCCCATTATCCTCATTTACATGAGGAATGCAAACCAGGTGAGATTTGCGAGTTGTGTACTTGTCGTGTAGACTGGGTGAAGGAAAACAGAATTCTGTGGGTTCTTGTATTTTATTGTAGAATATGGTAATGCTGTTGCTGATGTTATAACACTTGCCTATTTTAGTTTATATAAGAGGTACAGTATAGAGAACTGATATAGTTGCTGGTAAAATAGTCATTTACATTGGTTTGTGTGTGATACTGGATTATTTGCATGCCCTTAAGAAACTAATGAATTAAGTGAAATTGGCTACACCTAATAGGTTATCATGGGGATATAAGAGTAAGAGTGAGGAATGAGAATGGGGCAGATTTTGTGAGAAATACTGGAGTGGCAGGCAGTTAGTTACCTGTGACATTGTTCTTGGGTAGACCTCTTAATTAAATGATTTAATTCGCGTTCACTGTAACAGTACACAAAAAAAGTACGACCGAAGTGATAGGGAGCAGAAGTGGTCAGATCAGTAGTCACAACCAAATTATGCCAGGTTTGATTCCCACATTAGGACAAGACATTTGGGCAATGTTTCCTTTCACCTGATGCCTCTATTCAATTAGCAGTAAATAAGTACCTGTTAGTTAAGCAACTGTTGTGGGTTGCATCCTCAAGAAGTTGACATAGGGCATCTCAATTACCCTAAGAGGCTTCCTGTTGCCAACAAACAGAAAACAGAGCAGTACCATTGGTGAGAGAGTTAAGGAGGTCGTGGAAGCCAAGTTCGTCCAAGCTATGGTACTCAAGTTGTGTTGAATTGGCCTCTTTCACAATTATGATGAAGTAATGAAAATATTTTATTCTTTGGATTAGATATACAGTACTGTATAGATCAAGAGTTGAAGCCCAGCTTGTATTACCTGGAATATGCTCCTCATTTTATGGTAGTGTGGTTGCTGTAGACTGACTGTGGAGTAGGGAAAGTAGTGTGGCTGCTGTAGACTGACTGTGGAGTAGGGAAGGTAGTGTGGCTGCTGTAGACTGACTGTGGAGTAGGGAAGGTAGTGTGGCTGCTGTAGACTGACTGTGGAGTAGGGAAGGTAGTGTGGCTGCTGTAGACTGACTGTGGAGTAGGGAAGGTAGTGTGGCTGCTGTAGACCGAGACTGTGGAGTAGGGAAGGTAGTGTGGCTGCTGTAGACCGAGACCGTGGAGTAGGGAAGGTAGTGTGGCTGCTGTAGACCGAGACTGTGGAGTAGGGAAGGTAGTGTGGCTGCTGTAGACTGTGACTGTGGAGTAGGGAAGGTAGTGTGGCTGATGTAGACTGTGACTGTGGAGTAGGGAAGGTAGTGTGGCTGCTGTAGACTGTGACTGTGGAGTAGGGAAGGTAGTGTGGCTGCTGTAGACTGTGACTGTGGAGTAGGGAAGGTAGTGTGGCTGCTGTAGACTGTGACTGTGGAGTAGGGAAGGTAGTGTGGCTGCTGTAGACTGACTGTGGAGTAGGGAAGGTAGTGTGGCTGCTGTAGACCGAGACTGTGGAGTAGGGAAGGTAGTGTGGCTGCTGTAGACTGACTGTGGAGTAGGGAAGGTAGTGTGGCTGCTGTAGACTGTGACTGTGGAGTAGGGAAGGTAGTGTGGCTGCTGTAGACTGTGACTGTGAAGTAGGGAAGGTAGTGTGGCTGCTGTAGACCGAGACTGTGGAGTAGGGAAGGTAGTGTGGCTGCTGTAGACCGAGACTGTGGAGTAGGGAAGGTAGTGTGGCTGCTGTAGACTGACTGTGGAGTAGGGAAGGTAGTGTGGCTGCTGTAGACCGAGACTGTGGAGTAGGGAAGGTAGTGTGGCTGCTGTAGACCGAGACTGTGGAGTAGGGAAGGTAGTGTGGCTGCTGTAGACTGACTGTGGAGTAGGGAAGGTAGTGTGGCTGCTGTAGACTGACTGTGGAGTAGGGAAGGTAGTGTGGCTGCTGTAGACCGAGACTGTGGAGTAGGGAAGGTAGTGTGGCTGCTGTAGACTGACTGTGGAGTAGGGAAGGTAGTGTGGCTGCTGTAGACCGAGACTGTGGAGTAGGGAAGGTAGTGTGGCTGCTGTAGACTGACTGTGGAGTAGGGAAGGTAGTGTGGCTGCTGTAGACCGAGACTGTGGAGTAGGGAAGGTAGTGTGGCTGCTGTAGACCGAGACTGTGGAGTAGGGAAGGTAGTGTGGCTGCTGTAGACTGACTGTGGAGTAGGGAAGGTAGTGTGGCTGCTGTAGACCGAGACTGTGGAGTAGGGAAGGTAGTGTGGCTGCTGTAGACCGAGACTGTGGAGTAGGGAAAGTAGTGTGGCTGCTGTAGACTGTGACTGTGGAGTAGGGAAAGTAGTGTGGCTGCTGTAGACTGTGACTGTGGAGTAGGGAAAGTAGTCATAACAAACCACTTATCAACTTGCATAACTTTTGTTGTCAAACATGTTGGCTAAATTACATTAGATTATTTTGGGACAGTATATTTTCTTGACAAGAAATATATTTATTTTGGTGACAAACATGTCAACTTCCAAGCTCTGAATATGAATAAATGTATAATGTACATAATTTGTATATGGTATTTAGTATATGTATAAAATCCTCTTCATCAGGGAGCCCAGACCACAATTCATTGTGCCATATCTGAAGAGTTGGATGGTGTAGAATGGGGATTCCTACGTGAGTGCAAGATAGACACATTGGAGAAAATTGCTGAAGATTGTGAGACGGCCACCAAGCTCTGGGATGTGTCAATGTCTCTTGTTGGGGAGAGGGTGGCAGGGATGGCCACTGTTGGTGAGAGGAAAGAGGCGGTTTTGGAAGAGCAAAGAGCCTCCTTGGAGGAAAGAGAGGCATATGTAGACAGGGATGAAAGAGAGCTAGTTGAAGATGAGGGAATAACAATGGAAGAAGAGGAGGAGGAGGAGCATGAAGCTGTGGTAGAAGATAAAGAGGAATTGCCAGAAGAAGAACTGTCTTTAGATGAAGAAGAGCCATCTTCAGCTGATGATGATGATGAACTATTAGTGAACAGGTCACTTGATGAGGGAAAATCATTGTTACCACACCAACACTTGCAAGGTCATAAATCAAAATAATTAAAGAGGAATTTTGTAAATACCTGTACTGTAAGTTTTGTTGTTTTTCTTTAGTAACTATATCTGAACAATAGCCTACATATAAGTACTCTGTGCAGTTATTAACATGACTTTTGTAAATATTACACATTCAGAAGTATATAAAAAAGACTTATTTGTATATCCTTTATATTATTTGAAGGTTTTGTTGTAATGAAAAATATAATTATTTTGGCCAAACCACACTAGAAAGTGAAGGGACGACGATGTTTCGGTCCATCCTGGACCATTATCAAGTCGATTGTGATGAGGGAAGGAGGTGAAGGCAATAAATAGGCAAGAGAGAGGTGAGGAGAAGGAAATCTTAAGAGGAAAAAAGCAAGGCAAAAGGTATGAAAGGTAAGGTGTAATAAAGGGTTAAGACTCATGAAGGTTAAGACTCATAAACCTGGTGTTCCTCTTCGTCCTATCATTTCTTCACTGGGCTCTGTCGGCTATCCTCTTGCTTCCCGACTCGCTAAACCTCTGATGCTATATCTTGGCACTTCTTCTCTTGCCCACCTTCGTCACTCTCAGGACTTCCTAGAAAGACTGCGCCTGCAGCCCTGTAAGATGCTTAGTCTTGATGTCAATTCTCTGTTCCTCACTCTCGCCTCTGTCGTACTTTGACTTTTACCCCTCCTGTAGTTCTTGTTCCTCTTCACCACCTTCCTCTTTCTGTCCGTTTGTCTCACTTACAAGATTCTCTTTCGGTTCGTATTACCAATGTTTCTCCTCGTATTGTTCTGTCCTTGCCCCCGTGGAGGGTCCCCCCTTCCCAGATTTTGTACTTCCTTGATCTGCATCACTAAAGCTTTTACCCCTCCTACAGTTCTGAAATGCCTTTTCCTTGAGCACTTTTCTTCACACTCCCACTCCGTTTCCATCTTCACCGATGGGTCTAAGTCTGCTGACGGTGTGGGCTACTCTGTTGTTTTTCCTGACCACATTTATGTGTGTTGCCTTCCTCCGGAGGCTAGCATCTTCACAGCAGAACTTTATGCTTTTCTCTATGCTCTTCGTCTCCTGCTTTCTCGTTGTCAATCCTCCTTTGTGGTGGTAGTTGACTCTCGTAATGCCCTCATGGTTTTGGGGTTCTTTAATCCGATTCACCTGGTGGTCATTGAGATTCAACATTGACTGTTTCTTATCTCCAGTAAATTTAAGTCGGTAGAGTTTTGATGGGTTCCCAGCCATGTTGGTGACTCTTTTTAATGAGCGTGTGGATGCTGCCACTAAGGAAGCTATCCACACTTGTTCCATCTCCCGTAAAGGTATTCCTTATTCCGACTTTTACCCAGTTATTCATTCCTCCATCCTTGCCCATTGGCAGGGTTGTTGGTCTTCTGTTACTGGTAACAAACTGCATACTATTAAGAGTCGTGTGTCCCTGTGGCCGTCCTATCACTGTAACCGGCGGTGGGAAATGACTAGCTAGGTTACGTATTGACCATACATGTTTAATTCACGGTCATTTAATGGAGTGCTGCCCTGCTCCTTATTGTCCAAATTGCATTGTTCCTCTTATGGTCGTGCACATTCTTGTTGAATGTCCTGACTTCCAGGAGGAGCGTGTGTCTTGCTTTCTGACCATCCATCGCGGTCAATTGTCCCTCAATAGAATTCTTGGTGAATCGGATACTTTTGGTATCGTTCGCCTTATGCGTTTCTGTTCTCGTATTGGCATCCTTGGTGATATTTAGCACCTGATTACTCTGCACATTTAGTGGTGCTACATAGCCTTCCCAGTTTGGTGCCTTCCTTTGATAATTACTTACTTGAAGGTTAAGACCCAGAGCAGCCCAAGGGTTAAATGAGCATGCACACTCTGCCTCTGAGGATGCTATCTGCACTTGTCCAATCTCCCGTAAAGGTATTTCTTATTCTGACTTACCCAGTTATTTATTCCTCCATCTTTGCCCATTGGAAGGGTTTCTTTTACTGGTAACAAACTGCGTGCTCTTAAGAGTAGTCTTTCCCCGTGGCCTTCCTCTTACCACTGTACAGTAATTGGTGGTGGGAAACAGCTCTGGCCAGGTTACGTATTGGCCATACACGTTTTAACTCGCAGCCACGTAATGGAGCGCTGCCCTGCTCCTTATTGTCTCTCTTACAGCCATGCATATCCTAACTTTCAGAACGAGCCTTTAACTTGCTTCCCGACTGTTCCTCGTGGTCACTTGTCCCTCGATAGAATTCTTGGTGAATCGGATACCTTTAATGTCGTTCGCCTTATGAGTTTTTCTCATATTGGCATCCTTAGTGACATTTAGTGCCCTATGATTACTCTGCACATTTGGTGGTGCTACATAGCCTTCCCAACTTGGTGCCTTCTTTTGATAATTAATTACTTTAACCCCTGTAGTGCGCTTACCGCGATCTCATTTGAGATGTGCTAAAAAATTTATAATTTAGCAATACATGTATTTTGAAGTTATTATTATTATTATTATTATTATTTTTTCACTTGGTGATATTTTAATTAAGTCATTGAATTTGGCAATACTATATTTTGAAGTACAGTACTTCATGATTTTAAACGTTTTTGGTTAATATTAATAATTCTTTAACCTCTGCATCATGAAGTTGTCACATGAAATAGGTAAGTAGTGCAGGGGTTAATCCTTTACTTGTATTGTTAAATATCTGAAGTGTGAATTATTCTGTGAAGTGCTTTGATCATTCAAAATAAAGAAAGCTAGTTTTGAGAAAAGCTGGATCATCATCAGTTGAATCATATAGAATACATATCATTCATAAATAGGGGGAATAATTGCTCCATGGAATAGTTCGTGGCCTTTGTTTTTAGGACGAGTTGCATACACAACCACTGCTCACCAGCATTTAAAATAAAATGGTGTCATTTATTTAACCAGTTACTGACTCCCATCATTCAGTTTAGCCTTTACACAAGCTCAAATTGTCCACGATGTAACTCGGTGCATCAATACAGTAAAACAAATATTATGAATCTGGAGACCATTGTCAACTTGTCGTAGCTTAAGCGTCATGTTTGTCCGTGGAATGTAAGACTGAGTGTCTATTATTAAGGCATCAACACTGCCTGTACATTATCACAAAACCTGCAATAACTTTTATCATTGTTAACATCACAGATGAACATTTTATACCTTACAGGAGCATCTAATTCTAGCAGTTTATTCTTAGTGATATAAGTCTGAATAAGAATTAGGTGGATCATTGCACTTGCATGTTTAACCTATACTGAATTCCTAAACTCTGTAAACAAAACAAAAAGTAAACATAAATCGGTGTTAAATTAATTTACTTATATAAAGTAACACGTAAAACAACATCAGAGGTTGTACTTATTTGAGGAGGAGAACACGTTAATACAATTGTAAACATTATTACTTGGTATCAGCACTAAGGCTGACTCCTGGTCCCTTCAATATCAGTATCAAGACTGCTCATGGTTTCTCCAGTGTCAGCACCTTGCCTGACTTCTGGTCATACCATTGTTCCAGTGTCAGTATCAAGTCCGATGCCCATTTAATACAAGAAAGTTAATACTTCTAGTTTACATTTGAGTATCATTTGATTGAACTTAAGTGTCCAGCATCGTAACACTTGATGACTCTAGTCCAAGAGTCCTTCCTTCAGTCCTCACTCTACACTGGCTCTCTGTCCTAACACTCTACACTGGCTCTCTGTCCTAACACTCTACACTGGCTCTCTTAGTACTCACACTCTACACTGGCTCTCTCAGTACTCACTTTACACTGCCTCTGTCCTCACAACACACTGGCTCTCTGTCCTCACACTCTACACAGGCCTTTTGTAGCTTATAACACTGTAGCCGATAACAAGAACCTTTCTAACAAAGAGATGCCATACCAGTGATGATACTTTTTATGACACTAGTGCTCTCTAGAGTGGAACATTGTTTCACACTAACAACCCCATTCAAAACTGGACAAATTGCTAACTTGGAAAGTGTGCAAAGATCTTTTACTGCTAGAATCCACTCAATAAAACATCTAAATTATTGGAATCACTTAAAATTTAAATATCTGTATTTCCTAGAGTGCAGACAGGAGAGATGCATAATAATTTACATTTGGAAAATACTAGGACTGGTTCCAAATCTGCACATACAAATAATACCACATGAGACCAGAAGGCATGGCAAAGTGCAATAGGTATGCTGAGAGAGCGCTATCAACATCAAAGGCCCAAGACTTTTCAGCACACTCCCTACACACAATGGGCATAACTGGCTGACCTCTCATCTTTGAGAACTTGGTAAACACATTTAAAGGATATCTGATCAACCAGGCTGTAATGCTGATTTTTGGCAGATTCAATCATTTGTTTACAACATTATGGTCTCTCTGAACCTGGCAGTGATCTGTACTAGTTTGCCAACTTTTTGGATGGTTTTCCGATGGGGTGGCAGTGTCACCTGCTCTCTGTGCCTCTGTGAGGGGGCCAGGTTTTTGCTCTAATCTCAGATAGGCCAAAAAGAACTCTGCAGCTGATGTGACCTAGCAGTTGGGAGCCATCTTGGCGAGATAGCTTCAGGAAGCCACCAGGGCTCATCCAGGATGTCATTTCATTACAGTCAGTGCTGGTTTTATGCATAATTATAGTGTTTGCATATGATGACATCAGTTTGGAGGCATTTCTAAAGTGTTTGCATTTGTTGATACATCAGTCAGTGCATAATTCTATAGTGTTTGTATGTATTGTTGATACATCATTCTCTGCATAGTTCTACATTGTTTGCGCGTGTTGTTGACATGTTACTCTTGGCATTTACCACATGCATTTTTTGCACTCTTAATTCAAAACCTGTTCTTGTAGGCATGATACTTTTTCAATATATCAGTCTTTGTACTGTACTTCACACTTGAGACTTCTTTTCACTCATTAAATTTGACAATTTCTAATCTACACACTTCACACATCAGTTTTCACATTTGGCACACTCCAGTCATACTTTATTCTGCCCAATCTCAACTGTTGATATATGTTTCTTAATACTTTACAATCAACTCTTCACTCTTTAAACTTGACACTCTTTGAGCTTTCACACACAGACATGTTGATGTGTATAGCGTCTAGTCCCTAGCACCCGGCTACAGCCATAAACATTGAGACCAGAGCATATGGCGGACAATTTACCAGGCACATTGTTATGGTACACACTAATTTATACACATCCATCATTAAGGAGGTTAATACATCTCAACATCTTACTGTCTAGAGTACAACAAAAGAAAGTCTAGTACATTATGAAAGAAAATATATACGGGGTATAGCCTCTTTGCCATCTCCACATTGAATGTTCCAAATACCACACAACAAAACCTGCAAAGCAAGCTTTTGCTCTACATTTGGTATGCACACACATGCCTAATCTTTACTGCATTAATTTATAATTTTTAAGTTTGCTCATAAAGAAAAATCTTTGTCATACAATTTTGTCAGACAATTTGATAACCCTGTCTCAGGACATTATCAAGGCGGGTACTTCATTAGCAATATTGCAGTCTTATGTGGAATAATGTTATATATTATTAATAATTATTCATAATAAAGAAATTATTGACAACCTGCATTTTAAAGAAATAAAAACTTCTGAAACATAAATGGAAAGAACTTTTTAAAGGAGCAGCAGGTACCTTGTGGGAGATCACATGAAGTAACAACAAAACCAATGGCTGGCAAACAGCCTCAATATTCTTTTGAGGCTCAGCTTATCTTCATGTGTTAAAATACTTGATATTTGAAAAGAAAAAATTCCAGTAAAAAGGTTAAAGGCTCCATATTTCTGCAGTACTGCAATACATTTCTAGCCAGTGGAGGCAAGATAATTTTGAATCCACCAAGATACATGAACCTCTGCTGTGCATAGTAAATGTGGGCTGAAATGATTCAACAAATGGAGAAAGAACTTAACAACACGCAGGTACACGTTTGATGAGGCAAAGTCGTCGTTAAACTGTGCCTCAAGGTGGGGAAGGGGGGGAAGGGGTCACACAACAAGCATCAGGGCCTCGGCAACACCAACAAAGAAATGCTGCAATTTTCAAATGACATTCGTGAGGCATGGGCATCATTTTCAGCTAGAACTCGCTTTGAATGTATCTGTGATTCATATATTTTGCATTTTTGTGCTTAATATTGGGAAGGTAATAAGCTCTACAGTTGTAATTGTCAGCAGGGAAATAATTTCCAATGCATCATGATACTCTCCTTCATGAAGTCTATTAAAACTGTCACTGCAGCACTAATGATATTTTTAACATAACATTGGTAAGATTTGTTAACAGCACTTGTAAAATATTTTAACAGCACCAGTAAGATTTTTTAACAGCAACAATAAGAATTTTATAGCAGCACTATTTGATATTAACAGCACTAATAAAATTTGTTTAACAATACAGTAACAATAAGATTATTTTAAAAATAGCTCTAGTGCAATGTTTAACATAGTTCTAGTAAGATTTGTAACAAAACTGTAACATTTTTTAATATCACTTTAAGAGTTTTAAGTCAGTACTAGTAAGACTTTGTAAGGTAGCTCATTCAGCTGCACTCTTAAGGTATGATTTGCCATATTCACTGAACACTCATGCATTTAGGAAGGATAACAATTTGGTACTGGAGCCACATGGAACTTTCCATGAAGTCCCTACAGGGTTTGTAGGTGTGAGAATGTCACTAAGGGGATTCAGACTTGCAGCTTCTGAAGAACGAATTGCATGTTTGTGGCTGCTGTTTATTTTTTGTAGTTCCCTATGTTTTTGAGAAATATCTTGGGAAGCAGTTGAATGAGATCTCTCAAAAGTCGAGCATTGAATTATAAGAAAAGCACTTCTCTGAACGAATCCCTAGAGGATTCAGTTGAATCCCAGGTTGTATTGCATTTATCATATCATGGTGTAGTTGTCCAAGGTGTGTGCTTGGGAGTACCTAGAGCATGGGTTCCAATCCTCCTCATGACTCCCAATGATTTTCTCATTGATACATCATGTTAATGTGATTTCTTTGTACAGTGGATCATTTGGCTGCTCTCAATCCTACCCATCTTACCGCTCCTCACTGTATTCAGAGTTGTTCCTGTGTCAAAGAGATATGCGAGGTTGGTTGGGTGATGGGGCCGAGAAGTGTGCGAGTATATCCATGCAAGCCAACAAGTAATTTGCTAGGGTGCTCCCTTGGTAGTCACCTGTGATATAAAGGGAGGAATCCAAAGGGTTTTTAATTTTATGAAAGAATGTTCTGTGAGCTATCAGCCTTTCTGAACGAGATAGATTTATTATCCAGTGGCTCCTTGGAACTTTTATTACCCTGCAAGGATAGTTTGATGCCTGTGGCATCAATATCTACCTACCTTGACCCTGTGGTCGTCTTTGACTAGGTCTCCCGGTGGTGGTCTGGTCAACCAAGTTGTTAAATGCTGCTGCTCACAGTCTGATATGTGAATTGCAGCCCAGTTGGTCTGGTATCCTTTGGAGGTGTTTATCTAGTTTTTTTTTTTTTACACCATAAGTGTAGCTAATAATTCACCTTTAAGTAAAGATGGAGTGCTTAAAAGTTTTGGGCCCTTAATGTTGATAGAATTCTCTCTAAGCAGGGTTATTTTGCATTTCCTGCTGTGCCTCCTGCTTGACTGTGCATCATCCTGTCCAGTCGACAGTGTATCTTACCTTAGCGAGTACCCAAATGATCAGTTCAAATAGGTGCGTCTTATATATATTGCAAATTTAAAGTTTTGACTTTTTATCGTGATGCTGTATTCAATTTTAAAATGGCAATAATAAGATATTAAACATAGCACTAGCACAGTCTTCACCACAGCACAAGTAAGATCAATTACACAGCAAGAATAAGTCTTCAACAGAGCATTAATAAGCTCTTAATACAGCATTAAAATTACCACCATAGACCTGGGAAATTCTTAAAAAAGCAGTTATAAAATAAACATAGCATTTGGAAAAATTTTTGCATTGTTCAAACATAAGAACACAAAGGATGAAATCTATGACTGGATTTTATCATGAATGTTTTCAATGTTTTTACAAAGTACCAAAGCAATAATGTTATAAGCAAGGATGTTCAGCATGGCACTTACTATGACCAGTAGTGGCCAAGTGGCAGAGTTTTCAATATAACGGAATACAGTTTTCATCACAGCACCTTTAAAAGATTTGTTGACACTGCATACAATTAACATTACAGAATCTTTATAAGTCCTTAGAATAATGCTTATTATAAAGTTCAGACTCATTTTTGCACACCTTTGGAATACTTCTTTTTTCTCATTAGAAATGGCTAACAGCTACACTTGAGGTGTACTCCTTAGGTCAACAGCACTAAATAGGTAAGATGCACTACGTTAATACATCTTGCCTATTGCACAGGTAATTGTGCTATTCAAGGTCACTGGGATGGAAAGAAGGATGAGGGGATGCAGCACACCATATCCGACATCCCGTCTGCTCATATTACAAGCTCATCCACTTGAGTTTCAAATAGTGTGTTGCTTGTTTTGGTGTAATAACAATACACACTTTTTTTGTATTGAAGATCTCATCCTAACAAACCCTTCATGAAATATTTGATAAATTGTCATGTTAGGCTACTATATTTTATCTAACAGTTATGCTCAGCAGTAAGATTTCCAGGAACCAAGTAGTCACGTTTCCCAGCACATCTTGTGTAACCCAGCTGCCACACACCCCAGCACATCTTGCAGTAATCCAGCTGCCACACACCCCAGCACATCTTGCAGTAACCCAGCTGCCACACACCCCAGCACATCTTGCAGTAATCCAGCTGCCACACACCCCAGCACATCTTGCTGTAACCCAGCTGCCACACACCCCAGCACATCTTGCAGTAATCCAGCTGCCACACACCCCAGCACATCTTGCTGTAACCCAGCTGCCACACACCCCAGCACATCTTGCAGTAACCCAGCTGCCACACACCCCAGCACATCTTGCAGTAATCCAGCTGCCACACACCCCAGCACATCTTGCAGTAATCCAGCTGCCACACACCCCAGCACATTTTGCAGTAATCCAGCTGCCACACACCCCAGCACATCTTGCAGTAATCCAGCTGCCACACACCCCAGCACATCTTGCAGTAATCCAGCTGCCACACACCCCAGCACATCTTGCTGTAACCTGGCTGGACATTCCAATGTTGGCTAGCATAAGGTGTCTTTGCTCGAGGGTCAACACAGCAGTTTTAGTGCCATCAGATAACATGGTTTGCTAACAAAAATGTTCACTTATGACTTAGTTAAGGTTTCACATAACTATGTAATCCTTATAGCCTTTAAGAGCCTTTAAGCCCTTCTTCAATGCTTTGACTAGGTCCATCGGCTGAACGAGAATGGAGATATCTCGTCCGACTGCATTAAGACGATCAGCAATTTCCATGTGCTGCAAAGATTATTATGATTAATGTTGGGTAATGATCTTGATAAAAGTATTATTGGAATCACAACAATAAAAAAATTCTAAAATTATAATTACAGTATATACAGTATATTGGTATAAATATTGGTTGGAATTTGTCATTAACAACTTTAGTAATTCCTTGAGAAAAAATATTATATAAGACTTAACCACTGAATTTAGAAACTACTAGTATGTAGAGTATAACAGGGATTAACTGCTGTCGCATGACTTAAAAATACTGTAATTAGTTATATTACAAAGAACTCCATACACAGTACAATATTTAAATAATCAGTTAAAAGCTTGGTAAAATTCATAGCTTACATTGTGGTTGGTTTGTGGGTGGCCACAGGACAGACGTAAGAGTGTGATCATGACCACTAGGACTGGGTAATGTTCCCTAGGACTGGGTAATGTTCCCAGAGGACTCGGTAATGTTCCTGAGGACTGTGTAATTTTCCCGGAGGACTGGGTAATGTCCCCCGTAGGACTGGGTAATGTCCCCCCCATAGGACAGGGTAATGTCCCCCCCATAGGACTGTGTAATGTCCCCGTAGGACTGGATAATGTCCGTAGCACCGGGTAATGTCCCCAGAGGGTTGGGTAATGTCTCCAGAGGGTTGGGTAATGTCCCCAGAGGGCTGGGTAATGTCCCCAGAGGGCTGGGTAATGTCCCCAGAGGGTTGGGTAATGTCTCCAAAGGGTTGGGTAATGTCCCCAGAGGGCTGGGTAATGTCTCCAGAGGGTTGGGTAATGTCCCCAGAGGGTTGGGTAATGTCCCCAGAGGGTTGGGTAATGTCCCCAGAGGGTTGGGTAATGTCCCCAGAGGGTTGGGTAATGTCTCCAGAGGGTTGGGTAATGTCCCCAGAGGGTTGGGTAATGTCCCCAGAGGGTTGGGTAATGTCCCCAGAGGGTTGGGTAATGTCCCCAGAGGGTTGGGTAATGTCCCCAGAGGGTTGGGTAATGTCCCCAGAGGGTTGGGTAATGTCCCCAGAGGGTTGGGTAATGTCCCCAGAGGGTTGGGTAATGTCTCCAGAGGGCTGGGTGATGTCTCCAGAGGGTTGGGTAATGTCTCCAGAGGAATGGGTAAGGTCTCAAGAGGAAACACAAATGTAAGGTAGTCACAGAGTATTTAGCAAATATACTGTCTAAGTTTAATAAAAATATATACAGTATTTTATTTTAATTTAAACTGTCAGATTGAATTTTGAGCTTTAAAATACTGAGCTGTGGCTAAAGTGAGCAGGCAAGGATGTTCACACCTGCTCACATGTCCACAAGGATGTTCACAAGTCCAGCACCTGGCTGCTGCTGCTGCTGCATTGAAGGAAAGTGACTGCCACTTAACCTCGCACATTTTCTTTACTCTCAACTTCTCTTGTACACAACTCCATTATCAATTAGAGGCCAGGTATTGCAGAACTGATCCACAACTTGGACTTTTGTTTACCCTTAATTCACAGTCATCCAACTGGATTTCTACCGAAATCACAGAACGTCTAGAGGCCCTCGTGAAGCTAGTCCAAGTTTTGTGTACGACCCCCAAGCATCTAGGTGTAGGCAACGTAGTGCACCCACCATATGCTCCAACATCAGATACACAGAAATCACACTCATGTGATATATTGTATATCAACGAGAAAATCAACTGTTGCTCCGAGGTGACAAGCCCGCGACTGAGAGAATCCTAGCTACTGATGCTAACCACTGGAATGGACTGCACATATAACTAGTAGAGGTAGAGGACAATGGTAGGGGGTGTAACAGGTACCATGAAGTTGAGGAGAACAATGGAGAGATGTGACAGATGTTGTGTAGTAAGATGGAAAGTATCATTACCAATTTACCCATTATATAAACCTTGGATTTTTATTCAAACTGTTCCTCTGATTCAAACTTAATGTATATGAGTATGTGCAGTATAGGTATATGTGTAATATGTTGGTATATTAATGGATGGAGTGTCTGAGTATCATTAACTTTTGTCCCCTGTATTGCTCTCCTAATTTCTTTCAAGGTGATGCCATCTCATCCCATGAGTGTGGGACATGGCACAATGATGATAATGTATTTTATTTCCTAAATCCAAGTTAGTGTAGGTACAAAGACGGATGTAGGTTGACACAGTTATACATATTAGAAGCACGTGTGTGTATCCATTTGTAGATGCTGCAGTACTTATCAAAGTTTCATTCGGGAATTACATGACAGCTGATGCAGAGAAGGTTTTACCTTGAAAAATAGGTTGAGCGGTCGGTGGTTGATCTCGGTGAGAACCCAGGAGCAGAGAGACAGGGAGTCCATAGTCTGGGCCTTGGGTGGCACTCCGTGTAGGGCTGCCAGACCTCCGGCAACAATCTGTGTTCACAAGTCAAACATTATATCTTGTTGAATTATTCATACTTTTTCCTGCTTTGGTCCCCTTCAACATAAGGGGAAGAAGTCCAACCTTTAAGCATTACAGTACAGTTATATCTACCAATATTTATAATTGTTCATAATAACTTTATTGGCAAATTTCTACTACAGTATAAAGGCTTTTTTTGGGGGGGGGAAGGGGAGATTGTTATAGTGTACAATATTCACATGGTGGAGTTCATGTTGCAATATGTGCAAGACTTTAAGCTAAAATTACAAGTACAGTAGAGGCTTGATTTCGATGCTATAGGATTGGAATATACAGTAGGATGGTTTTTTTAAAGTACAGTACAGTTTATCATTGATATATGAGTTACTGCTATCACACAAGAAATACTGTAGTGAAGAATACTGGTTTGTTAAAGTCTGACAAAGTAACAGCTGATGCCATGTGTTGGCTATGTTTATTTTTCTCAACATTTTTTAACCAAGCAAATGGGCCTCAAAACTTAAAATATGCAAACATCACCCATCTTCATGATTGTCACTACTAAACATTGCCAGTCTTCAAGAGTGGCAATGTGTCAAATGCTGCCAGTTTTCAAGATGTCACTAGGCTTCAAGATTGACAGACAATGTGAAAAATGTCCCTCAGGCTTCAAGATTGACAATGTACCAAATATTCCCCAGACTTTAACTACTGCACTGTGCAACGAGCCTATAGGTGCTCGACGGGTGGTGCGCAACGCGCCTCGGGTATGTTATAGGAATAGCGTATGATTCAAAAATCCCACAGCTACATGAGGTTCACATTAGCTTCCTCGGGGCTCTTGTAAACAGATGCCATTTAAAACAAAAATCGTAGGCATCATTCCCAGGTGTGAGAACCTCAGTACTGAGTGAGCAACCAAGGCTGGCGCACACAGCATGAACTCACAGAACTGTTGTTCAGCTTGTGACCACAGCATCTTCTAATAATGTAAAAATATATATATGTAACTTGTATTATTTACCCATGATAGTATTACAGAAGAACCCGAGTGTGATAATGGCTGTGCACAATGTTTAAATATCAGTGAATCAATGTTGTTCAAGATGTTCAAGATTCAAACAGCACCACAGCATTATTTCGTCCATCTAGGAATCTTCAAACAACATCTTATGTTCCTTTACAAAATAAACTTGTGGTCAATTATTAATATACAGGATTTAGTGGCTAGGATTGTGATAATAGCAGGATTGTGGTGATAATTAGCTCTGTGTGTTGTATTGTGAGAAGAGGAATTTTGGTGAGGGAGGGAGGGAATCGAAATCGAGGTAGCGTCACTGTGTGGGGCAGCCACTCTTATTTGGGCTCACCATACTAGCTTAGTAGTTCGCTATGGTGAACACAAATGTAGATACTTATATATAATGTGTGTATATAGTATAATAACAGCAACAGGAGTATGTTTGGAGGAGCCATTTTGGTGAGGGAGGTGGCGTTGTACTTGAAGCATCGTCGTCTGTTGTGTTACTTGTCATACAGTGTATGGTGGCCACTGTGCTGTTTGGACACAATACCAGCTTAGTTGTATAGGTATGGTGAATAAAACATGTAAATACTTATACATAACATGTGTAAATAGTGTAATAAAAACTAACAGTATGGTGGGAGGAAGTATGAGGGAGGAGGGAGGGGGGAAACCGGGTCAAACCAAAGTGCATCCCTGGCCACTGAAGCCGTGGCACACAAATAACAGCGGAGAGCCGCAACCAGACACAACACGTGATGCACCCCTAGCCTGACCAGCCAAGCATCAACAACCCAAGGACCCTTCCTGAAAGCAGCAGCAAATATACCAACAGACTAACGCAAACAGGACTAAAGCAAAGGAGAGCACAGTGGTAAAAGCAGATATTGACTTACCTCCTTGATCTGAGCAGTGTTGCCTTCCCGAATCACACCCAGAGGTTGGCCTTCCGTTTCCCTCTTCAGTGCGAACACCTTCCCGTGGGGCACACGCCTGATGATGAACTCCACCTGAGGTGCAGCAATTGAACTCATTACACCTGTGTCTACTGTAGATACACTCTTGTCTACTGTAGATACACTACAACTACACCTATGTCTACTGTAGATATGCTGATCATACCTGTGTCTTCTGTAGATATGCTGATCATACCTGTGTCTTCTGTAGATATGCTGATTATACCTGTGTCTTCTGTAGATATGCTGATTACACCTGTGCCTACTGTAAATACACTCATTACACCTGTGCCTACTGTAAATACACTCATTACACCTGTGCCTACTGTAAATACACTCATTACACCTGTGCCTACTGTAAATACACTCATTACACCTGTGCCTACTGTAAATACACTCATTACACCTGTGCCTACTGTAAATACACTCATTACACCTGTGTCTACTGTAAATACACTCATTACACCTGTGCCTACTGTAAATACACTCATTACACCTGTGCCTACTGTAAATACACTCATTACACCTGTGCCTACTGTAAATACACTCATTACACCTGTGCCTACTGTAAATACACTCATTACACCTGTGTCTACTGTAAATACTCATTACATCTGTGTCTACTGTAAATACACTCATTACATCTGTGTCTACTGTAAATACACTCATTACACCTGTGCCTACTGTAAATACACTCATTACACCTGTGCCTACTGTAAATACACTCATTACACCTGTGCCTACTGTAAATACACTCATTACACCTGTGCCTACTGTAAATACTCATTACACCTGTGCCTACTGTAAATACACTCATTACACCTGTGCCTACTGTAAATACACTCATTACACCTGTGTCTACTGTAAATACTCATTACATCTGTGTCTACTGTAAATACACTCATTACATCTGTGTCTACTGTAAATACACTCATTACACCTGTGCCTACTGTAAATACACTCATTACACCTGTGTCTACTGTAAATACACTCATTACACCTGTGCCTACTGTAAATACACTCATTACACCTGTGTCTGCTGTAAATACACTCATTACACCTGTGCCTACTGTAAATACACTCATTACACCTGTGTCTGCTGTAAACATTGGTGCTGCTAAACACTGTTCCAAAGGTTCAGAACAATGTTTAACAACACCTTCATGAAAGAAAATTTGGTTTAAATTACACACATGCATTGGGTCTTTCCTTCACCTTCATTATTATTATTATTATTACTATTGCTGTACTAATATTATTATTAGTGTTTTATATACAAGTATTTCGTTAATTTAAAACACTTTCATAAAAAAAAATCGAAGGTGGTTTGTGGTAAATATTTCTAGTTTAACTTTAGCAATGAACAATAATAAGTGAGAAGCATTATTTATATATTGTATATATATATATAAAATATATATATATATGTCGTATCTAGTAGCCAGAACGCACTTCTCGGCCTACTATGCAAGGCCCAATTTGCTTAATTAATAGGCCGAGTGATTTTCTTTATTTTCAATAAATTGTTTCCAATTACTTTTTTTTAATTATTATTATTATATTATAGTAAAACATAAATTATTGATTTAGTTGTGTTAGTTTAGGTTAGGTTAAGATAGGTTAGGTTAGGTTAGGTAGGGTTGGTTAGGCTCGGTCATATATCTATGTTAGTTTTAACTCAAATTTAAAAAAAATTAACTCATACATAATAAAATGTATAGTTTTATCATTTCATAAGAAAAAAATTAGAAAAATATATAAATTCAGGAAAACTTGGCTTATTAGGCAAATCAGGTCTTGCATAGTAGGCAGAGTACTGTATTCTGGCTACTAGGTATAACATTATTATATACAGTATATGTGTATATATATATATATATATATATATATATATATATATGTCGTACCTAGTAGCCAGAACGCACTTCTATGCCTACTATGCAAGGCCCGATTTGCCTAATAAGCCAAGTTTTCCTGAATTAATATATTTTCTCAAATTTTTTTCTTATGAAATGATAAAGCTACCCATTTCATTATGTATGAGGTCAATTTTTTTTTATTGGAGTTAAAATTAACGTAGATATATGACCGAACCTAACCAACCCTACCTAACCTAACCTAACCTATCTTTACAGGTTAAGTTAGGTTAGGTAGCCGAAAAAGTTAGGTTAGGTAGGTTAGGTAGTCGAAAAACAATTAATTCATGAAAACTTGGCTTATTAGGCAAATTGGGCTTTGTATAGTAGGCTGAGAAGTGCGTTCTGGCTACTAGGTACGACATATATATATATATATATATATATGTCGTACCTAGTAGCCAGAACGCACTTCTCAGCCTACTATGCAAGGCCCGATTTGCCTAATAAGCCAAGTTTTCATGAACTAATTGTTTTTCGATGACCTAACCTACCTAACTTAACCTAATCTAACTTTTTTGGCTACCTAACCTAACCTATAAAGATAGGTTAGGTTACCTAACTAACCCTACCTATAAAGATAGGTTAGGTAGGGTTAGTTAGGTTCGGTCATATATCTACGTTAATTTTAACTCCAATTAAAAAAAATTGACCTCATACATAATGAAATGGGTAGCTTTATCATTTCATAAGAAAAAAATTAGAGAAAATATATTAATTCAGGAAAACTTGGCTTATTAGGCAAATTGGTCCTTGCATAGTAGGCCGAGAAGTGCATTCTGGCTACTAGGTACGACATATATATATATATATATATATATATATATATATATATATATATATATATATATATATATATATATATATATATATATATATATATATATATTATATATATTATATACACACACACACCTGGAAAATATTGGAGGGGTGACAGGTAAGCTTCTATCATGGATGAAAAATTTTCTGACTGATAGAAAAATGAGGGCAGTAATCAGAGGCAATGTATCGGAATGGAGAAATGTCACAAGTGGAGTACCACAGGGTTCAGTTCTTGCACCAGTGATGTTTATTGTCTACATAAATGATCTACCAGTTGGTATACAGAATTATATGAACATGTTTGCTAATGATGCTAAGATAATAGGAAGGATAAGAAGTTTAGATGATTGTCATGCCCTTCAAGAAGACCTGGACAAAATAAGTATATGGAGCACCACTTGGCAAATGGAATTTAATGTTAATAAATGCCATGTTATGGAATGTGGAATAGGAGAACATAGACCCCACACAACCTATATATTATGTGAGAAGTCTTTAAAGAATTCTGATAAAGAAAGAGATCTAGGGGTGATTCTAGATAGAAAACTATCACCTGAGGACCACATAAAGAATATTGTGCAAGGAGCCTATGCTATGCTTTCTAACTTCAGAATTGCATTTAAATACATGGATGGCGATATACTAAAGAAATTGTTCATGACTTTTGTTAGGCCAAAGCTAGAATATGCAGCTGTTGTGTGGTGCCCATATCTTAGGAAGCACATCAACAAACTAGAAAAGGTGCAAAGACATGCTACTAAGTGGCTCCCAGAACTGAAGGGCAAGAGCTACGAGGAGAGGTTAGAAGCATTAAACATGCCAAAACTAGAAGACAGAAGAAAAAGAGGTGATATGATCACTACGTACAAAATAGTAACAGGAATTGATAAAATCGACAGGGAAGATTTCCTGAGACCTGGCACTTCAAGAACAAGAGGTCATAGATATAAACTAGCTAAACACAGATGCTGAAGAAATATAAGAAAATTCACTTTCGCAAACAGAGTGGTAGACGGTTGGAACAAGTTAGGGGAGAAGGTGGTGGAGGCCAAGACCGTCAGTAGTTTTAAAGCATTATATGACAAAGAGTGCTGGGAAGACGGGACACCACGAGCGTAGCTCTCATCCTGTAACTACACTTAGGTAATTACACACATACACACACTGTATAGTGAGAAGTTAGAACCGTACCTGTCTCTAATCTTGTAACTATTGATAATGAAGACAAGTTGGATGGTATAATGGACATGATGTAACACTACTGATCATAGGGACCACACTGGTGAAGGTACTGACCATAGCTGTGGGCTCATTCTTAATTATGTTGTTGACCTCAGCTGCCGTAGAGATGGGTACGCCACACACACTCACCAGGCGGTCACCAATATGGAATGTGTTATGTAAGTATGGGTGTTCTCGCTGCTTCCAACCAGCCACGTACACCTGTAATGTTATGCATAAAACATATTGAGCCGTTTCTCCAATGCACGTATACAGACTCAAGTTAAGAAAACAAGGGTATGAAAAATGTGCTAGATTTTGGTCCCCAGTCCTAAATAGACATTCCTCATTCATTAAAGCATGGTGTGTACCTCAGTTTGGAGGGCTTCAGGTGGGTTGCTCAGGCAGTTGCCTCTTTCTGGTGAGTTCCCTCTGTATGTGAAGGAAGACATGGGACTTACTAGGGAGGAGTAAAATGGCAACTACATTGATCGCCAGGGCCTAGACAGACTCCCAAACCCCTAAGCCCAAAAGCAGCCCATGGCATGCTTCTTCTTGAGGTTATCTTGAGATGATCTCGGGGCTTTAGTGTCCCCGCGGCCCGGTCCTCGACCAGGCCTCCACCCCCAGGAAGTAGCCCGTGACAGCTGACTAACTCCCAGGTACCTATTTACTGCTAGGTAACAGGGGCATTCAGGGTGAAAGAAACTTTGCCCATTTGTTTCTGCCTCGTGCGGGAATCGAACCCGCGCCACAGAATTACGAGTCCTGCGCGCTATCCACCAGGCTACGAGGCCCCAATGCTACAGTAAACAGCAGCCAAAGCTGTGAACTTACAAATATTGTGAGCTAGTTTTAATGACACCTGAGAAATCATGCCAATCTGAGAAATACAATCAGGAGATCAAGGAAACGGGATGAACCAACAAAGTAGCCACTGAGGCAGAATTGGTGGCACAAGGTAATGGCAAAGAGCTGCCACCGGGCACAACAAATGATGTAGCCCCAGCTGGACCAACCATGCATTAATCACCAAAGGAACCTTCCAAAAGCCAACCAACACGTACCTTCAAGAAAAGAAATAGAAGGCTGCAAACGAAGAAACCACCACCAGGGCCCAAAGAACAGAACTCATACATCTGGAGGAGAGCATGAAACCTTGAAGCTGACAGTCAGGAGCAAGAGCTAAAAAAAAAAAAAAAAAAAGCAAGCTGGCAGTGAAAATGTCAACAAAAACACTGCCTTAACTCTTTAACTGCGCTGCCTTCAAATAAGACGCCCCCCCCCCCCCAGTGTGCAGGAAATAAATTTTCTGGAAAAAATTCTTTTGTTTTATAAGTGTCAAAAACTCTATCCTCAGTATGGGTATGTCAAAAAAAAAATCAAAATTGTGCTTACTTTGGCTGTTATGGGGTCCGTAAGTTGGCGTGTGACGTCATCATTCCCCGTTTGCCTGTGACGTACGCTCCCGGGGCCAGTAGGGCACTCGGGGCGGGGCGCGCGAGTTGCCGCGAATATATTTATGTTCATTTTTTGCGCACAGTTCCAGATACATTTTATTTGTTTTTACGTCCTAATCCTATGTATAATGAACATGTACACTATATTATGGCAGAAAAACATCCGTACTGTCCAAAGACACTGTGTTACGTGCATGACACTTGTGTACACATATGTTATCTTGAGGTTATCTTGAGATGATTTCGGGGCTTTTTAGTGTCCCCGCGGCCCAGTCCTCGACCAGGCCTCCACCCCCAGGAAGCAGCCTGTGACAGCTGACTAACACCCAGGTACCTATTTTACTGCTAGGTAACAGGGGCATAGGGTGAAAGAAACTCTGCCCATTGTTTCTCGCCGGCGCCTGGGATCGAACCCAGGACCACAGGATCACAAGTCCAGCGTGCTGTCCGCTCGGCCGACCGGCTCCCTGTTGTATGTTGCACATATTTACCATGTATCATGCTAATTTATGTATATATACAATCTATTTACACACTATACACTGTCACACTATATACATTCACCATCAACACATTGAGAACACCGCGAGTATGAGCAGCCACACCCAGCCAGCTCTCCCTCACTCCAACATATTACTCACCAACATTGCTCCTCCCACCATACTCTTATTGTTTTATTACACTATTTACACATGTTCTATATACCTATCTACATGTTTTATTTACCAGAACTATGCAAGTAAGCCGGTATTGTGTCCAAACAGTACAGTGGCCTTCCATACACTGCATGAGAAATCACACAGCAGACGACACTACGATTGAGCAGCAGTGCTGTGCACTCATGCTGCAAGTGCCACCCTTGGTTGCTCACTCACTACTGAGGCTCTCACACCCGGGAATGTGGACCACGATTTTTTTAAAGATGGCATCTGTTTACAAGAACCCTGAGGAAGCTGATGTGAACCCCATGTAGCCGCGGGAGTTTTGAATGGAATGTGAAAAATATAAATACCCGGAGGCGCGTAGCGCACCCCAGACCTGGGCCTGCAGGCGCGTTGCGCAGTTAAAGGGTTAAGAAAAGTATCCCAGACTGAATGGGCATCCATGAACTGAGAGGAGGAGAGAAACATTAACATCCAGCTAAGTGACCCAAATGACTCGGGAGGAGCATGAGCAGGCTGTAAAAAATTCAAATTCAAATGTTTATTCAAAAGAATGTGTGTACAAAGCACATTGAAGTAATGTACAATTATGGGGACAGGAATTATACATTACAAATGAAGTCACTATTATGCATAGTGTTTTGGGCAATGTTTTACCAACAAAGCATTAGTAGTTGAAAGAAAGCAAAGACAACTTGCAAAACAGAGCTGAAGACGTTTCAATGCCGAATGCAAACAACAGCAATTCTGAATGATGAGGGGGGCATCGGTATGAGGCATAAAATGCAGATCCACAAACAACCAGGACATAGAAGGACATGACCACAAGAATTGACATCAAAGAAGGATGACAAAGAGAGAAAGATGCGAAAGAAGTACCTACAAACTTGATACCGTTGCTGCAAACAAGATGCAACTGGGACACCAATAACTCAGCCACCTGCACACGGTACAGATGTTGGGAAACCCACATCAGAAACTCCAAATGTGCAGGACAAAGGACAAGACTGAACCATCAAGGTACGTTGATGCACCACAACTGCGTCAAGCTCAACAAGCCACAATGTACAGGGGACAACAACTGTGTCAAACTCAACAAGTCACAATGTACAGGGGACAACAACTGTGTCAAACTCAACAAGTCACAATGTACAGGGAACAACAACTGTGTCAAACTCAACAAGTCACAATGTACAGGGGACAACAACTGTGTCAAACTCAACAAGTCACAATGTACAGGGAACAACAACTGTGTCAAGCTCAATAAGTCACAATGTACAGGGGTTAACAACTTCGTCAAGCTCAACAAGCCACAATGTACAGGGGTTAACAACTTCGTCAAGCTCAACAAGCCACAATGTACAGGGAACAACAACTGCGTCAAGCTCAACAAGCCACAATGAAACACAGAAAACAATTTTTTTTTTTGTATCTTGAGGACAATAAACCCATAGAATGGCCTAGCCACCAAAGCCGTAAATGTCAACACGTTACTTAATTTTAAAATTCAGCTGGAAAAATTCTCAGAAACAATGAGGGGGAACTTTAACAACCCTCTGGCTTCCTGGCCCTGTTGAAGTCACTAGAGAGGTGATGGCCCATGGGTAAATTCATATAAATATATGATATTGCAGGGTAATTTAAGTAATTATAATGTGTAATAATGTAAATAATGTTGTGATATAACAAAATCTTTTGCCCTGACTAAAGCTCTACTGATATAAGCAGTATTGTACCCTGACTGAAGCTTCATTAAGAGAAAGCTGCTGACTGAAACTAGTGGCAGGTGACTCACATGGTTGAATATGTTGACAAAGGCGATGGAGTTGAGGCAGTCTTTCTTGCGTAGGGAGAGTCTGACGCCGGCCTGGTGAGCGATCTCTCTCTGCAGCCTCACAACTTGTTGCTCTCTCAGACTCATGAGTCTTCCGTCCTGTCCCACCTGGTACTGCTGCAACACCCACACTCTTACTGCACCACCTGGTACTGTTACAACACCCACACTCTTACTGCACCACCTGGTACTGTTACAACACCCACACTCTTACTGCACCACCTGGTACTGTTGCAACACCCACACTCTTACTGCACCACCTGGTACTGTTACAACACCCACACTCTTACTGCACCACCTGGTACTGTTACAACACCCACACTCTTACTGCACCACCTGGTACTGTTGCAACACCCACACTCTTACTGCACCACCTGGTACTGTTACAACACCCACACTCTTACTGCACCACCTGGTACTGTTGCAACACCCACACTCTTACTGCACCACCTGGTACTGCTACAACACCCACACTCTTACTGCACCACCTGGTACTGTTACAACACCCACACTCTTACTGCACCACCTGGTACTGTTGCAACACCCACACTCTTACTGCACCACCTGGTACTGTTACAACACCCACACTCTTACTGCACCACCTGGTACTGTTACAACACCCACACTCTTACTGCACCACCTGGTACTGTTGCAACACCCACACTCTTACTGCACCACCTGGTACTGTTACAACACCCACACTCTTACTGCACCACCTGGTACTGTTGCAACACCCACACTCTTACTGCACCACCTGGTACTGTTGCAACACCCACACTCTTACTGCACCACCTGGTACTGTTACAACACCCACACTCTTACTGCACCACCTGGTACTGTTACAACACCCACACTCTTACTGCACCACCTGGTACTGTTGCAACACCCACACTCTTACTGCACCACCTGGTACTGTTACAACACCCACATTCTTACTGCACCACCTGGTACTGTTGCAACACCCACACTCTTACTGCACCACCTGGTACTGCTACAACACCCACACTCTTACTGCACCACCTGGTACTGTTACAACACCCACACTCTTACTGCACCACCTGGTACTGCTACAACACCCACACTCTTACTGCACCACCTGGTACTGTTGCAACACCCACACTCTTACTGCACCACCTGGTACTGCTACAACACCCACACTCTTACTGCACCACCTGGTACTGCTACAACTCCCACACTCTTACTGCTTCAATGGAAGCTTCAGGACCTCCTAAGGATTCAGTTGAATACCAGGTTGCATAGTTTTGACCATGTTGTAGTGTAGTGGTCTATGGCATGTATTTGAGAGAACCACGTGTGTGGGTTCGAATCCTCATCATGGCTCCTACTGATTTTCTCAGCAATAATAATAATAATGATAATATTAGAATAAAAAAAACAGCGTTGAATGTAATGAAATGCCATTTTCTGGGAGAGACCCGGAGGCTCCCTGGAGCTATCCAGGCTGATATTGCTAATATTAGTCTTTGGCATCAGTCAGTGTGAAAGGAGTTCATAGGTCTACCGGGGGACCATGAGCTAGAACCTTGGCTCGCATTCCGATCATGTCGTTCTCCCGGTCTTGGAGGGGGGATCCAGAGGGTGTTTTCCTGGACAGTAAACATCATAATAAGGCTAATAGATTGGAGGCAAAACATCACCAACGTCCTGATGTACCCTGTGACCCTCCGCGGCCTCCATTTCCACGCCCTCCACTCACTCACAGTAGGACGAGTTCTCCTGGCCTCCAAACGTTCATCATTGCCTTTGATGTCGATATGCCCATTGATCGGAGTGTTTTTGGAAATAGCAGGGCACAATGTCTCCTTTATCATGCCATTCCCAAGTTCTTTAAGATCAAAGTGCATGATATCAGACCAAATAAACGCAGGAACTTGACTGTGGTGAACCACAATCACTACGAGGACCTGGAGCTTTCAGACGTTACTGACATCTGTGGTTACAAAGTCTGTTGTTATAAACCTCTGGGTGACTTTTTGGTACGATATGTGGTCCCGCATGTTGTTGACATTAGTGCGGACAACATCAAGGCGCAACTGCAGGATGCTGACATTCTGATCTTCGGTGTCAGGAAGTTTCTGCGTAGTACTAATGGTGAACTCTGTGATACCAGCACTGCCCTCCTTAATTTTCTCGACTCATTCCCTGATCGGGTTTGAATTAATAGCTTCCTCCATAAATTGAAGGTGAACATCCCTCATCCCAATCAGTGCTTTCGTTGTAAAGGTTTTCACCATACCTCACAAGGCTGCACCAACGACGTCAAATGTAGCAAATGCTCTGGTTCTCATTATACTTGTCACTGTGTGTCCGATATGCTCTGCTACTCCAACTGTGGTGGTGATCATGCCATCACATTCAAGCAATGTCCTTCCTATGTAGTGGTGCTCACTAAGGCTCTCCCCACCATCACCTTGCCTTTCAGTCGTGCTTTGCTTCGTCCTGACCTGGTTCCTCATCACCTCTGCCTCCCACCCTGCCACCGCCTTTGCCTGTGCCTGACCTGTCTGTCACTGACATTCCTCTCACCCCTGAGACCTCTTCTCTCCCACACGCCGTGCAACCGAGTCCCGATCTTGTTGACATTATTGTCACTCGCATTGTGGATGCCCTCGAGAAGTCGCTGATCCGACTCCTCACTAAATACTTTCCACAGTCCATCCTCCCCGTTCCTGAAGCTGACCCGACGCATCCCTCCTCCGCTTCTCCTATGGTTGACGTTCAACCTACTACAGCTGCGTCTGCTATCTCCAATGCGTTTGAAATGATGCTAGACCCTGCCCTTCAGAACTCATTGGTGCGCCTTCCCTGTGTCTCTCCCCAGGCTGTCTTGCCACAAATTTCTACCCCCGGTACTAAGAGGAAGCAATCCTCTGTTGTCCCGACTTCCAAGCACCCTGCCACCTTGCCTGACAGGCCCCATAAACCACATTCTCCTAGGTCTTCTTCCCATTGTCCTGCTGGTTGGTGCTTCTAAGAAGACTGATGCGTTTACATCCCAGCCCTAAAGCTCCGGATTCCGTCTATGTACCTTGCTCTATCCTAACCTCACCTGTCCCATCCAGACTTCCTCTGACCTATGCATTCACCCCTTGTACCTTCCTCTGCTCACACCTCCCTTACTTTCTCATGTCTGCTTCACACCTGCCTCCTACACATCCTTCGCCTCCCGCCCTCCATCTCTTGCCTACATCTCTCCCTTTCTTTAATGTGCCGACGCTTTGCGTTCGCCTTCTGTTCTCCTCATTATTCCCGTCCTGCGTTCCTTCCCTCTTGTTTGTTTCATTTACCTTTATCCTCACCCACATGGCTGGCGTCGTTATCTTCCCAACTCTGTCACATCGTGACCGCTGATGTGCCACTGTGCATTGTAGCATACGCATCTTTCAACATTACCACTCATGCAGTCATTGGGAGGATACACTTTCATGCAAATTGCACGTATTGTGAAGAAGAAGAGTACTGGAGAACAAGCAGAAGAGAACAGTACCACACAAGGTGGGTTGGAACTCAAAAGATGCATCCAATGGTTCACAGAGCTCCGTCAGGGTTTTCCAGGGCCCGTAGGCTGACTGCTAAAGGAAGCCCGGGCAAAGTCTTGCTAACCGGTTAAGGCCCAAAGCTAACAATGGGGAGATCAAAACACTGAAATCCCTGCGACATGTACAATCATGGGGGCCTAGCAGAGGGCCACCAAAATATTATATAAGTGGAATGATAGCCACACTAGGCAAAAAAAACAAAAACCAAAGAAAACCCCCACAAAAGTACAACATTCCCAGGGAAAACAGGAACCGGCCGCCGTGTAGATAGGCAGGCAGCACAGCACCTTGATGCCCCAACCAGCCATATACCACTTTCTACCCAAGGGCACATAAGGGCTACAAAACCCCAGCTGGTCCAAGGGCAGGGTAAATACAGAGCATCAAGAACCTGGTGTGTGGAGGGCCAGCAATGTGACGTTTGTTTGCTTGTTTGTTTTCATGGGATTGGAGGAAGTTCTACCTTTCTTTTCGGTTTTTAGTTGTACTTTTCTAACCATGTGGGGTTTGTTTTGCTATGTCTACCTTTCTGGGTGCCTAACCCCAGTCGATGGCAGATAAGGAAAAAAAAACAACCACAGGGGTGGTTTTCCAGGGCCATTGCTCCCTGCAACCTCTCTGAAGGTGCCAGGTTCTGGCTTGTGGTCCCCGGTAGGTTGAACTCCTTAGACTAATGGCCCGGTCCAATATACTGTATCACACATTAGCCCAATAGCTCCATGGAGCCAAAGGGGCTCCCCACAGTAAAATAATATTTTTTATTATAATTATAAATGAGCACTGGACAGGTTAGTCACACAACACAAGTTAACACTAACATAATGTAAAGCTATTGAGCACATATTGAACAGAGGCTATTATCACTTTTATTCCTGGACACTTGCATATGGGGGTGTGTGGACTATGTGGTGTGTGTAATTACCCAAGTATAGTTACAGGATGAGAGCTACACTCGTGGTGTCCCGTCTTCCCAGTACTCTTTGTCTTATAACGCTTTGAAACTACTGACATTTTTGGCCTCCACTACCTTCTTACTTAACTTGTTCCAACCATCTACCATCCTGTTTGCAAAAGAAATCTTTCTAATATTTTTTTGGCACCTTTGTTTCCTTAGCTTGAATCTGTGTTCTCTTGTTCGTGAAGTTGCTGGTTTCAGGAATTTCTCTTTGTTAATTTGGTCGATTCCCGTTAGTATTTTGTAAGATGTGATTATATCACCTTTTTTTCTTCTATTTTCTAGCTTTAGCTTATTTAACGCCTCTAGCCTCTCCTCGTAACTCATGTTTTTCAGTCCCAGAAGCCATTTTGTAGCATGCCTTTGCACCTTTTCTAGTTTACTGATGTGCTTCTTGAGATATGGGCACCATACAGCTGTTGCATATTCCAATTTTGGTCTCAAAAAGTCATGAAAAATTACTTCAGGAAACTCTGAAAAGCGACACATATGCTCTCGCACAATGTTCTTTATATGTTCCTCTGGTGACATTAACAGAGGGCTATTGGGCTATCTGTAACAAGGTGTGGAGGTCAGGTGTGTGAAGTAATACAGGTGTGGGCCTGGTGTGTGGAGTAAACAGGTGTGGGCCAGGTGTGTGAAGTAATACAGGTGTGGACCTGGTGTGTAGAGTAAACAGATGTGGGCCAGGTGTGTGAAGTAATACAGGTGTGGGCCAGGTGTGTTGGCATACAAATGGGATTATGGAGGTGTGGAGCACTTACACTAGTGTAGTTACCTGCTGCGGCTGCGGCTGGGGCTGCTTGGGGGTGATGGAGGGACCGACTGAAGCAGCTCGCCGCCCATGTTCCCGACGCCCAGATCGTCGGTGTTCGGAGCGCCGTCGTAGAAGTCCTGTCTGTGGTGCCTGTGGCACTGGTGGCGGTGAGGATGTGGCGCCCACACCGCTCGCCAGGAATAGTGGCTCGTACGATTCTTCATCCACCATGTTGACGTTAGACCAGCTACCACCTGCGACACTGCTGCCGCTGGCACCCTCGGCACCACCATATGCCGTGGCACCTCCACACGCCCCACTGGCACTGTAGCCGGTGGCCCTCTGGCCCGGGGGCAAGGGAGGCCGCCCACCGCCCACCCCCAGGGAATTGCCAACACGCAGGTGAAGAGTGTTGGGGTCTGCAATGGCGGTGTAGGACTGGTCAGCACCAGAATCAAGCGTGTCGGTGGAGTCGGCGAGGGATGGGTCGGTCGGGTAGACAGCGCCGTACAGCTCGGAGTTGGCCATCCCGCCACTGGACTCCAGCGCCGCGCCCACACTCTCGAAGTTGAAAACAGAGGAGGAAGTTGACGGCACGTTGATGACTGTGACGTGTTCCCGGGCAGGTGTCAGCTGTGGGCACACACACCTGCATCACCAACACCTTCACTAACATGTGTACAAACTCCCTCTCAAACACCTTCACTAACGCATGCACAAACACCACTCAACACCACCCTCACCATCGCTCTCTCAATCACCTTCACCTCACTCACCACCACTACTAATATTAGTAATCTGAAATAGTAAGTGTTAGTGGCATTGCAAGCTCTAACCTAAGAGAGAGAGAGAGAGAGGTCCCTTGGGAGATTATCACCTCACCCCCTCCTCACTGTCCACTCATGCTGTACACCCGCACAGTTTGCACTTGGTCACCCCTAGCCCTCTACCTCCAAACTGCCTCAACCCTTACCTGACCCCATCTTTCTGTCCCCCTCTCACTCACCTCCACTCCTCCTCCTCCCCACTACTTTTTTACCCCCAATCCTTTCTCATTACAACTCTGGGGAGAATTCACGAAAGCACTTACGCAAGCACTTACGAACGTGTACATCTTTACTCAATCTTTCACGGCTTTGGTTACATTTATTAAACAGTTTACAAGCATGAACACTTGCCAATCAACTGTTGTTATTATTATAAACAGCCTCCTGGTGCTTCGGAGCTCATTAACTGTTAAATAATTGTAAACAAAGCCGCCAAAGATTGAGAAAAGATGTACAGGTTCGTAAGTGCTTGCGTAAGTCCTTCGTGAATCTGGCCCCTGTTTACTCCCTCCCCTAACAGATACTGTAACCCACAAACTCCACTCCCCCCAGCTCTGCCTCCCCCCCAAAAGAGCGCTACTTCTGTCTGTTCCTAACCTCACAATCCCTATATATACTGCACCTAAATAGTATATGTATCTCTGAATTTATATTGAGCCACAGAAGGGAAGAGAAAGCATAGCAAGTAAATATGCAGTATGATGGTAAAGAAAAAGGAGGAATTTTCAGAAGAGACAATGGAGAAAGCAAGAATTTTGATTCAAAAGGAGAGAGAAGACATGATGGAACAAATAAAAGAGGATGTTTTACATGTTTTTACATTCTTCCAAAGCCACCAACACTCATAACAAGAATGAGGAGTCTTACCAAATGTGAAATCAGGTGATAATGATGATGTATCAGCATCAATACGATATCATGGATACTAACACCACAATACTGTAAAAGCAATGCAACCTGGGATTCAACTGAATCCACTAGGATGCATTGCTTGGTCCCGAGGTTCCCAACCAGAGCTCAAACTAGGGATTTCACAAACTGCCCCCATGTACTCTGGCTTGGGGCAGTGTGCATGGGGCTTAGATTGTTCACTTCAAACGCTTCTTGTCAAATGCACAATGAAATCACATTAACGTGATATATCAATGACATATCACTGAATATGACGAGAAGTGTTGGAGATGAACAATCAAACCTTAACTTTCTCAGGGCTAGATAGGACATACATATGTACTAAATTAGACCTACAATGCCATGTTTTAGGCCTAGTATTACTTAGTTAGGTCTAGGAGAGAGTAGGTTATGTTGTACAGTATAGTTACCGATTCACTTTTAAGTATTGCATTTAGAATTTTCTAAATAAAGAAACCTGAACTTATTTAGGTAAAACAGTCCAACTGAGTAGGTTGGTCGTACAGTTGCTCTAAGTAATACCAGATACAGTGGAACCTCGGTTTTCAAATACCCATTTTCAAATTTTTCAGTTCTTGAACTCAATTTCTTTGAAAAATACAACTCGGTACTCGAGGTTTGCCTCGGTGCTTGAGTTTGTTGATACACGTATGGACCAACTGAGCTTCAGTTTACCAGTCTCCCGCCTAATGACGACCGCACTTGAATTCTTTGTGAAGAATTTCATTGTTTTTGTGATTTTTTAGTTTCTGAACATAAATGTTTTTATATATTATGCCATGGGTTCCAAGAAAGTCAGTGGTAAAGTTCAACCTAAGAAAATAGTTGCGAGGATGACAATAGAAGAAAAACAAGAGGTCATTCATAGTGAGACAATGAGATGTCTCACTACAGACATGTGTTAAAACGTAGGGAAAAACAAGTGTCTATAGACAGATTCTTGGAAGACAAGCAAGCAGTGAGCCACAACCAGGTCCTAGTGGTATGGCTGCAAAACGTGAGAGAGAGAGACAGAGTACCCCAGAATTGTCATCAATGCTGTTATAATGGAAGGGGACTTCCCTTCCAAACACTAACACCTCTCTGTCTTCCCCCTTCCTCACTGTCTTCCATATGCCAACATAAGTCCTCAATAAAGGTAAGATGTATGTACTTGTACATATTGTAGTACAAAATATAAGTAGTAGTATGTATAAAATGTATTTTTAAGTTAATATTTTTGGGGGTGTGGAATGGATTATTTCTTATGGGAAAATTCGTTTTGGTTTTAGAATTTTCAGTTTTCAAACTGTCTTTGGGAACGAATTAAATTAGAAAACGGAGGTAACACTACTATTTTTGGAGGAGTTGTAAGGTTCTGTGTGGGGCCATGTGGGCACATCTGATGAACAGTTTTCCATTAAAATATAAAAAAAACTTTTTAGCAGGAGAGAAGTGAAATATGTTTTCAATACAATAAAATAAGATGTGAGTCTTCCAGGATAGATCAGGTTAAAAAGACCAAGCAAGAGTACATGACCTTGAAGAACTCGACAGTTAATGGAGAGAGAGAGGCAGGGGTTGAGCCATATAAAACAGCAGTGATAGATCTATCAGATATGAAGCTACTAATAAGAACACAAAGAGGTCAAATTCCAAAGATGAAAGCTTGGAAGGTAAAGATTTATGTCATACTGTGAAAAGATTTAGAAATATTCACATCAATAGTTATAAAATTTATCATAATCATTAGATGTTGGAGTTATTAAAGAATAAGATACAAAGATTACATTATGATCAAAAGATCCTAAAAGGATAGTGTCAGTATATTGTAACTGATGAGATATCAGAAGAGCAAATATCAAGAATTTGTGCAGTATGTGCCCGGTCCACACAAGGACTTCGGGAGAATGGGAGGGAACCCGGTTTTCATGGAAATCTGAAAGAACTAGAAGGAAAACCTACTTTATTGACATCTAAAATGAACTAGGTGGGAACCTCTCATACCTGGAAGCCCAGAAGGAATCGGGAGAATTTTACTTACCTGTGGACCGGGCGGAGACCTGAGGAAGGTGAGGGAACCGGAGGTATTGGAGGGGGTGGTGGGAGAGCTGGGTAGGGATGCCCTGAATGATGATCTCCTGTAAGGAGAGACACTTGTTCAGTCTGCATGACCTACCAGGTGAGTAGCAGGTTACAGTTCCATACCTTGCATGACCCACCAGGTGAGCAGCGGATTACAGTACTGTACACTTGCATGACCAGAGAGGTGAGCAGGTTACAGTGCTGTACCGTTGCATGACCAAAGAGGTGAGCAGGTTACAGTGCTGTACTCTACATGACCTACCAGGCAAGCAGCGGGTACAGTGCTGTCCATTTTGATGCGCAACATTTAGTGAGTGATGGATTTTGACTCTTAGGTCCTTTTCTTCATCACTCTGCTGTAATGTAATGTAATTAATATGGTAGTTGTGGCATGGGTTACTATGCCCCACATGCAAGGTCTTGCATTTGTCAATATTAAAAAGCATTTGCCAGTCCATTTGTGGAGTTCATGTAGATCTCTTTGTAAGGCTTCAAAATCATTATCATTTCTCACTTTACCATAAATCTTTGTGTCATCTGCAATTTGATGACGTGGTTTGTAATATCTTTACCAGGTGAGCAGCAGTACAGTGCTGTGGTGTGAATGACTTAGCAGCTGAGCAGCAGTACAGTGTTGTGGTGTGAATGACTTAGCAGGTGAGCAGCAGTACAGTGCTGTGGTGTGAATGACTTAGCAGCTGAGCAGCAGTACAGTGTTGTGGTGTGAATGACTTAGCAGGTGAGCAGCAGTACAGTGCTGTGGTGGGAGTGACTTACGAGGTGAGCAGCAGTACAGTGCTGTGCCATGAATGACTTACCAGGTGAGCAGCAGTACAGTGCTGTGCCGTGAATGACTTACCAGGTGAACAAACGTTTACAGTGCTGTATCTTGCATGACCTACTAGTTGAGTGGAGGGTTACAGTGATGATGCCCCATTATAGGCATCGTGTCCTATTATGATATGATAATAAATATAAATAATTTGTTTTCTCGGGGACAGGAGGCTTGTATATGTTAGGTTTATATCAAGGTCTGCCCAAAGTGGAACTACAGAACTTCCTCAGGACGCAATCCCCCACAACAGTTGCCTCGCTCCCAGGGACCTTTTAGGTGAACACAGGCATCACATGAAGGGATATGTGCTTTAATCATTTTAGTCCCATACGGGAATCGAACTTGGGATCCCCCATTTTGAGTCGATGATGAAGCCAACTGCACTATGAGACCCAGATAGTACCACACGCCAAGGAAATGGTTATTATATGGATTGCATACTACAGTGAGTTAACATGACTGTGAGAGACAGGTGAACGTAATGACTTATATCAACTATATATTGGGTGCCGGTAGAACAGTTGGGTTTGTTCTCGATGCACACTCGAGAATTCCAGGTTCAAATTTTGGGTGTGACAGAAATGGTTGGGCACATTTCCTTTCACCTAATGCCTCTGTTCACTTAGCAGTAAGTAGGTACTCGGAAGTTGGTCAGCTTTTTGTGGGGTTGCATCCTGGGCGGGGTCAGTAATTCGGCCTTGGGGGGAAGGGGACCTTGATATAAACCTAAGATGTATGAATACACTCTGGCTACCTATCCCCCGATACAATGGATTAACGTAAGATAATGTGGTAAAGTGTTTTTTATTATAGTAATGTATTTGGGGGTTATTAGAGGGTTTAATAAATAAGTTAGTTTTTGAGGTGTATCCATTAATCCTGTTGAAGTGGTGTAGGTGATTGTCGTCTAGACAACAGATCTGTTTCTAAAACCTTGAAGCATTAACAGGAACCTATGTTCCTTGGGGGCCGGGCCTATCTATCCCACTATTTTTAATACATCTTGATTCTAGCTGTTGGCCCTTCTCATGAATACTCCATACCCCCCATAACAAGTAACATTTTCATAACACATGACCTACCTGTTAAGTGGAGGATCATGGTGGTGCCTGACGTAGGTGACAACCGAGGAGGGTGAGGTGTTGGGGTCAGAGGAACCAGACGACACAGAGTTAAGGCTTTGCATGGAGGACAAGGCAGACATGGCAGACAGCCCTGATGCCGTGGACAGTGTCAGGCTTCCACCAGGACTCAGACCCACACGCATCGAGTGGAGGCTGGACACATCGTCTGGCAGGGATGAGGCAAGTATGTGGTCACTCAAAGAGTATGACAAGGCAAGCTCCAGATGTGACAAGACACTGGGCTCGGAGTAAACCCATGTATACAATGGTGTCAGTCAAAATTATACATATTATATATATATACACACAGACAGACAGACAGACACACACACACACACACACACACACACACACACACACACACACACACACACACACAGCTAATTTTAGAGTTGCCTTATGGATTGATAGAGTTTTTTTAGAATATAAAATTATTGGGATTTGTTTAGCTAGAGCCAGAACTAACTTAGATACTTGAGATAGGAATTGCTTTTAATACTGCCTAACTTAGATAAAACTAGGCCCAAGTTAGAAAGTCATGTTGGCAAGATAATGCCTCTATGTAAATACAGTATTATCAAGAGTTATGCTGATTTCAAAAGAAATATTTTCAATATTCAAATTACTATAGCAGTTAGGAGTGTGGTTCTGGCTATTAGGTACAACATTTATATAAATATGCATTTGCACGAGTATGTGCACGAGTGAAATGGCATCTATAGCAACACTGACCATGGCCTCACCTCTGAACTCCAGGGCGTGTGGCGGGAACTGGAAGGCAGTGGGGGTTGGGGGCAGGGGAGAGTTGGGATTCCTCAGCAAGGGAGAACGGAGGGTTTCTGGCTCCCTGCTGTAGAGGTTATCTTTCGGGGTGAGGACACCAAGCTCCCTCAGGCGGCACCGTAGGGCATCAATCCACTCCATCATCTGCTCCCTGGAGGGTAAAGCAGCCATAGGGAATCAGACCGTATCCAGAGGCAGTCAGAGACTATACCACCACACCTTGTACGTGCACACACTACCCGGATCAAACTCCTACACTTGCTGAGAAAGAAAGATGTGAGGATCCCACCATGAGGAATATCAGGATGAGGGTTGGGAAACATATGTAGGAAGCCTAATCTCCTCCACTACAAAGATGTAAGAAATGATTCCACATGGAAGAATATCAGGAGGATATCAGACAGCTGAAAAGCTGACCTACTGTGAGATAATGATGCTAGGAATAATCCCACCAGAAAAAAAATATGAAAGAGTAGAGAAGCTGGTGAAGCCTGACCTGCTCTGAGCTCCCAACTTGATGACCTCTCCTTCAAGAGTGATGGCAAAGACATGTTCATTGTCCTCTTGGACTCTAATGGAGGGAGAGACGTGCAGGCACCGGGAGAGTGCCGTCCGGTGGATGGGGTTGTGACTGAAGGCTGAACGGCGGTTCTCGTAGAATTCAAGCCAACCTTCTGCCTCATCATGGACACAGAACGACACCCACACCTTCTCTCCCTTGGCTGCCTGTTGAGTGCAATATCATATTTAGACATTGGTAGTGAGTTGCTAGTTAGTGTTGGTACCTGCTTGTGATAGGTTATTGATGTGGCTATTGCTTGGTTGATGATGGTGGCTGGTACCTTATAAGGCAATGATGGTAATTGGCAGTGTTTGTTTAGGTAGTGATGCTGACTGGTGGTGAACTGAGGAAATAGTTCAGTTAGTAATGATAAATTAGGGTGTGTATTATGTTGAAGATGGTGATACATGTTAATGGTTGGTGATATTAACTGGTGGTAATGGTGACTGGTAATGGTGGTGAATGGTATTTAAGAGCCATATGTCCTTTTATGCTAGTTTCAACTCACCTGAAAGTAATATGTGCAATCCTGTGTTTACAAGCAAACTAACACCCACCATCATGTTCAGTTAGGAAATATTGTGTTTATACTATTTTTACCCCTTTTATTATTATTGAAGGTTTCTTTGTATTTCTTATATGCAATTTGCCACTATTTTAGTTTGTTCATTTATCATGCCCACCATTCCCAAACCAGCCATGGGCAATAGTGGACTCTTTACCCATCCCGGCTGTGGGTAGTAGTGGACTCTGACAAATGACAATTTTATGTAGGTAAATGTACATACATACAAAATGAGTTATTAGCGGAATATTGGATTTCTAGACAGAGCCAGTATATACTATGCCTAAAGCCACTAATACACACAGCGTTACACATAAGTCTCACATGAACAAGTGAATGGCATAACATGCAAGTTGTACGATAACCAAAATTTTTATAATATACAATTATCAAAACTAAATTGCAAATTTAGATTAACAACATTTAAGTTGAATCTGATAGAAATATATGAGACAAAGCATCAGCCATAACATTAACCACCACTCTGCGCACCTGGTTTCGGCAAAAACTTCATAGTGCAATTGTCAAGGACATATTTTTGTTGTTTTTATAAATGTTCAGGTAAAGTTAATGTCAAAATGTTTCCAAACTCAACCATTTTCATTTCAATATGCAAAAAGAGTGATGAAAACATTAAAAACCTTCAAATATACCCTAATTAAAAAAAAAACACAGCTCTCAGAGCACCTTAGGGAGCTCTGCGCAGAACAGTATTTAAGCATTCCAAGAATGTGGCAAATTACAAGATTAAATTCTTGGAGGAAAAGTGACTACCTTAGAATTCTCTGTTTTTTTTCAGTTGCAATTTGTCAAGAAACATGAATGGATTGTGGTTCATTTAAAAAGTGAATAAATTGTTACCGTGATCACCAAATTATTCCACTTGTGACAAAACACAAAATACCTTAGAAATAATAAAATATACATTCACCTTCCCAAAATAAAATTCAAGATTATATGTATCACACTTAAGTCTGTTTAGGTAATGTGCATCCTAGATATGCAACACTTTCATACTGCAACGACAGTACAGTACCTCACTCTCCTCCCTCACATGCAAGATACTTAATCAGTCTCTTATCAAATCTTAGTTAATTTCGGTGTACACAATAACATAATTAACTCCACCAAATAATTACTCCAGGTATCAGCCTGAGTTATACTATTATAAGTTTTCACATAATTAAGTTCACTATTAACTCTGTCCTTTTCAGTACCCAAAATATATTCTGTCCCTTTTCAGTGCCCAGTGTCAAATGAACAAATCCACAGGGGCCGTGACAAGGGTTCGAATCTACGTCCGAGAGGATCCCAGACGCTGCCTTAATCAACTGAGCTACGACATAGTTAAAAGAATTGCAACCGGGAAATCATTCTGATTTACTAACGGTTCCTGCAGTCTCTCCGAGACACAAACCAGGGTTTTACGCAATTTCCCCATGCACCCGAGCTACATCAAGAGGCTGTTCTACCTCTTTGTCCTTACTTCATTACACACAGAAATCACAATAGCGTGATGCATCAAATGAACAAATCCAAAAGGGCAGTGACGAGGATTCGAACCTACGTCCGAGAGGATCCTTCGGGAAATGGGGGAATTGCGTAAACCTCTGGTTTGTGTCTTGGAGAGACTGTAGGAACGGTTGGTAAATTGGGATGATTTACCGGTTGCAATTCTTTTAACCATATCATAGCTCTGTCGATTAAGGCAGCGTCTGGGATCCTCTCGGACGTAGGTTCGAACTCTCGTCATGGCCCTTGTGGATTTGTTCATTTGATGCATCACGCTATTGTAATTTCTGTGTGCAATGGTGTCAACCTTGCCAAAATTTTAATCCAAGTTATGGTTATGGTTGTCCTAAATGTGGAGATCCATAGTCTTAATCCAACAATGAAGGAGAGTACAGATCCTCCGACCACCTTAGGCCACCTTAGGCGCTAATAAACCAGACAAACACCATGAGCTCTGCCTTGGGTGGAACAACCGCTGCTGCAGAAATGAGAGAACACTTCCTTACTTATTATGGCCCTTTTTCCTGTGGTCACCCTGTGGATATGAAGTCGAATAGGTGTGGGGTTGGTGAGTTGATCATCATGGCTGATGAGACTTGTCTAGGTAGGAATTTTCCCAAAAATGCTGCCAAACTCCTCCAGGAGCCGCTGTTCCTCATCACGCTGGTCCCCCTGTAAATGATACAGCATCTCCCCAATCGAACTAGAAGTAAACAGATCAGGTTTAACCAATTTCACAATGCCCAAATCTTCCTCACTCCTGGTAGCACAAACAACAGTGCAAGCCACAAGATTAAACCTCTAATGCTTATTTAGAGGTTTAGGATAAACAATGTTCATCTGTCTGGACTATCTCACAGTAGTCACTAGGAAGAACAAGTTGGTTAACTATCTCATGGACACCTGACGAGGAAGACACATGGGGGGTCTCCATCTTCTTATCAAAACCTGATCATGGAAATAGTATCCTGTTGATTCCTCCAGTGCATCTATTGAAGAGATGGCTTCTGCACAACATTTGGAAAGATTGGTGTCAGCCCTCTATAACTCACTCAAGGTGTGACTATACTAACTCGGAGTGAGTGGGCAAGTCATTAGAACTCTGACCTCACCAACACCTTCCCCTATGCTAGGTTCAGGCAGGGCCCCTGCAGTAGATTCCACACATCATCTAAGCTAGCCAGGAATACTTTTGAAAGATCCACCTCCCACTCCTCCCTTGGTAGTAGCAAGACTGCCCTTAGACTTACCATCCATTGGTTTGATCACAGTGCATACAGGATGAAAAACACCATCCTCTGTATCTTTCTGTGCCAGTGCAATCTTAGGTTCTGCTACCATTCCTTCCCAACAACTTGCCCATCAGCAAGATCATTACCCATGATCACATCAACACTGGATTAAGGAAACTGGGCACTAACACCAATGGTACAAAAACCTAAGGTGAACTTACTCCCCAACTTAACTTGAGTCAGAAGTATCTGATGAACTGGACCAGCAATACCCGGAATTAAATAACCTCACCAGTATCTATCTTATTATCTGATAGTACAATGTCCAAAATTATAGTTTGAGAAGCACCAGTGTTTCTTATGGCTACCATTGACTTTTAAATACCATTATTACTCAAAAGGTATCCTGTGGACATAATGGGCTTGAAGTCTGCCAATACTGGAGTATGACTGACAAGATTGGAAGAATTAATCACCAGTCTTTTACATATAACAAAGGACCTGGGCCTCATTTCAGGGTACAGCTGCCAACAAGACTTTACAACCTGATCTCACCTCTTACAATGCAAGTAAATTTTATCAGAGGTTGAACAGGCCGTTCCCACATTAGATTTATTAATAAGATTACCCAGAAGCTTTGTTCCCTACTGAAATTTCTAGAGGTCATGTGGATGGAATGTGGAGTCGAGAAGGGTTTTGACTGAAAAGATTAACTCACTTAGAGTTATTATAATTATTATTATACTGGACATTAAATAGTACTTTATTAAGGAGTTCATGCTCGTCTGTTATTCTAGCTAGTTCTTCAAAATTATTAGAATTGCCCTTTCAGCTAGGTAGATGAATAATCTCTGGCAGACATGACAAAACTTCCTCTATTAAAATCAGATTTTTTTTAAGGACTCATACTCAGTAACTTTAAGCAAGTCATCACTCAAAATGGGCACTTTTAATCCAGTGAAATCAGTTATATTCTGGACATAACTATGTTTCAACTGCCTTAACTTTTAACCTGTGTACCTCTAGTGTTAATTTGTATCCTTGTAAAAATGCTCTTACAAACTAAAATTAAAACTCTCTGCTGTAGGTAAAGAAGCAAAAATTGTATGGGCCTTGCCTTTAAATTGACGTTGCACGATGGCTACTCACTGGTTTTCTGGCTAATTCATAAGAGTTGCAATTTTGAATAAATGATGGAAGAAAATTTCAGGGCCTTTCTCATAGAAATTTGGTAAATATAACCTCTATTTACCCTACAACCATTTGTGGCTCCATCTGACGTCTCACTACCCACTTGACCAGCTACTGTGCTCTACTCTTCTACCATAATTTGATCAGTGGCCATTTATTACTGAATCTCTAATTGTATGTTTCTGCCTATTGCCTAGCTTCTATCTGTTTAGATTCTTCCGCTGAATTGCTTGAACTTCCATCTCTATTTGTTTCTGCTTTGTTTGTGTTTCTGCCTAGAGTCTAACTAGCTCCAACTGAACCTCTCTTAGTTCTGTTTACACCAAGAACTTTGCTAACTGTAACTCTTTCTCTGCCAAAGGTAAACCTCTGAGCTTGTAGCTCTAAACGCTTTAAAGCAATTTGGTCACCTGACCCTACTGACAATTGTTCTAAAACAGCCTTTTCAACCTCGTCGTCCTCTATCTACCAAGTTTACAATAATTGCTTTAATTGCTAGGGCTTTCCCATGCTATAAGAAACAAACCTCTAGCCAATACTGTCCCATGAACACTAAAGCTGACTTCTTGAGAGTTCGAATTCCTTCTAGAGAAGGTGCAACCATCAATTCTTCTACTACTCTCTCCATTGTGCACTAGTTAATAAAATATACTAACACTGGAATTACTAAATTAAATGGCCCGCATGCAAGGACCGACACTTACCTCAATCGTGAAGAGTTGCAGAGAGGTCCTACTTAGTCCTCCTAATGATGTAAAAGTTTCCTGGTTACTTGACTGGTTACTATCTGCTATAATTCAGATTTGTCCTAGGAGCACCACTGTCCCTAGGAAGGCATCTGGCATTAAAACACAATTCAAGATAAAAATATTTAATAAGTAAAACATTTAATTATAATTAAATAAGTAGTGTTTAATTAGTAAATTATTTAATATATCTCCTGTACACAGGTCCCCCAATTTAATTAACACGACCCAGTTAATTCAGACACAGGCTGGTAAAAGAAGGATATTTAAAATGGTACCATATCCCAATGCGGGCCATGAAGGCACAATAATCAAAGTAATAAGCGATGTTCACAGTTCGAAAATGACAAATAACAGAGATGTTCATGTTGGTTTTAGCAATGGCCGCTGGAGGAAGACACGATCCCCGATCCCCACTTTTTCACATACTTTTACGACCACATTAAAGTCACCTACTGTAAGAGAGACAAAGGTATGCTTCATGTTTTACAGCCACACCTTCACAGACAAATATGTCTGCCGTCGTTGCTGGGAAGACGAGAGAAAGGAAAGAGTAGCTCGATATCAACACCTAAACAGAACACAACTACCATCTGTTAAGTATGACCCCTAACTCCACGACAGTCGAGGTTGGTGTCTGTTACTGTTATTATGACGGTCCTTCAGGTCCCACTCCACAGTCCCTAGTCACAACAACCTTGCCCCTCATCCTCACTGGCTTGTCCTCCATCCTCACAGTCTAGCCCTCCATCTCCAGTCTAATCCTCCATCTTCACAATCTAGCCCTCCATCGTCACAGCATAGTCCGTCACCCACTACCAGTGAAGACAGGAGTGTGGGCAGACAATTCCAATATAGTGTAGGACAACAAGGACTCAGAAGACTCTCCACAACAAATATCTCCAGGAATGACTTCAGTAACCATACACTTGTTCCAACCGTGGTAGACGGTTGGAACAAGTTAGGAGAGAAGGTGGTGGAGGCCAAGACCGTCAGTAGTTTCAAAGCGTTATATGACAAAGAGTGCTAGGAAGACGGGACACCACGAGCGTAGCTCTCATCCTGTAACTACACTTAGGTAATTACACTTAGGTAATTACAGAAAGAACAAACCAATAAGGAGGAAAACAAATAATTATAAGATCATTCACCAAGGACGTGATAATGCATAACACCATTCAATATACCCAACCAACGCTAAAATATTGATAACATTAACAAAGCAACATACTAAAGAGACTCAAGCAAGTTCCCAAGACACCACAGCACACCTGGAAAAGCTGCAAGTAAAATCAAAACAAAGCTCTCATCAGTCCCAAAAAAACAAAAAACGCCATTACCATCATATATATACCTCATACATCATTTCACGCACCAATTCATATCACGGCATCAGAATCCCCCACTAAGACAAAGTGGTTGGGCCCTGTGCTTCCTTATCTCCCAGTCCTTCTTCAAGATTTCCTGTACCCTTATCCTACCTCTTCTATCCCCAGCTTACCAGTTCTAAGGACACAGTAACCGGAATCGAGATCAAGAAGAAACTAGACTGGCCAGCAACCGGCAGACGAAGTTGGTACACTTGGGAAGGAATGTTCTATAATCTGTAGATGAGGACCAATAGAGATCAAGGGAAAATAAAACTAGAAAAGACTAGCAATCAGCACTTTAGGAACCAAAAACTAGCTCAAGACAAAACAAATGGGGGTAAAAAAAAAAACATGTAAATTAACATCATACTAGCAACAACTATCTACTAGAAGTAGAATTAAGTAAGCACAATCCGGAAGTAGTACTATTAACTGAGACTTCAGCACACCTTGACTATCACATACAAATTCAAAATTACACCACAATTGGGTGAAACTCTGAGCAGAACAGAAGTGTAGCATTCTTGGTGAAAATAGGCTGCTCCTTCATCATCATCTGTCAACAGGAAGAGTGAAAATAGTCACAAGTCATGGCCCACTAGCACTTCAGTCTCCGCCAGACCAGCATTCTATTCTATCAATGGCCATACACAAAGTAGTCAATAGAATTATCTCAAGGATCCTTGCTGGAGACTTCAACGCACTTTATACAACGTTCTTTAACAATAACAATCTGAGAGATGACATTAAAGGGAGGAGGCTCTTGTACGCCTTAAGAGCAAGACGTTGAACTCTTTACGGTCTCTACTTCAAAATGTCCATAAGTGGCAATAATTAAGGACCTCTTGACGTAATTCTGTCAAATAACAACTGTAATATCTTTCACTGGAGAATGACTCCAGGTAATGAAGTAGGATCAGACCACATGCCGGCAATTATTCATCTCCAAACGACACTTTTCGAATAGACTACGCTCGTATATGAATTTCTTGGCAAGGACCCAACTGTAGATCGTAACTAACCATACCAAGAAATAGTCACAATTGAAAATCTACATACTTGCATCAAGAAGGCAGCTTACGCTAACTTGGTTACACACCTGCCACCTCCTCACATCTGTCTCAACCGGGCCGCCCCACCAGACGGACTTGGTTACACACCTGTCACTACCCGTGACCAAGATGCCACCATCTGTACTCCACACCTCAACACGCAGCTCTTCTGTCACGACGCTGTCATATGTGACACCCACCACTGTCACGACGCTGTCATATGTGACACCCACCACTGTCACGACGCTGTCATATGTGACACCCACCACTGTCACGACGCTATCATATGTGACAACCACCACTGTCACGAGGCTGTCATATGCAACAACCACCACTGTCACGAGGCTGTCATATGCAACAACCACCACTGTCACGAGGCTGTCATATGCAACAACCACCACTGTCACGAGGCTGTCATATGCAACAACCACCACTGTCACGACGCTGTCATATGTGACAACCACCACTGTCACGAGGCTGTCATATGCAACAACCACCACTGTCACGACGCTGTCATATGCAACAACCACCACTGTCACGACGCTGTCATATGCAACAACCACCACTGTCACGACGCTGTCATATGTGACAACCACCACTGTCACGACGCTGTCATATGTGACAACCACCACTGTCACGACGCTATCATATGTGACAACCACCACTGTCACGACGCTGTCATATGCGACAACCACCACTGTCACGACGCTATCATATGTGACAACCACCACTGTCACGACTCTGTCATATGCAACAACCACCACTGTCACGACGCTATCATATGCAACAACCACCACTGTCACGACGCTGTTACAAATAACAAGTTGGTTTATAGTGGATCTGGTGGTAACTGTCGTTGGGGCGGGGACGGGGGGGGGCGGGGGTATAACTTTGAAAGACAGTGTTGGGTGTGTTCAGTGGGAGTGTTTCCTCCGTAACGTGTGGGGTTGTATGACAAGTGTGGTGAACAAATCCACAAGGGCCGTGACGAGGGTTCGAACCTACGTCCGAGAGGATCCCAGACGCTGCCTTAATCAACTGAGCTACGACATGGTTAAAAAAATTGCAACCGGGAAATCACCCTGCCCTACCGCGGGTCCTGCAGTCTCTCCGAGACACAAAACCAAATTGTGGTTTTACACAATTGCCCTATGCACGTGTGGTGGTTTAAGGCAGTGGATAGTGGTGGTCCTCCACCTACCGAAGCAGTTTCTGCTTAACAACTTAATTGGGCGTGTGACAGATCACTAGAAAGGCACCCTTGTAAGGCCATTGGTACCATCAATCGGTACCAAAACTTTGGCTTTGGGCCAGGGTTCGTATCCTGGCTGTGGAGGATTGACCGGGCGCCAGTCCTTAACTGTAGCCTCTGTTCACCCAGCAGTGAATGGGTACCTGGTTGTTAAACGATTTGGCGGGTCGTATTCCGGGGGAAAAAATTAGGATTAAGATCCTGCCCGAAACGCCATGCGTGCTGGTGGCAGGTCATATATATATATATGTAGTGGGCGCATGCGCAGGACATGTTATTGGAGGGCCAGGTGCTGGTCTGAGGAGTAAGGTGATGCTGATTAGGTGGATGACGGAGTGTTCCACTCAGCCCGGGTGACGGCTGCCTGGGTCACATCTGTGAACCCGTCCACCAGCACCTGCAGGTCAAGGGTGCAGCTGGGATAATGTTGTCAACCTGTGCAGGTGCATGCAGGGGGGGGGGTGAGGGGATAGGAGCGCACCTGCAGGGTCCTCCATGACCCGAAGATGTTGCAGGACATCCTTCCTGAGGATTATGTTCGACGTCTGTGAAGTGGAAAATTCACTGAAAGTGTTCCGGAGGTGATGTGGAGAAGCAGGGTGCGGGGTTCCATGCGTGGAGACATGTGCCGTTGGCAGCCGTCCGCCTGGGGAATGCGCGTTAGCTTGGTCAAGGGCAACGGCAGCAGACTGCTGCTGCTGCTCTTGGGAAAACGGCGGCTGCTGGTGACGTCAGAGGTGTAGAGGTCTGTCTGACAGGGCGGGGTTAATGGCCATTAACAGTCCCCACCAGAGTGGTCATTCTTCACGAGGACCCTGGTGGTTGGTACTTAGGACCCCAGCACCCCCAACCTTCAGTGATGTGTGCTTGTTGGTGTGTCACTGTTGGTGTGTCCTTGTTGGAGTGTCCTTGTTGGTGTGTCACTGTTGGTGTGTCCTTGTTGGCGTGTCACTGTTGGTGTGTCCTTGTTGGTGTGTCACTGTTGGTGTGTCCTTGTTGGTGTGTCCTTGTTGGTGTGTCACTGTTGGTGTGTCCTTGTTGGCGTGTCCTTGTTGGTGTGTCACTGTTGGTGTGTCCTTGTTGGTGTGTCACTGTTGGTGTGTCACTGTTGGTGTGTCCTTGTTGGCGTGTCCTTGTTGGTGTGTCACTGTTGGTGTGTCACTGTTGGCGTGTCACTGTTGGTGTGTCACTGTTGGTGTGTCACTGTTGGTGTGTCACTGTTGGTGTGTCCTTGTTGGTGTGTCACTGTTGGTGTGTCCTTGTTGGTGTGTCCTTGTTGGTGTGTCACTGTTGGTGTGTCCTTGTTGGTGTGTCCTTGTTGGTGTGTCCTTGTTGGTGTGTCCTTGTTGGTGTGTCACTGTTGGTGTGTCCTTGTTGGTGTGTCCTTGTTGGTGTGTCCTTGTTGG